GAAGTATTCAGCAATGAGCTGCTGGTCTAGAGAGTAGTCCTTCTCCAACATAAGGCGATCATAGAATCTGTGATCCCACAGGTAGTAGTGACCATCGAACTTCTCTCCACGGGACTCCAGGTCGGACTTCTTAAACTCGAGCAGGTTCTTGATTTCCTTCTGCCCACCGGCCGTCAGACGGGACCGCAGGTCACCCAGGAAGGTGTTGACCGTCTCCGGGGTCTTGGCCATCTTGTCCTCAATGCGGAATGCCGCGTGGTTGGGGTAACCGAGCAGACGAGCGGCCTCATCACGCAGGATGATGGCCTCACGGAAAAGAGGCACGTTCTGGTTGCACTTGTTCTCGTTCTGGATCATGACCTGCTTACGGGTCTCGGGGTTCTTGGCGTACTTCATCGTCGGGAAAAGGTCGGGGTACTTGAAGGTCAGCCAGAGCTTGCCCTCGTGCTCACCCTCACCCTTCTTCAACCCCGCCAGGACATCCTCGGGAACACCGTCGAGCTCTTCGCGGGTGAACCAGAGTCCTTCGTTCTCCTCGTTCAAGCTCTTCTGGAACTCAATGCTGATCTGACTGAGACGCTTCTTGATCTCCTTGAACCGGTCACGCTTGGGACCAGCCGGGAGACCCAAGCCATTGCGGATGAAATCCTTGTGTTCCTTCTCCAACAGACGACGAGACTCGGGGTCAAGAGACTCGTTCAACTTGAGCACGGCGTCGACGAGCTGGAACACATCCTCGCGCATGGCAGCTTCAATGAAGAACTCATCCATGAGCTCCTCCGCCTTGGATGAGGCATCCCGCAACTCTTGTTGCGTCGACACGGCCTGGTAGAAGCCGAGAATGTGCGATTCGAGGGACATGACGTTCTCATCCTGGGCCAAAGGCTTCACGACAGCGTTGAATGTAGCCGTGTCGGGCTTGACGGTAGCCACGACGTCATCCTGAACTTTGCGGGAGGCTTCAATGAGTCGCTTGGCGTCATCGACAATGGATTGAGCAGTTGCGGTGAAGACGGGGGGAGCCTGAGGAGGGCGGCGGAGGTGTTCGGGGGCCATGCTGGCAGTTGTGAGGGATTTGCGAAGGTTTGTCAAAGCTGAATGCGAGGTTGAAGGAAGTCGAGAGCCGCGGAAATGGCCCAAGACCGAGGAAAGTCTGAAGGCGGGAGAGGAAAGGCGAAGCGGGGGAGCCACGGTGACGAGGAGAACGCCCAAGAGAAGGACGAGGAAGGCGGGTAGATAAAAGGTGCGACAGAGAGGGGAGCGAATGGTGACGGTAGGAGGGGCACAGGTGGTGAAAGGCGGGGTGCTAAGCAAGCTACTGCAATGGAAGAAGCGGATCAATACGTGGCTCGACAGTGGACACTCTTGGGGGGGAGGAGCTGTTTGGTGATGCAGAAGTGCAGCTGAGCTGGTCCCGGCGGAGCCTGCAGTCCGGCCGATCATGTGTTTTCCCTCTCCACCACCACTAACTAATTAATCTCTCCCCCCGGCTTCTCTTTTCTCTTTGTTTGCACTCCACACTTCCTCCTGTCTGGTTCCCTATTCTTCGATCTTTCCATCATGTACTACTCATGACGAAGCTATGGCCCTTCTGACAACCCGATCCACTCTACGTCTGCCGGGTCCAGGGTTTCTATGTCCACTTCTACAGTTCTAATACGTAGCTACAAGAGCCAAAAGACCTACAGGCAACTGTTCATAAATATGTAATCACACTTTGGATATCTGGATTCTATGCAGGATTTCAACAATCATTGTTCCTCGTCACATCTCGTCGCTTTTTTTCAAATGAAATAGGTAAACCCGCGTCGACTCAAACTCGCTCCGTCGACATAAAAGAGTAAGGCCAACTCCAACAACGCCATACACACGAAAGAATAAACGCCCCGGGTGCTAAATTAGAAGACGAAGGATCGTCGGAGTGGGAAACACAGCGTATTCGCAAATGGTACATCAGAATATAAGGCGAAAGGGTCATGGACATCGCGCCGCTCACGCAGCGTCGGCAGTGGGGATGGGCTCGGGGATCTTGGTGACCTGCTCACCAGCCCGGATCACCCGCTGGCCGGCATCGTCACGAACATAGCCGGCGCCCTCCTTCTGGGCCCGCTTCCAGATCTCAACCTCACAACCACCACGGATCACACCCACACGCATGGTCGAGAGAAGGTTGTGGGCAGCGTTGGAGTGGTAGTACACACCACCGTTGAACATGGCAGTGGCGTCCTTGCCGATACCAGAGTTGATCATGGCCTTGCCACCGGGGTGGTCCTTGATGAAGTCGGTCACATCGTGAACGACACCGGCAATAGCAATGAGACCACGGCCGTTCTTAGCCTGCTCAACATAGTCGTCCCATTCCATAACGGGCAGCTGGTCGAGAGGGGTACCCCAGTCGAGACGGGAACGCTTCTGGTCAAGCTTCTTCTGGAGCTGCTGGACACGACCCTTCTCGATCTCGTTGGCACGGAACTTCTTCAGGTCGTAGGCCAGACCAAGCTGCTTCCAGGCCCAGATGCTCCACTTGGTTGGGTCGTACTGGTGCCACTCGATAGCGTTACGGTAGTCGGATGGAAACTCGTGGTGGAAGTTGTGGTATCCCTCGCCGAGAGTGACAAGAGCAGTGATGACGTGGTCACGGGGAGAGTTGCGGTCGTCGAAAGGCTGGTCACCGAGCCAGTGGGCCAGAGAGTTGACGCAGAAGGTGGCCTGCTGGACGAAGAAGATACGCAGGATACCAGCGTAGACGAAACCACCCCACCAGTCACCCCAGCCAAGACCGGACACGAGCATGGGAACAATCAGACCCATGGTGAAAACGACCTTGAGGTAGTTGCGGTGCTGCCAGACGACAACAGGGTCTTCGTTGAGATCGGAGATATCGGTGCGGCCGATACGCTTGGGGTTCTGCTTCATGACCATCCATCCCAGGTGAGAGTAGAGCAGACCCTTGCGGACGGAGTAGGGATCCTTGTCGGTATCGGTATAACGGTGGTGAGCCCGGTGATCACGCGCCCACCAGCGGATGGAACCTTCGACGGCACCACCACCAACGGCGGCGAGCCAGATACGGAGAGGAAGACGAGCAGAGTAGGAGCAGTGAGCCCAAAGACGATGGTATCCTGGAGGCAAAATTTGTCAGCATGTCTTGACAGTGTTACCTTTGAATGGGGCAAACCAACCTGCGGTGATACCGAGACCAGTGAAGAAGTAATAGATGACGGCCCAGATAGCAGTCTTGACCTGCAAGGGCACCCAGAGGGCCTGGACACAGCCGTACATGGGGATACCGATGATGAGGAAGACGTTCAGCCAGTTGACATGCTTGTACCAGTTGCCGCGTGTCATGACAGTATCGGCAATGTGGACCTTCTTGGGGTCAGCGGCGCGAGGCCGGGAGGCGTCTGCTGGCTTTGCAGACATGGTGATGTCCTTCGTGTGTATGTCGACCCCTGCAGTATGGTTCGGATGAGGAGGAGAAGGATGCGTGCGGGAGAGGGTGGGTTTAAAGGAAAGGGCCAGAGGCGAGCGATAAAAAAGAGACGGAGAAAAAGGGTGGGGAATGCAATCGAAAGACCGAAGAAGTAAGCGGCAGATCTGAGCCAGTGAAGGAGGGAAAATTCGGAGGCAGTTGAACTCTACCAGGGTCCACCGGCGGATGATGGTTGGGGAAAAGCAAGGCGGACAATCGATAATAATGATGCGACTATGAGGACACGCGCGTGGAATAAGTAAAGAAGGGTGGCCTGACGGCAAGCTCACTGGTAGATCAGTGAAGTAATCATAAGATCCCGAGGTCCCAAAGTGGCCGACGGGTTTCAACAGACACCAGGAAGGAGAGAGAAGGGGATCAATACTACTATCCAGGCACGTCTGGAAGGTGTCCGGATCGCAGAGTGTATCCGCGATGGCAAATGGCCGGAGTATCTCCAACCATACAGCGCCGCCTGTTCATCCAACTAAGCTTGTTGGGCCACTTCTGATTCGATGGTGCTGCCCGGCCAGACACTGCCATTTTGGGTAAGGCCGGGAGTGGTCCACCAATCATAACAGTTCAACCATTCGTTGAATCCCCAACGTTTTTTGCCCCTTGATCGCTCTGTGTGGCTGGTGTCATGCCTCGGGTGGCTTGACCCGTGGCTCTCCATCCCGATTTGGATTTCGGGACGGTTTCTTTTTCCGCATCAAAGTATCGCCTGCACGGAGTGGCACGACTCCGTCTAACCTCAAGACTTGAGCAATTGACCCCATCTCTTTCATAGCTGATCCTAATTCTGGAGCATTGCAACATTGGAGTCTTTGCTTATGCGGTGGCCACACTAACGCAATCTAGTGCTATAATCAGCATGTCTTGGATCACTCATTGGTCCACTCAGCTCAGACTTTTCCGTTGAAGGCAGCCCTATGAGTGGACATTATTGCCACCGGCCGAGTTTGAAACGCCAACTTCAGTTTTGGCATTACTGCGAGCCGCAAGCTCCTCGGCACAAACTCTTTCCGGGTGCTCCGTTAATGCTTCTGAAAATTGAAAGTCCGTAGAAAACCTGATGATCGTCGCCACATGATTCAGGCATGCATTCTCCCCAACACTTTTCTTTCACACTATTTGACAGCTGTGCACCACGTGACACTGTGACATTCCTCCCCTTGAGTCTTATCGCCTCAGGCAATCACATGATCCAAGCTTGGTTGGGACATGCCAACCCATCCAAAGCAAGGCCCCCCACACCGCAAGTCTTGAAATCATTCCCCAGACAAGGGATCAATTTCACTGGATCCCCACGTTATCAGATGGCCCCAGTGGCATTGAATCAAAGTTAAGGACCGGGGCCATTACAGCTCCGTTGAACACGTCGTGCCATTTTGATCTGGTTGGGACAGATCTCTTCCATACCCTATGGTTCCAGCAAAATTTGAAATCATTTTTCACTAACCGCCAATAAAATTATCAATAATTGGGAAAGTCTCTGATTTGTCCAACAGATTGTTAAACTGCGCATTGCGTGAGATTTGGCTGTTGCTTTTCCTAGACTTGAGTCTGTAGATCCCTTGCGCTTCACTCGGTCCGGAGTATGGATAGACCGAGGTATTTATTTGAGACGGTGAGAGCAATATACTATTCCACAGCTCATTAGAACTACACCATAAGTATGGCAATCAATTAGTAGGCATTAATGATCAACAAAGTTTATTGATGGTCACATAGTGTTCAATTGATGTGGGTGTACTCCAGTTGAATATTTTGACTAGTATGCAAAGATATCCCGAATAGTGAGGTAGATCACCGATCAATTCTATCAGCTTCAAAATGCTGGATTTAATCCCCTCACCGGTGGCAGATGACAGTAGTAGGAATGCTACTAATCCTACTCCGGGGTTTTGCAGGTAAGGAAATACAGTCGCAGTGCATACCGGGTACATTTCGACCCCTACTACTTAATTGTTCGACCAACATAAAAGGAATATATACTATACCATTTTCCATATATACAACACCAACTACTAATACTTCGATCGCAAAATGCCGCGTCTACTTATTACTACGTTTGAGACTTCTGGTACTATCTATTCCATGATGATATGAGGCATATTAGTACTGACGTACGAAAACTACTTTATCCTCCCACGTCTATCAAGCTCAATAGCAATGACCTAAAATCTGTTCAGCTACTATGCTTAGTACCTGTAATATAATCTCACGGGCAGACCAATAGTATAGATATATTGCACCAACGATTGAACACAACAGTTAGTAGTCTAGCATTGTATCGCAGCTCGCCCGAAGATGACTGGTCGACTATGCCAAGTCTACCTCTGCCTACACACTTTAGAAACATTATTTAGAAACATTATCAAAAAATAACGATAGAACCAGAAGAACTCCCATCCCATATTCCAATATACCGCTCCATAACCATTCAATCATCCTTACATCCCCATGACAAATCCCCAAACCATCAAAATATACACCAACCTATTATCCAACCCCATTACTCACCATACACTACCTCTACACACCTCCCCTCCGAAATCACCCGCAACGTAGCATGAAAAGCATCCCTCCACCCGGCCCTTGCCGATCCGAGGTTGGCAGTGGCCAAAAATACGTGGTTCGGACTGACGGACCGGCTCCACTAGTAACTCTAGCCCCTTCCGTGTCCCCACGGGTACATAGAACTAGACAATGCTCAGCCTCTTGCCGATCGAGGATCGTGTCGGAGAGTAAGGTTCCGGGAAACGGAGAATAGTTATTATCGGATTATAGTAAGGGTGTTAGTGGAGGTATTTGTCACTGAATATATATTATTTAAGGTTGCGCTTGATAGTTGCGGAGTATGGGTATTTCCGTATACCGGGGGGTTATGCTGAGATGTGATGAGTGTAAAAGAGCATTGTCTGGAGTGGGGATTTATGCGTAGGAAGTGTGACTGGGCATCGAGGTTTAGTCTCTGATAGATGGGGTATATACTGCTGGGCTCTCTTCCTGCTAGGAAGTCATTGTGACAGACTCACTTCAACTTTTCGTTCGGCAACTCCAGGGGTGGGAGGGTATGCTGATTCTTTATGACTAGTGTCTACCTATTTGGTCGATTCGGGATATGCGTTATTAATATACTTCAACCTCACCATAACTTCTAGATAATATGTGATTCAAATATTCATTCAGAACATAAGCATGACGTTCAGTCTAGATCTACATTCTTGGTGGAAGAAAGAAGGACATCTGTTGGAAAGGCATAACCGTTCGAACTTTGTTATATTCCTTGATATGATACTATCCATAGCGTCCGCGTTGTATGGATACCATCTAATGACTGTTAGATCTGAAATTGCACCTGTGCATTAATTATAAACACGAGTCCAGACCATTCTGTTGGCCATAATTTTGATACCCAGGGAAAATCATTCAAGCTAATATTGAGTGGTCTTTATGATGTGTCTATTAATTATGTAATATATATAAATATATATACAATACCCCAACAAAGGAAATGGGAAAGTATGCTGGTACAAACTAGTCAGTAACATGGATTCAGGACTTTGAGGAAAACCTGATACGACAATTATGTGACAGCCCTTAGTGAAAACGTCAGAACAATTAGAGCAACTGTCATGAACTTGCTCCACCGATTATGGAGTCTGATGTGTCAAAGAATGCCACCAGGCTAGCACTTACTATGAACTATCAAGCTAGCTATATAGCGTGCATTTGGTGCATCGTGGCTTGTCCTAGAAGAGCCTAGGAGACGGTTGGAAGCGTATTTTATATAGTCCTTCGCTACATTCATCACCATCAGTCTGACATACTACTAAGAGCTATTAGTCAAAATAAATAGTCCGTATTGAAAGCGATAGTAGAGTTACATTCATATAATGTATTTATTATGGGATCATGCAAGACCCAAGAAGATGCGAAGGATTCAATCCTCCATTGTATTAAAGCGAACGCAGATCCTACATTTCTCTCATTCCTACCGTGGAGACAACTCGAGAAGGATTTAATGCTCATGTTATCTGAAGACACCAGCATTCAAATGTACCGTTCAATCCGTCTTTACATCAATACTATGTGGAATATATGCGCTTCACAGAACTACAGGTACAATACAAAATACTGCTACGCTGTTAGTCACGGGCAGCAGTCAAGGTTACGATAAAGTTGGGCCTGTTTGAATCTATGACTAATGGATTGCCGCATTGGGGTTGGTGTTCCCCGGACTGCAACCCGGCGAAAGAAGCATCGTCGGCCCTTCGATTCTCCCCTTCTGCATGTCTGCCTTTAGCTTATATCAGTCCGATCATCTCCCCCCCCAGTCCTCCCACAATCTGGATGAGTTCTACTCCGGCCTCATCGGGTTCGTCAGTGCAAGACCCATCGGCCACCGGCTATCAGGGGGGAGACGCAAGAGATGGATTTCGGCGGTACCCGATCTGGGGACTGATAAGCGGCCGGGGAGGTTACATGAGGGCAGCGTGTCAGCCGTCCGTTCTTATCGGAGGGCCCACAATTGAAGCCTGGACGAGAACAGCGTAATCGCCAGACGAACCAGTCATCGCTAGCGCTGCCCCGGTCTGCTGCAGGTTGCAGCTCGCTTGGAAATTAGCTCGCGTGTCTGCCACGCCGGCGCCCAGAGATAACCACTGCCTACCATTATTCGATTGATTCATCCATCACCTTCGCCACTGATAGCTCTATCATCCACGCCGGTCCGAGCTTCAATCATCCCGATTCATCTTCGAGCTCACGGAAGATGGTTCATGTATATAGACACCTCGCCCGTCGATGTTTGGAATGGTCTTAGTCTATTCCCCAGATCCAACTAGCCATTGCTAAGGACCGACCCCTCACTCCACTCGGACTACTTCATCTGGGTCCATATCTTAAACATCGAGATATCTTCCATTTGTCCGCAACTCATCGAGTTTCATCTACACTTCTACATCAACATCTGTTACACATTAGACTCCCTCACATAATGGACGGTCCTGACCAGATAGGCCCGGACTACCGGCCTAAGCGGACTTGGAATGACGTCGGCCGCCGCTTGGTCAAAACCTTTACCACAAGGTTGGTCATGGAACATCGTTAACCAGTAGACGCGCTAATACGTTGCAGAGAGGGCCTCATTGGAGACTATGATTACGCCTACTTGTTCACTCCGAATATCCCCTTCATCACAAAGAAACGAAGCTCTGCACCATTCTTCGGGCTCGAAGACAATGTACCTATCGTATTGGCTATGCTGCTTGGACTACAACATGCGCTGGCAATGCTGGGTGGCAGTGAGTTGGATCCTCTCTGAATCCTGACTAGTGCTGACTCGTCAGTTATTTCACCTCCTATCTTGATCGGAGGCACATCTGGTGCCAACTTCGGAACAGAAGAGTACCAATACCTCGTCTCAACGTCCCTCATCGCTTCCGGTATCTTATCCGCCATTCAGATGTTCCGTTTCCACATCTACGGAACGAAATACTACATTGGTACTGGCTTGACTTCAGTGGTGGGAATCTCCTTTGCTACAATCACCGTCGCAACTGGTGGTTTTGAACAAATGTACTCCAGTGGATACTGCCCGACCGCTGAGGATGGAACCAAGCTGCCCTGCCCTAAAGGTTATGGCGCTCTACTGGGAACATCGTGTTTGTGTGCGCTTCTCGAGATTGGTCTTTCCTTCATGAGCCCTAAAATTTTGAGACGTGTCTTTCCTCCCCTCGTCACTGGACCCACTGTTCTCCTGATTGGAGCCAGTCTTATCGAATCCGCTTTCCAGGACTGGGCAGGTGGCTCTGGAACCTGCTCTGAGAATCCTGGAAACGGTGCCTTGTGTCCTAGCGCGGATGCCCCACATGCTCTGCCTTGGGGAAGTGCGGAGTTTATTGGTCTCGGATTTCTGGTGTATGTATCGATCATTCTCTGTGAGCGGTTTGGTGCGCCAATCATGCGATCCTGCTCGGTCGTGGTGGGATTATTGGTAGGATGTATCGTGGCGGCTGCCTGCGGATACTTTGATCGATCGGGTATTGACGCTGCGCCGGTGGCCTCCTTTATCTGGGTGAAGACATTCCCGTTGTCCATCTATCCGCCCATGATTCTTCCACTGCTGGCAGTGTACATTGTGGTCATGATGGAATCTATTGGTGATATTACTGCTACTTGCGATGTATCCCAGGTCGAAGTTGAAGGACCCACTTTCGACTCGCGGATTCAGGGTGGTGTTCTGGGTAACGGTCTCACCAGTGTCCTGGCCGGCCTCATGACGATGACGCCGATGTCGGTGTTTGCCCAGAACAACGGTGTCATCGCGCTGACCAAGTGCGCCAACCGCACAGCTGGTTACTGCTGCTGCTTCTTCCTGGTCATTATGGGAATTTTCGCCAAATTCGCCGCGGCACTGGTTGCCATTCCCAACAGTGTTCTTGGTGGCATGACGACATTCCTTTTCTCCTCTGTGGCGATCTCCGGTGTTCGCATTATCACCAATGTGCCATTTACGCGTCGTAACCGATTCATCCTGACCGCTTCGTTCGCTGTTGGTATGGGCGCCACCCTGGTATCCGACTGGTTCGACTACGTCTTTACCTACAGCGGTAACAACCGTGGCTTGACAGGATTGCTGGATGCTATTGATCTGGTGATGGAGAACGGGTTCGCCATCACCGCTCTGATCGGGCTGATCCTCAACCTGATTCTTCCGGAGGATCCAGAGGAGGAGGCAGCTATTCTGGAGGCACGGGGTGATTACCGACGAAGCGAGGAGGTGATGACATCGAGGGAGAGTACGCAGTACACAAAGGGCGAGCCCTCGAGTGTTTGATCTTGTTTACTATTCTTTTTGATTTGATTGGCGATATGGTTTTATTTGGATACCCTGACCTAGATGGTCATTTGAATTAATACGACAATTATATTATCGAGACATTTCCGTACCTAGTAGAAGCGACGAAGGGCTAAGCAGTAGGATTATTTCCATCTACCCGAATCCCGAGACTCTCCTTCCCGCCGGACTTTCTTCAGTGTCCACGTGGTGTTCAAGTTGCAGCACAGCATTCCCGCTCAACACGGTTGGTGGTTGCTTTCCTTGGATGCTGGTCAATGAGCAGACACAAACTTAGCCGAATCTGGGCAGCAATCTGAAACAAGACGAATATGGACAAAATAACACCAACGTGTCTTTCACCGCCCATCGACCGATATTAGGTTGGCCAGACCAAGTACAAATAGATACTCTGACCCCCTCCTGTTTTTGGGCGATCTCACGCGCGATGTTGTTCCTGCGCCTGCCGATCATCGCAAGGCACATTGATCATGGGTGGTGCCCTGCATTCCTCTGCGTGGATTGTGGCGCGCACCCACCCTGAGTCAACTCAATCAACAGAACGCCTACGTCTCATTCATACTGTCAAAAGAGACGGGATGTCTTGACCTGGAACCTGCCCGTCGACATCTGCGGAGCACTATGGCTGTATCCACAAAGCGCCCAACCTTCCAGGGATGGAGATCTTCCAGCCAGTTCGTCATCGCCACCGCGTGCCTGGCCATGTTTACTGGTACGAAGGCACACACATACCTGCCTCCTCTCGCCGACAACTGTCTCACATCCACTAACCAAGCTAGTGAACAGAATCGCTTCTAGCCGGTTTCCCCGTACCGATGCTCCCATATATGCTAGAAGAGCGTCTTCACAACGACCCCTCCAAAACCACTGCTACCATCAACAGCCTGCTCAGCCTACACGGCCTGGCGTCAATCCTCGCTGCCCCTTCTTGCGCGGCTCTGTTCGATACAATTTCGAACCAGAAGATCCCGCTCTATTTGGCTCTTGTGCTTTGTCTGGCTGGAACTGCCCTGTTTGCAATCACCACCACATGTACCCATCACCCTAGCCATATATACTTCTTGCTCTGAAAGCTAATAGTGTTGGTGACCCAGCATGGGTGCTATACCTGGGCAGGATTCTACAGGCAGTAGCTGCCTCGGCTGCATGGCTCGCGTGCACGACCATGCTCACCGAGCTCGCAGGTAGTGCGCGAGCCGGGGCAATGTTGGGACTGAGTATGTCTTTTTCAACGTTGGGAACGGTCAGCGGACCGATGCTCGGGGGTGTTTTGTTAGGCTGGTTCGGATACTGGCCAGCTTGGTCCCTGCCAATGGTTCTGCTGATCCTCGACATGATTGCGCGTTTTGTTATGATTCAGCCTGATTATCATCTATTGGATTCCCAGTCTCCAATCAGACTTGCAAACCGCAGCAAGCTATGTCAAAATGTCCCCGAAGCGTCCCCCTTCCTGCCCCAATCACCTTCATTTGACCCAGATACCACAACAAAAGCGGAGTCTTCCAGCCCTGCAACCACGGAATATCGCAACTACTACACCGTAATGCTCCAAGACGCTGGAATGTGGGCAGCCGTTCTGAACACAATGTCCCAAGCCGCACTCCGGGCAGCATTCAACGCCACTCTACCCGTGTATCTTCGAGATACATTTAACTGGGGCCCATCATCAGTCGGGGCGATATTCTTTGCTCTTCAAGTCCCTATCATCTTCTTGTCTCCCCTATTTGGCCACCTCCGGGATCGTGTCGGTATGCGATATCCAACGGCAGTCGGTTGGGCTCTTCTATGCCCGTTGATGTGTTACTTAGGTGTACCTGGCAGGGATGTTTCCCAGGCTAGTGGGAAACACACAGATGCAGAAGTAGCCTTTATTGTCTGTATATGTGGTATCGGGTTAGTGATGTCGTCAGTTCAAGGTGCCGGGTCGTTTCATATGAGGTGTAAGTCATACAGTCCCGAAATTCATATATAACAAGCGTGGAAAGTAATATAAAGGATGAATGCTGACGATGAGTAGTCCTCCTAGAGGAAGTTGAAAAAGATACCCCCACCTTGTTTGGGCCCAATGGTGGGCGCGCGAGGTGCTTCGCGCTGGTGTCTATCTCGTTCAATGTCGGTTTGATGCTGGGCCCGGTCGTCACTGGGTTCCTGTTTGAGAGTGCAGGATACTATTATATGAATATTGCTCTGGGTAGGTCTTGCCTTCAAGATGTTCTCTATATGCGTAGGGACTAATAGTGTGTATTTTAGGTGCTGCCTGTATGGGGGTGGCGGTGGTGACGTTTATGTTCTGCTGATTGAGATGTGCCTGGCATTTGGGTGGGATTATCACTTAGTAGACCGTATGCCAAGTGTATTTGCCATTATTATAATATGCACGTCCAGAACAATATAAAAGTAAAAAGAGTTCGAGAAGAACACAACTAATACAACTATAGAAGAATAATTACGACATCACGGAGATGATAGTCAATCATAGTGCTAGAATACTAATATAGATTGCTCAATTGTCTCTAATAATTGATAGGATTATTGGCCCTTAGCATAAATTCTACAGCAATAACAGTAAGCCCCATCCGCAGCATCCGATAAAAGAAGGACAAAGGGAATGCCTCTAACAGCAGGAACACACTATACAACATCTTGATTACAGGACGCCATACTTAGTAAGTAGTAAAAGCACAGCGAAAAAGGAGAGCCGACAGCTTAACCGTACTTATCCAGTGGTTCAGGATGAAACTGATGGGGTTGACTGCTCTGAGACCAACAGTTACTTTGCACTGCGCATCAACCCGTAGTCCTTGAGAGGGATCATCGTGTCTCCTCTGAAACAAAGGTGCTACACCCCGACGTGAGTATACGAGGCCCAAGCCAGCGGCTCATAGGCATACTTCTTCCTGATTCGCAGTGTTGCATCATGGACAGCTTCCGCTACTGCGCGGTTAGGGTCGACAGCAGTTGCGCGTCTTTTGACGTAAGCATCATAGAAGAAGGCAGCCATATCAACAGAGATCTGGTCATCAGCAGGCCAAATGGATCCAATAATGTGCGAAAATCCAGCAATGAGAAAGCCACTCGTTATATGAAGACCCTCATTCATCAAGTTTGTATCACGTATCTCCGCGGTAGAACACGCAGATAAATAGGCAATCCACGCGCGCGACATAGCTGGAGTTTCCAAGAGCTTGGAAACCGTGAGTTTATCAACCACTTTCCCGGACTCAGCAGTATCCTTTGTCAGAAGTAGGTGACTTTTCAAAGGATCACGCGGATCCGAGTATCCATGGCAGGCAAAGTGTACCAGCTCGGCGTGCTGAAGCTGGTTCAGTACTTCTTCGCTGGAAGGCTCCACCATATGTCGTACATTCATGGCTTGGTTTACCACCTCAGTGACTCTTTCTGCTTCTTGCCGAACACCGCTCAGCATTCCATGACCGGGAGTATCGGGCATCGTGGCGATGAGGAGCGAGAGCTTGTCCGCCGCGGCGACTCGGTGCATTGCCTGCGTCGCTCGTTCACGGGCATTTCGGAGCGCTTTAACAGTAGGTATATATGAGGATATAACACGAGAGAGGCAGTTCTCATCTTCATCAGGCGGGTCACCTCTGTAATCTCCAGCAGCATGGAATGGCAGCCCGCTGGCCAAGCCCGCTCCGATCCACCATACCCGAGTTTTCTGTCCACTAGTTGAAATTTCTTGATGGAAAGCGAGGTTATCCAAAATATGCTTCACGCATGTATACCACAACCAAGCGAGCATATCCCTGTAGTCAAAGCCTTCCTGCGATATGTCATTCTCCAGGTCCCTGCTACTGGAATACGCCCCGCCGTTCCTCGTCAGATAGTTTCGAAATGCGGGCACTTGTTCCCGCTTCATATCATTCATACGCAGGCAGATGGGTCCGGAGGGAACGATCACAATGGCATCAGAGGCGAAGTCCGATATGTTGACGATGATAACCGGCCCTTCAATGGAGCATTGAGATATGTCCTCCCAAGTCATTGACTGCAGAAAGTTCTCGAAGCCCTCCATCTCGCGAATACGCAGCTCGCAATGCCGCAATTTTTGGAAGGCATCCCGGCGCTCATTTGGTGACTGTCGTTTCATTTCATCAATACCTATGCGGTGGAAGGCTCGGTTACGAAGCGTCTCGTACTCTCGCGCGAGATCAGAATTGGCCTGCTGCAGAGCCGTTAGGTCACTCTGACTGTCGAATAAATCACCCATCATGACACCTCTGCCTTGTTCCAGCTTCAGTAATGCGTCGAAAGCTTTCATTGCACTTAGGTACGCAGTGCAAACGTTAGTCGTAAAGCTGGAGATCAATCGGAGGCTCTCGATTTTGTCGTCTTGCTCCAAATCGCGGCCACTAACTTTAGGCAGTAGTGGAAAGATGGCATCTGCAGTATCACATGCCCATTCCCACTCTCCCAATTTAATAGCACAGTAAACAATCAAATCAGCACACTGAACGCGGCGGATGGGCAAATTTTCTTCCGCGGCGCATGGCTCTAGCGCATATTGTAATGCCTGCATCCACGCTGCATTCTCTTGGGTGCGGATGGACTTTCTCACCCACAATTTTGCTAAGTTTTGAAGCGTCAAATTCATACCACGTGAATGTTGCCCAGGAATGCGTAATATATCCTCCGACAATGAGATAGACCTTTCAAGGTCAGTGAGTTTGCCAGTGATGGAGTACGACTTTTGGTACAAAAGTACACGTGAACTCAGAATCTTAACCTTTTCCTGACTGCTTAATTTACCAAATAGATGTGGGTCAATGTTATCGAACAAGTTGATGAGGTTCCCATATAGAGCATCAAGATGCTTAGGTGCCTCAAATCTGGTCACGATGGTGCACAACAAGGATATTAAGTCTGATTTTATTTCGCTGACCGGTGGAGCTGCACGGTAAGCCTTGATGATCTCCATTGTGGCTTCCAGGGCGTCCTCAAGTCTTTTTGTTCGCTCCCACCGTTTTATCAGGTAGTAAGACAATTCCCTTCTCCCCTTAGCGGCTTCGTGGTGGACGAAGTCATCTGGTAAACCGTCATATAACTTTCTCGACTGCGAAATAGCGAGATCGAGATCCCTTGTATTTCCGGTCTGTTCACTGCGTTGAGCATGTAGTAATTGGGTGTACATCTGCACAAATGGTCTCGTGAGATCTGTAAGAGACCCAGTGGTAACGGTTTGATTGAGAAGCTTAATGGTCTCATCCAATGCTTCTCCGTTATTCATCCCCTCATCGCTATAATTTAGAGATTCATGACGAAGTAAGTTCCCGATAACAACGCAATCCGGGTCTTCTGGCCCTAAGGTAGCTAGAATACTCTGCATTTTGTGAAGATCTTCTTCGTAGCCTGTGCGGTGATGTCGTGATCCGTAAAGTATAGCAAGAAGCGTCATTGCATACTGTTTTCCAGGCGAGTCATCTTCGAGTGCCGTAGCTCTCTCCAGCTGAGTAATGGCGAGTTGGAGACCTTGATCATTGCCGGTAACATAGTCCTTCAATACAAGACCAGAGGCAAGGAGGCTTCGATGCCCAGGGTTCTCTGGCTCGAGCATGACAGCTTCTTGGTAATATGCCAATGCTTTGTCAATATCTTCCATTCTCCTAAATTGCAAAAAGAGGAAGGTAAAGTGGCGTGCGGTCCTGGCAAGATGGACGGCTCTACCAGGGTCGTCAACAGGAATATTGCAAAGATCCTTCTCTAGCATATCGGTGAAACAGTCGATGGAGACCACGACCTTTTTGTCACCTCCACTAGCCATATCAGATTCCGGTAGAGAACTTCCTCGAGAGAATTCCTCTTGCATGTTGTCTTGTGTGGATGGTGGAGCCTCAACAACAGAGGCATGAGTAGCGTCGTCAAGGTCAGAGTGGCGAAGCGCACCCTCTGATGCATTCTGACTAACGTCATCTTCTGGAGGCGTCTTCGAGCTTCCAGAGTAAGTCTGCCCTTGCTGTTGTGAGATCTGTGTTGTATGCGTTGCCTACCATGCTCTTGGATTAATATAGAGAATTCGATGCATGTTTTGAGTATAGTGGGCTAACCTTAGTAGATATCGAAAATTGAATCTCCTTCACGACATTGATCCACCCCGGATACTATTTCCACATCCTAGTTTGTTAGACACCTGTGCCTCTAAGACAAACAGCAGCCTCAAGAAGATCACACCTGTGCTCTTGCCCACACTACGACCCGATCACCCGGATCAAACAAACGAAAGAGGCTGTTGTTGATTGCGTTATCCTCGCGGTATGGGCAGATAACCGACATTCGTACCCAATTATGCTGAATGCTATTCTCAGCAATCCTCATGCTGATTAGCGAGTTTGGTGCTGCTAGTTCTTTCGGAAGATTTTTGAAGTATAATCCCCGCTGGTTCACCAGTGGTTCGAAATCCTCTGGGCGCGACATGACACAACCAGGACGTGACAGGTCGTCCAAATTGGGATTGGTAGTGCCTCCGCACCCCGGGGCCAGGATAGATATCGCGAACCATGACCAGATTCCGTCCTTGGGGTTGCTGCACCAGCCCTGGTCGTGGCTTGTGATATCGAACTTTAAGGTAGAGATGTCGTGTGGAAGTGGCGAGGAAATGAGGTATAACGCGGTGTGGTTATGGGTGGGAGGCACCGAACCGTTATGTGGAGGAGGAAGGACGACGAGTTCTGCTCTTTCCCCATAGACCTGGAAATTCTCACCGGATTCAGAATTTGAACTCATTTTTGTCACGAAGTGTAGTGTGTTTATAAGAGATTGGTTTTCATAGTGGTGCTAGAGAGAGAGGTAGCTTTTATAGCAACAAACAAGGCTTGCAAACCTTGCAAGGCTGTTGCCTAAAACTCTTTCGAGTCGATGAGAAAGATAACAAATGGCTCAGCTGATACCTGAAAACTTATCTGACTGGTGGGATAATCGCCCAGTCCAAATAAGCCCTGTTCCCTTGGTGGACCGCTCTGCATTGCCACGTACACCCCCTGCAAGTTTGCTTATGTTCTTCCTATCGGGAAGCCGATTCTGCATGTTTGCTTATTGTCTCCTTATCGAATAAGTTCAGCCTGCATGACTCAGATATCATTTTAGAATATCTTCTGTTGGATTAAATCACTTCCCATTCCTAGTCTGACTAGACGCGATATATTGTTTTCGGTCTAACAGTTAGTGCGCCGACATCTTCTGAGTATCCCCGTTCAGATCGGAGCCTTAAAAGTTCTTCAGCCAGGGTATCGCGGGTCAGCGGCGCACCTCGAATCTAGCCTAAACAAATGGCATCAATCAAGCGAGCTCTTCTGATTGCTAGCCCCTGGGGAGATCTCCAGGGGACTTTTACCGACGCCGATCGCATGCGCTCTGTGTTGATGGCGTATGGTTTCCACATTACTGAATGCCGAGGGCCTCAAGCAACGCGCAGTGGTATTATAACCGCCTGGGAGAACTTAGCCTCGTCCAGTGCACCAGACGACGTGGTAGTTATCTATTACTCTGGTCACGGTGGCATTGTGGAATCTCCAGCTGCAGTGGACAATGGCTACCGGGACTGGCGTTACCAGTTTCTCGTACCAGTGGACTTCGAAGACACTCGTGGCGCAGATTTCAAAGGAATTTTAGATATTGAGATCTCGTCCCTGCTTCATTCTGTCACCGAGAAGACCCACAACGTCACTACTATCCTTGACTGCTGTTACTCAGGAAGACTGGTTCGAGCCCCTGGTCTTGGCGATACGAGCAGAGCCAGACGTGTTCCCATGGTGCGTTATGACGATGTTACAGCTTTTATCAACCGCTACGGAGAGCTTGCGGTCTCAGAGAACCGGACAGTGGCCGAAGACAACCCCTATGCTGTTCGCCTCGCCGCTGCTGCTGCATCGGAAATAGCTTGGGAAGTTCGCGGCAGTGATGGGTTATGGATGGGATCTTTTACCTTTGCGCTCGCCCAAGTTCTTCAGGAATCACAAGACCTTCGGCAGTCATGGCGAACCAGCATTCTACGAGTTCGGGAGCTAGTTCAGGCGCAGTTTCCCTCTCAGCATCCTCAGGTTGAGGGCCCCCATACTCGGATTCCCTTCTCACTCACTGAGATTGGTTCCGATGCCATTCATCTCAAGATCGAGGATGGACAACCGGTGCTCCAGGCTGGTCGTGTGGCTCATGTGTCAGAAGGGGACGTGTATGCGGTAAAATGTCTTCGAAGTGAACGGCCCTCGACGCAAACCCAGATTGCTGTATGTGAGATCATCAGTGTACAAGCCTTCCAAGCTCTAGGACGATTGGATTATACAGCAGATGCTCCGAGACAAGAGATTTCGCCTGAAGGGGCACTTGCATTCTTGCAGCAGAGCGCTCGCTACCGGTGGCCGATATCAGTGCCTCCATCCCTGTTGGGTTTACTTTGCGATAAGGTTCAACAATCACAATTCATTCGACTACCCGGTGAAAACGAACCGGGGCCTGCCCTACTCTCGCTATTTCACAGAGACAATTTCGTTGGCATCAAGTCCCAAAGTGGAATAGATCTCACAACTCGCTATATGAATCCGGAGAGCCCTACACAGTTAGACCATGCATGTCAAGCAGTTGTAGTTGACGCGGATCGTTTGGCTTGTGCTCAGAATATTCTTACTGTACGCAATAAAACAGACGAGTGGTTTCGCCATCGAGTTGACGTAAAAGTCGGGCTAGTGGAAGACCACCAGCCTAAAACGACCTTTGCTGGAGCAGGATGTGACCAATTGTACGAGGACCAGCGAATCTACATAAAGCTTCAGAATGACAGCACCAGTACTACAGCTTACGTGAATATACTCCACATCAATGTTCAAGGGAAAATATCCTTAATATCGATGTCTTGTTCGGAGGGAATTGAGCTTCCTCCTGGGCGCTCTCACTGGATTCGGAAAACGAAGTGGGGTGTTCTCGAGGGTCTCCAAGTCTCCTGGCCAGCTGATGTGCCTCGTGATAGGCCGATTGATGAGCATCTTCTTTTCTTTGTGACTAACTTGCCTGTTGATCTGCGCCCACTTACCAGTCTCCACTACACTCCTCAACGCACTGCACACTCGAAATTAGTACGGAGATTGTATCAACTATGTTGTGGAGGGCAGAGAGAGCTTATCGATAACGACGAGTCCAATCAAACAGTCTACGACATTATCCATTTCCCTCTGACTGTGATCGCACACGAGGATTCACAGGCTATGCGAGCCACTCGCCTGAGAGGGCTGCTTGACTCGTTTTGCAATGGCAGTCCTTCTCACCAAGAACAAAATTTTCCTTCGATGTTCAGTGAGACCCAGGATCTCCCAGACCTACCTCCACACCTCATTCCAGAGACAAAAGTGAGCAGCTTCCACCTACATGCCTAGCTCCTATTTAACAAGCAACTTGCCAGGGTCTCGTAGGCCAGGCTCTCCGGGTAATTCAGGGGATACCCGCTTGTGTTTGGGTAGTCAACGAGCACACCGAGGCCATCACCGTTGTAGTCTCTCAATACCGGCCATCCCGCCTATGGACTGATGCTGGTCTAAATGCCTCGACTACAGGGGTCGGTCTTGACCTGTCCACTACAGTAAGTCGTCTTCCATCGCGTCTTTCCTATCGACCTATTTTCCAGAGGCTTACTAGTACTTTCCTGATTGACCAGACGTTTACGCCTCCTGCGACGCGGAAAACGCTTGCCCCCGCAGCACCAGCCCCGAAGCAGTCCATAGCTACGTTCCCGCTGTGGACTCGGCGCGACGGATTCGGGGTTATCACCGTGTTTGTGGGTGCGACGCAGACGCTATATATCGAAAATGATCGTATCCCGATCGGAGCCACGGCCTACTTCCGAAACGAACCTGATTTGCATATCAAGGAGTATGGTAGCGACTGATAGGGATGTGAACAGTGGTGGGATGCGTGTAAATACAAGTCTGTGATTGAGTGATGCATGTGTGGGAAATTTCTCCATTGAACTTACTACTAGGCTTGACATAGATCTGAATCCACTCGTACCAGACTCCGAGTGCTGACAGCGATCATGTTTATACAGCAAACCCTCGCTTCCAGCCAAGATTCAAACCAACATTACTTATTACTATTGGTTCTTTCTGACAATATATTAGGCTTTTCCTATTCATCTAGCACATACGACCACAGGGTGTGGAAAATAGGGCTTCCCGTCCGCTCAGCCGTACTCAAGCCACACGCCGGGAGGTTAGTAGTTGGGTGGGTGACCACCAGCGAATCCCTTCTGTTGTATGTAAATTTTCTTTTTTTCTTTTTTCTTTTTTGTTGTTACCACGACTGTTGAAGACCTTCCTTCTTACTTTACAACTATCACTCCTTCCCTGCTTCATACATCCATCCGCCAGTTATTCCTTCAACTGTGGTGCATTCACAGACGTACCTCCGCACACACGCCAAGAGTTCGAGGACTCCTTTCAAGAGGGGGTCCCAATAACCCCAAAAAACCGCTGCCAAGAAAGTAATCACCCCCGAGAGATGATACTGGAGTGGATGTTGCGGTGAACTACAGTAGGAAACTGTTAAAGGGTATACTTGAAATGTATCGTAATATTTGCGTGGGAGTAACAATTGATAGACCGCATATCGCAAGCTGTTTCTTGCCGTTACGATATTATAAAAAGCTAGGACAAGATAATGATTTGATTTTCTGGGTCCCTCGAAGGGTGTTTTACTGCTCGTTGAGTTATCACCATCTCACCGCAGATAATCGAGTCCTCACTCATTCCGATGCTTCTTTCAGTCTCTGCAACAGCCTGTCTATCCTGTCATCGTCCCAGTCCTCCAAGAAGCTCCTACAGTCCGAAATAGCTTCATCCCTCGCCAAACAAGCCATGTCCACCGGGGTGTTGACCTCCTCGTCTTGAGACTTAACATTTGCCAGGGCTCCCCAATCGAGGAGAGCTTCGATCGTCTCCCAGTTGCCATTGTCTGCTGCCCAATGCAGAGCCGTGCGACCATTATCGTCTGTGGCGTTGATGTCCGCTCCAGCTTCGAGTAAAATCCTAAGATTCTCCGGGGTTCCCCTTGATGCAGCCGAATGGATTGGTAGACTGCCGTCCAACAGCCTTGCATTCATGTCTGCACCGTGCTTGTGGAGAAGTGACCTGAGTCCGTCTGACGTGCGACAGGCAGCCGCAGCATGCAAAGCACTGAAGCCTTCCGAGTCCCGTTCATCTAGTCTCGAACCTGATCTCAAGAGCAAGTCGATGATATAGGTGTTACCATTCTCTGCTGCAACGAGGAGGGGAAACGATGGATTTCCTTCCTCTACGATTGTGCCTCTCTGGTTTGGATCGGTACCTCTCTCTAGCAGTGTACTAATAAGTTCAGCATTTTGATCTCTTACCGCGTACAAAAGAGGTGTGCCGACGGTGTCGGGTGAACTCGGTGTGACCATCGCGCCATGTCGCATCAGGAGTTCAGCCATATCTCGATTGTTTGCCTTGACTGCTAGTGTCAGTGCCGTTTCATATATTGACTCAGGTGGCCAGCGGCGATTATTCTCATATAAAGTGTAGGTCCCAGTGAAACGGCGTTCGTCGGCTGCCTTGGGGTAGGCATTGACATCAGCTCCACGTTGGATCAGCAGCTCCACAATGAGTGGCCGAGTGGCGGCAACAGCATCAAGCAGGGGCGCCGTGTCTTCAGGTCTCGGATTGAGCTGATCCTGCAATCCGTTGTCGAGTAAATATGTTACGATAGAGGCTGACCCACCCCATGCAGCAGCCCCCAGTATGGATGTCTCATCATTGAGCTCTTGGCGATGAATATCTGCTCCTCTATCAATAAGCAACTGGAAAGCCCAGAGATCGGCACCCCGAACAGCATCTCGTAAGCATCGGTGCGTATCTGCTCCGTTCTGCAGGAGGAGATCAACAAGATCTTTTCTCTTCTGAGATAGAGCGCTTTGTAGAGCCCGGTGGCAATCCACTCTTGCGCCTGCATTGATCAAGACCTGGGTGAGTTCGAAACTCCCCACGTCCACCGCAGCTCTCAAGGGCGTCAGAAAGTGTGACTCAAGGTTTGGATCTGCTCCGCGAGATAGCAGCTCATGCACAAGCGCAGTATGCCCGCCTTTTATCGCCGATTGGAGAGCTATTGGGTGATCCGAGACTTGGGCGTGGCTGTTGACGTCGAGACCCTCGTCTAGATACTGTCGCACGAGCGTCTCGTCACCTGCACGGGCTGCGTATCTCAATGCTTCGTCTGGTGTAATACCATAGGCTATCAGCTCGCGCAATATGTCGACGTGGCCGCCAGCCGCGGCGTAATACTGGGCGGCGGTGATTCCACATTGGGCAGGCCTAATGACGTCTGTGGTTCTCTGCTTCATGGTCCTTGCATTTGTGATGCGCTCACACGTTAGCAATGTCTTCACAATATCACGACGACCACTACAAACTGCAATCACTAGGGCTGATGTAGGGCGTCCTTTCATGTCGTGGTAGTCCTCAGCCCCGTAATTGAGCAGAATCTCACAGACAGGTAGATGGCCCCTCGCAACAGCTAGAAATAGAGGATCCGACCTTTGGCTGCCAAAAATCCGTGGACTCGGGAAGTTGACCTTGGCACCAGCCTCTAGCAGCGTGATGGCGACATCTGAATGACCTTGAGCAGCTGCTGCACCAAGCGCCGTACTCAGTGCACCGCCTTTTGCATTGACTTCGGCCTTTGCCTCTATCAGTAACTGGACTATTTCCAGGTGGCCCATGAATGCGGCTGCTTGTAATGGACGGTGGTACAAGCCGCCGGAGACATTTGGCGACTCACCCTTGTCGAGAACTGCTTTCACCACTCGTGTCAGACCACAGTAGGAAGAGTTATATAGTGCTGTATAGTCATTGGTGTCGCTCGGCTCATCCCGCAGCCATGGTCGGTCAACCTTTGCCACTTTGCTCCATAGCCCAAAATAAGGCCCATTCTCGTCAAAGAGATCTAGTAAAATAGATTCTAGCTTGAGGTATTGCCAAGCGCCTTGAGAACGATCTTTATGCTCGTTCCAAAAGTGCCCTGCATAGCGTGCCAGCGGATGATAAATCCAGAGGTCGCGGGCGGCAGACTGAACCGCATGGTGAAAGTACGCAAGGCTACAGTTAGCCAGGACCGCATGGGACAATCTCGCATCCATGAAGAAGTCGGAGCATGAGCCTCGCAAGATTACTTCAGAAGTGAGGAGCTCTCGAACGGTGAAATGGGCTAGCTTGACATATACACACTGGGTGCCACTCGTTTCGTCCCCAAGGCAGTAAGTCGAGACAAGACTGGAGCAGGAATCAATGAAGCTTTCTGGGTCGAGGGGCTCTAGGGTTTCGTCATGGAAAGGAATGTCTCCATTATCGACATTGATAGCTATGGCGCATGTGATCTCATCTAGAGATAGCTGCAAGTGCGTCAGGGCGGGAATGATTCTTGATTTCCTATCGTAATGACTACTCACCGGCCGAAGAGCAAATGCTACCCAGCGTAGAAGGTTCTTCACGAGAATGCGGTTGCTCTCTTCGATTCTGTCGATCGTCATGGTGTAGTGTTCGTCTAATGACTTTGGTAGGTCTCTGAGAGCTTTGTGTACCGCCTGTGGTGTCGCACACCGTCGCAGTGTCTGCAGTTGGCAGTCCATCCAACGAAATCTGCAAAAGGTGTCAGCCACTCAACAGTTCTGTAGGTCAAGGCTGAATACGCACGAGCCATTGGCTTGGGCCAGGAGGCTCTCTTCAATCTTCTTCTTCAACGATATTGGCCACCGGGCAAGTTTGCCCTGATGCGAGAACTGGTGTCGTAGTGCTGTTTGCATATCAACATTCACTGTTGATTCATCAATTGTAGCAGTGGAGGTCTTGAGGCCCTCGAAAGCGTGTCGAAGTTGCTCCAAGTTTCGGCTGAACACAATTAAATGCTGTTGTCCTTTTGCCTGTTTCATCATCTCCTTAACGAAATTCGCAAGCTCGGGAACTCCATTCTGGAGGTATTCTTCGCATTCGTCGAGACCATCGAGAACAATGTAATTATGCTCAAACTGCAATAAGAGGTCATTCAGTAACCTCTTCCACGAAACTGAATGCTGTTCGTCGGATGGGCTGTTATGGTTCCTCCACGGCCTCGGGAGATAGCGAGGAATGGCTGCTCCTTGATGAATCAGCTGCCTGACGAAGGATCCATATACGCGGTTGATGTCGACTCCTCTTTCTTCCGATGCATCCATGAAGAAATAGCATAGGCTGCTACTTTGCTCCCCACCACAGTGGTCTTGAAGATCCTTAATGATCCTCGAACTGCTAGTTGTCAGATCATCATAATTCAAGTGGGCGCAGAAACACTCGTGGTCTAAATCCGATAGGGACACACGTACCATAGAACGGATTTACCACATCCAGCTGGAGTAGGACCATGAGTGATCGTTTAATCTCAGTACTGAGGGAGGCACTTACCAGCCCCCTTAATCCACAAGAGATTGTTGCGGCTAATCTTCCATTCCATGTATTGCTCCATGTTCAATAGCCAGTCGCCAGTAGCTGGAGCACACTTTTGGTACTCTTCTTCTTGTTTGGCAGATTGACTGCATCCGCCCAGCTGCTTGAGAAGCTCAGCTACCTTACGGCCTAAGACTGTTATTAGCGGTCTTATTGACTCTGAAACTCGGCTTACCCTCATCAGATTGAGCCACACTCTCTGAGAGTCTAGTAATATTCTTCTGAACACTAGGCGAAGACCGGGTGAGGTTCAATACCTCCATCATGCTCTGGCTAGACGAACCGTCAGAAAAGCAACGGGTGTTCCGTCACAAAGCACCTACGTATTATCGGCTGCTAATGCCAATTGCAGCTTGCTCTTGGTGGTCGCAAGGGTCTGTAACAATTCTTCCGCGTCTACAAGTTGCAAAGGCCACGCCAGAGCACGCCCCACACTAGAGGATTTCCCCAGTTTCAAGCTTGCTCTGAGGTCTTGCAATTGGACCAAGCACCTGCGGAGAGCGCCATCATTCCCATCCATTGTCTTCAAGGACGGCAAAGACGAGGCATTGTCGGACTCAATTGCCTTCACCAATTTCTGTGCGATAGTCCCAACACTGGAGACCTCGTCCAGAACCCGAGAAATATCTTGGGGCGCATCTCGGACGCCCATGCGGTAGTCATAGCACACGGACACCAACTTACCACATACCTGGACGATGCCGATGAGGGTGCCTACAAGGCCAATTGGTTCAACCATATCAAGTGCGCACGAGCATGCAAATCAGAATCAAGGCTCCTTGAGGCAACATTCCACGGCAGGAGGCCACAGCCTTGAAGATGGCATTTGAAGTACGAGCTAGTGGACGGGCGCGACCCAGATTGGAGATAAACTAGTCCATACATGGACATCACGTGAAATTGTCTCACAAAGCTACAAACACAGAGACGGATAGATAGCTCGGAAAAGATGTGACTGCTCACTGATTAGGCCTTGAGCGCTCACTGAGCGGTCATCCGTGATGTGAGAATTCACCGAGAAAGCCCCGAAGTACCCTCAATGAAGCGGTGGTACCCAGAAGAGAAAAGCTACGATCATTTAAGAAGGCAAGTATGTATAGAATGATACAATAAAAACTTGACGTTAAAGAGCATACTAATACAATAGTGATACAGGTTTTCGCAACTCCAGAAATAGCACAAATGTGTAATTATACCCCCTCAACTTTCTCCCCCGGTGCCAACATCTTGATATAACGATGCTCTCCCGTCTCTAACACCGTAATAGGATCGTTAACCCGCAGCGTAAATTCTATACCATCAGTCAGTTCTACCCAAAAAGCCCAAACAAAGCAATAGACAGAAGCGAATACCTTTAACAGCAGGAACACACTGCATCCCCAAGCATGCATTGGTCAAATCCCCCACATCAATGCGTCTATACCTCTTCAACGTTCGATCCGGCTCCCTGGGGTGTCGTACCCCGGTATCAGGATCCACATTGGGTAACTTGCAACGGATAGTGCGGCATGCCGTGTAGATTTCGACCCCATCGCCAGAGGAATCTCCAATAACTATCCTCTTCCATTCATCCTCCACAAACTTCCCCGGCCCCTGAACAATCACATTCGCCCTAAATCGCCTCACACTCAACTCGGGAATCTCGTCCGCACAGTTGGCAGCAACGTCCCTCACGCTCGCCATGTTGAGTAAATGGATCGGATACGCGTCCGCGAAGCCAGTCACGGGCTGGAAGCCTATATTTTCTTTGCGAGGGGCGTTGCGGTAGATTTCTCGTCTGTGAGTGGTGCTTGCACGGAAGAGGGAGAGTTTTCTCCGTTGATGGGATGGGAGGGTGGTGTCGTATGTTAGGAGATCTTTCAGGGCTGCGGGGAGGAGGTGGGAGTAGTTGTGTGCGAGGGGGATGTCTTTCCAGATCTTGACGGGGGTGAGGGGGAATTGTGTTGTTGAGTTAGGCGGGGGGTCGAGGGGGATGGTGAAGGATGATTGGGATGGGAAGATGTGCAGAGTTCTGAGCAGGGTAATTAGGGGGTTGCGAGATGGTGGGAGGGGGTAGTGTATTAGCAGGACGCCGTTTGATAATGTCTCTGGATTTGTGGCTGAATATGTAGGTGACGATGGATCAGGAATCCAGATCTCTGGACGGAGGAGGGCAAGCTGTCGGAAATCGCGGTCTCGGAGGGTGCGGGCTGTCCAGGTTCCATTCGCGTCGTCATTCTCTTTCTCATATGTTGAGGTTGATGTGTTGGTGCTAGCAGTGGCAGGTTGTGGTGAAGGGAAGAACTCCGCAAAGCAAAACAGCCGATCATACTTCAACCCCGTCTCGATCACGTCCGCTGCCTCGAGTTCCACTCCCGCGCAGCTCTTGATCGGGTATGTGAACAGCGCTTTGATGCGCCAGGCTAGGAGCCCAGATTCAGGCTCCGCGGCGGTGCTGGGTACGTCGCGGGTGTACTTGGGTGAGTACTCATCATGCAAGTTAGAGCGCTGCGATGGTGAGAGACCCAGTCTGCGGCAGCCTTTTGGGGGCGGGGGTGTGGGGTTGAGGTAGGGGAGAAGGAGAAGAATGCAGAGGAGCATGGGGAGGGTGATGGATAGGATGATGGGGAAAGAGGTTAGACCATGTTGGATCGTTGTGGTGTTGCTTGTGAGGAAGTCTAGCATTGATAGTGAAGTATTGATAAAGCGTCGCTTGTGACAAGTTGCAAGGAATGATGAAGAACGTACTAGTGAATGTTTGCGAAATAAAAATTGCTCCCGAATACTCTCGTGTGGCCAGTAAATAAGAGTGTCAGTCGGGCCGGTGTCGGAATATGCCGATAGTGGGTCCTTCGCCGGCACCAAGGCTGCCTGTCAACTGGCGTATGCTTAGGCTATACACTCTTTGTCTCCGGGAAAGGTTTCCCAAGGGCTCTGTAGAAGCCACCTTGGAAGTCGTCTGGCTTCCATGCCATCTCAGACTAGCCAACAGATTTTCTTATTTCGCATACTCATTCGAAGTATAGTCGGCCCCATGCTCGATTTTGTACCAGAGAAATACACCACTCTACCTTATCCCTTCTGAAGGAGAATGAGAGATGACAAAACAAAACTAGAAAGGAGAAGGCACACTTGGTAGTTAATATATCATATCGGGGAACCTCTACCCATCTGTAGCAGATTTTTAACAGAGATTATATTTGAATATCTTATGGTCATAGTATCTTCCCGATTATTAAAGACAGATATTTAAGTACAAGCTCCTGAACGGGGTAAAATAAGGCTAGAAGGGGATTGAGTAGCTGGAAGTTAAGAAGGATGGGGTTCACCTTTATGGGACCAAGCTTGTGTATATGTATAGGGAGTATTGTCGAGATTTTATTGAATGTTACTGGGGTAGGGGTGGGTTTTTCGATTTGAGAAGAGGTGGACTGATGAGGTATAGCAGGCCTTGAAAGTTGCTGTTGATAGAGATTGAAGGGTATTAGTAGACTGTAGGAGCATAAGGCCACGTTGTTCGCTGGTTGTTGTCCTCGTATGCGTTCTAGGCGTGGTTATCTAGGAACCTGGATGGCGCAGAGGCCCGCTGGGAAGGCCTCAACCCAGAGATGTATGGCGACAAAGTGGAAACACGACTTGAGAAATGCGTGCTATAGGTGATTGAATAACGTTTGTCCTAGTAGTTGTCATGGGCTTAGCTACATAGTGAACACCAACTCGAACATAGTTCTCACTGCAACAAAGCATACAGTGGAGATATCTTAATCAAAATGTGTCAAAAGCAGCATATATGTCTACTGAAGAAACGATGCTTCCATCATTAAAGTCAAGGGGATCGTATGTGAATCCTTGTTGCATTATTGAGGTACCCGCTGATGATTATTACCCCAAAGCAGGAAACCGACTGTCAAATCGTACTGTAATCATCATAAGGGTTGATTGAACGTGCTCCGCAAGCTGAGAAACTCTGCACCATAACCAGAAGCTTTGATTGACTTCCCCTCATCCGAAAAGTTGAAGATGTAGGTCCACGGAGTATTCGGACAAATGTCATTTTATAAATCTTATCTAAAGCTCTGTATTATTATTATAGTCGTAATTCTTTTTCCTCCTTTTCATTTCTCACTAAAATGTTCTTATTGATTTTCTTACTCTCAACTTAGATCTTTGCATGTGGTGTTATGTGCGAAGCATGAGCTCTCACATCTTTCACGACGAGATGATCGAGATCATTTGTGTTAACAAAGGCTGGGTGTGCTTGCGAAAGGTCCGTGATCCCGACCAACCTCATGGCTGTCTCAAGCTCGGCTTGAAAGACTTGCATTACAATCACAACATCAGCAGCTACACTGAAAATCGAAAGTATAAACTGGACTCACTATCAAAAAGATGCTGGGGCCCTTTCTCTCCGTAGGCGAGGGAGTAAAGAAATGGCCGCCCAACAAGAACCGCCTTTGCTCCCAAGCAAAGTGCTTTCAGTATATCAGTGCCACGGCGGACTCCTCCATCAACGTAGACTTCTACCTGACTGAATATTGAAGGTAAATGCCGTTGCAACTCCAATAGTGTAAGTAGACCTGGAGGGGAGGTGTCGAGGTTTCGCCCGCCGTGATTGCTTCAGTGGTTGGTCAGTCTTTACAAGCCGGCCCAAATAGACTCGGTATCCGAGCAGAAATCAAATGACTGACCTCAGGACAATCCCACTCACACCGGCTTCTGCTGCTATCTGGGCATCCTCTACAGACTGTATGCCCTTGATGACCAGCTTTCCGGGCCATTGTACCTTCAGCCACGTGAGGTCATCCCAGCAGAGTGAGCTGTCAATGAACGACCCAGTAGTTCGAGTAAGACCGCTCCCCGCGCCATCTTCCCTTGATCGAGTGCCTGTCATTGGCATTGCTATCATCCCTTGTGCTTTTACCTTCTCATCGGCTTCACGTTTGCCAGCAACAGGTGCATCAATGGTCACGAACAAGGTGCGAATACCGAGATCCCAAACCCTACGCAAAAGTGATTCAGAAACTGTTCTGTTCTTAGCGACGTATAACTGAAAGAAAAAGACGGTCGCAGGGTAAGGGACGCCCGAGATAACGTCTTCAACTGGACTGGAGGCTGTGATAGGTACCTGCGCAATTTATCTCAGAGCAAATTAGCATGCGAAACGGGCTCGAGAAACAATTAAAGGGGTAATGGAACGGGAGAAGGAAGTTTAAAAGTAGTGTAAGTTGACAGAATCGTAGAGTTCGATTCATGTTCACCATGAACAACGTACACAGTGAAAGATGCCTCTGCTGGCAGCTGCCTTTGCTATGGCTTCCTCACCGATGGGATTGGCTAGCTGTGCCAGAGCCACTGGAGCAACAATGACTGGCAACGAGCATTCGACACCCTGGACTGTACATTTGGTGCTTACGTCCCGCACGTTGCGCAGCAACCGGGGCCGAAACCAAATGCGGTCATAGAGCACTCTGTTCGCTTTGAGAGACAGCAGATCTGTAGCTCCTGAGGAGTAAAACGTCCACGCTTTCTTCGAGAAGGTATCCTGCGCAACAATTTCAAAATCTCGGGCACTGAGAATGGTACTTAGAGGCGGCTTGAGTGCGGGCCGAGGAGCTGCTTGTCGGACAGAGCTGTTGTGCCACTGCGTGTCGAGAGAGGACCGATCGAGCTGACCGACAAGTTCGTTTGCAGTAAGAACCCTAGATATAAGATCGGGGGCGTGGACTTCATTGTAAGCCTGGGATGCGTCTTGTCCCGCATATCGAAGAATGGCTGACCCCAGACAACTTGATCAGCAGAGAAGGTTCCATCGATCTTCACCGACCGTTGAGCGAAATCGTTGGTTCGAGGCCACGCATGATCTTTAGACTTACCGTCACAGCCACCTGGGTGTTTTGGAGCAAATTTACTCAAATCCCAGACATCTCCATTAATCACAACCCAGCAATCACTGGGACTGCAATGTTGGGCAACTTCGCTCACAGAGATCTGCATGGTGCCAGCCATCCGTAAGCGCTGAAGGGAGTGGGGATACTGGGGAGAGGGAGTGGAGGGAGAGAGAGCTGAGGGAGGGGGTATTTACATTTTCTTTGTGAAGACAAGCCACTTGCTCCCATGCAGCAGTGGTTGCCGGCCGTTCGTCTATCACTAAAATCCGAGTGCATGTTCCAGTACTGGTGCATTTCCAAATTCCTTCATTACCCGACAGGATACCTCAAGAAGTTACGCAGGGACAGTGAACAAGGGTCAGGGCATCTACTAAATTAGTGTCACGCATTACGGCCAAGTCCTCCGAGCCAAGTGGCTAGCTTTTCCAAGAGCCAACCATCAAGAACAACAGGGTTCTCCTGCATATAGGTGCATGACAAGCAAAGGTCGTAATTTAGGCAGCCGTATTACCGCGTACTTAGCGCAAAGAGTTCATTCTGGACTTATCAACTCATCGTAGCCGCTACTCCTAGTACTAGTACCATGTACTTAGATAGCATGGCTCTGGTGACCAATGAAGTGAGAGTGTTGAGGAGATAAGGCCTAAGGCCCAGATTTGCGGATCCTTGCAACCTAGTACTGAATACCACCTTCCAATTCCCCAAAATGTGCTGTAGGGCTATTCGGACATATTACCCTTTTCTGGTTAGTTTGAAGACCGGGCCCGAAGTCAAGCAATATGTGAGTTGAGTAAGACCCCTAAAGCTCACATTAGTTACCCATGCTCCACGGTGCTGCCCGCTCACCCCACTCCAATCTTCCCTTCTCCATAGCTTTACCTGTCCCATTTTGCTCAGCCCACGGCTTCACCTTTACCTCAGTTCTACTCGAGGATATTCGACACTTTCTTTACTGTCATGGAGCCAGCATCAGAAGCGAACGAGCTTTCCGTCGTACCCAAGCAAGAGAACCACCGAGAAGGCCACCTGATTTCAGAGCAGGTAACCTCCGATCATGAAGTGGCTCTAACTGCCGCCCAAGACAAACTACACAACGCCGCTGTGGTGATATTTTGCATATCATGTATCACCTTCATAAGTTCATACTTAGGTGGGCTGGTTACCGTTTCTGTTCCGCAGATCTCCTCAGATTTGCATCTCAGCCCGGGCATGAAATTATGGTCTGTTATCTAGAACTTGCTGTTTAGCATAAAAGGCACGACTGACATATCCCGAATTCATATAGGCCAGTGTCAATGTACACTCTTGGTACAGGATGTACACTACTTATTTCAGGAGCAGTCTCTGATGTAGTGGGTAATAAACCAACCTTTCTGACTGGCTGCTTTTTACAAAGTGTCTTTTCGATGGCTTGTGGCCTTGCTCACAGCGGTACTCAACTTATTATTTTTCGGGTCATCTCTGGAATTGCAGCTTCTTTTTGCTTGCCTTCTGCTATGAGTATCATCACTGAACATTTTCCCTCTGGCAAATTCCGGAATATTGCGCTTGCGTTGATGGGCTCCGGTCAGCCTATTGGATTTGGAGTTGGGCTTCTTCTTGGGGGTGTATTTGCAGATACTGTAGGATGGCGCTGGGGCTTTTACAGTGCTGCCATAGCTAATAGCCCGGTGCTTCTTTTATCAACTCAACAGCTACCTGGAAAAATCAAGCAAGAAGGTATCATATGGCGTCGTCTTATCTTCGGCATTGACTGGGTCGGAGCTCTGGCTGCCAGTGCTGCGTTGGCTCTACTATCTTATGCCCTGGCGTACGTATAAGACCCAAACTAATATGAATGTATGCTGACATTATTTTCTTGTTTCTATAGGGTCATAACTGATGACGTATCCAAGATCCATGATGCTACTACGATTATATTCCTTTGCCTATTTGGTGGCCTAATAACCTTCTTTATCTTCTGGCAAAATCGACAGGAAAAGCATTCCAGACCCACTTTAATCAAGAATTCATTATGGAAGAAGGTCGGATTTACATGCATTTGTATAAATGTTTTTATGATCTGGGGTGCTTTCAATGCCTTTGAACAGATGGTTAATTTCTTCTTTCAAGATGTACAACAGCTGTCTGTACTTGCAACATCAGTGCGGTTTATTCCTGTTACTGTCATGGGCCTACTTACTAGTCTTGCTACTGGTATGAATCTACGCTCAGCACTCGCAAGATGATAAGCTTACTCACCAGCCCTACTACAGGTATATTCCTACATCGGGTACGCGCAGACACTCTGATCAATGGGGCTACGATTCTCTCATCACTTTCACCCCTGTTATTAGCTCTAATTGACCCAACATGGATATACTGGCGCTGTGCATTCTTTGCCATGTGTCTCAATCCAATTGCAGCTGATGTGCTATTCACTGTGTCGTCACTTATTATTGCTGGCATGTTTCCTGCTGAGACTCAAGGCCTTGCAGCAGGTGTCTTTAACACAGTATCACAATTCGGCAGGACTATTGGACTGGCACTGGTTGCATTAATTGCTAACAGTGTCACTGAGAAGGATTCCACATCAGACAATGATAGTCCGGGAGCCTTGATGGTGGGCTACCGGGCATCCTTCTGGTTCCTGTTTGCAATGAATTTCGCCAGTCTAGTGGTTAGCCTAATCGGGTTGCGGAAGATTGGTAATGTGGGCCGGAAAGGGCCGCCGGACGTCTGAAGATTGGTGTGAGGATCAGCCTCTTATGATATCCGTCTAGTTTTACACATGGATCAACCATAGGGAGATTTTGGAATGTTACTTCGCAGAACTGGCTACATACAAATCGGGAATGCAATTATAATCTCTCGACTGTATTGTTATACCTCCTCTTTGGTTTCGCCTTTTCCTTTCCTCATTTTCCTGGGAGCCAATAGTTTTACTCTAGGCGTGCCCTCGTGTAACTTTTTTTTTTCTCTTTGATTTGTTTTTTATTACATAATCCAGACTGAAGGAGATCTCCTAGATGGAAATGTGCTCATGAAGGCCTTAATAGTGCTATCTAATCTTTCAATATCCTGCTCATTGAGCGCTCCCACCACCTCAATTTCTCACACCACCTATGGCGTAGTTTTATAGCCTTGGCGCCACGGCACCATGTTCCGTTGGTGGCACGAATGCCTCAAAATAATCGTTCAGAGCTGAAGCACTCGCTCGTCCATCAGTGAGCTCTAAGATACACCCAACATACCCATCGGGGCGTACGACGACTATACCACCCCTGTCCGCATCGAAGCCCATCTTGCGGTGAGCGTTACTCTCTGCAATCTCAGCTACCCGCGACGATTCACGATCATCCGCATAAACGTGGTGTCTATAGCAGGCGAAATAGTACGGAAGTCTCTCCTGGATCTCAATTGTTGATCGTGGTGCATGAAAGACAATCGAAAAGGTGAAAAATGGGGAGTGGGGATTGTGTCTCCCCTCGTAAGAGGTATCGATGTCCTTCCGCTGGTATCGGTGGAAAATGCTACCCTTGGCCTGCAAATGGTCGGCGAGATCAAACATCGCCTGCGAGGTGGTTACGGGGTTGCCCGCAAATATGTAAATCCGATAGCTACCGTTGAAAGGGATTTCCTGTTCCAGGTAGACTGGATGGGCATCAATAACTCTTGTTACGGTTGCGGTAGGTAAGCTGCGACCCGGACGTAGGGTTGTTGTGTCGGTCGAGCAAATTGTTGAAGCCCAGGTCAGGCTGTTGGCGGGATATTCGACACCGTAACCACTCGTCAAGAGCGAGTTCTGCTTGAATACCTGGACAAATTCCGAGCTCGGAGCAGAACTATTACCGCTAATGGGCCGATGAGAACTAAACAAGTTTGCGTATGTCGCATCGAACTCAATCAGCTTTGCTGCTGCGAGCTTCCTTTCCCCTTCGTATGTTTTCAGAAGGGAGCGGCGGAGAAAGCCAGCTTCAACTAGGTGCAGTTTCCACGCAAGATTGTGTGCATCTAGGAAACCATAGTTCATACCCTGACCGGCTTTGGGCTGTAGGAGATGAGGCTGTTAGTTTAAATATTACTTCTAGCGTCTAGGCGTCTATCAAATACTTACACTGTGGGTATGGCATGCGTCTCCGCCAATAAAGACTCGCTCATCGAGCGAATATTTTGCAGCGAGTCCTTGTCCAATTCGGTATGCAGAGTGCCACTCCACTTTTTCCCACTCCACTTTATATGGAGCAAGAATTTCATTGGCCACCTGCTGGATCTTGGGCACAGTCGCAAATGCGAGAGGTTCCTCTCCATCTTTGGGATAGATCTGAGCATAAATACGAACTCGGTTGTTTCCGTGAGGAATTATCATAGCTGACCCTTTGGGCGAATGGACGGTACATTTAATCTGAGTAGTAGGATTATTAGCCATTAATTTCAAGTTTCGGTGATATAAAGGAGAATATGTACCTGAATATCTGGGAAGTCGCTTTTTACCACCCCATCAATGACACTCCATACATGGATTGTTGGATCTTTCGACAACATCGGCACCCCAAGAAGATCTCTCACTCGGCTTCGTGCTCCATCTGCACCGAACAAGTATTTCGTTCGTACAGTCAATCGCCTTGTACCGTCAGCGCTGACGAGATCCACTACCAGTGGGTGGTTGGAATATTCTCTGCACGGGTCTTTCCTAAACCCTGCGATGGTCCACGTCCTCTCGACCTCAGCCCCTCGTTCCCTTAGATCATCCAGGAATACCTTTTCAATCAGGCCTTGGTGGATAATAGTAGAAAATGGATGTCTGGTATCGATGTAGTCAGGATAACTCTTCGCCGTTCCCGTGCGTCGAATTCCGGGCCCGTCCTTAGAAGAATCCCAGAATGCAACCTCGTAGATTCGGCCTGGGTTATAGGACATGATGGCACGTTTGAGATCCAGATTTTGCAACACATCGAGAGTCCGCCCCTGGATCCCACTGGCGCGCCCAGTCTCTGTCGGCCCGGACCGTTGGTCAATGTGCTTGATTTTGTAAGGTCCCAAGCGCAAGAGGCATGCTGACATCATGAGCCCTACCGGGCCAGCGCCTACAATAACGATATCGTAGCATTCGGCCATGGTTTAAAATTCTTTTGCGTTCTTTGTATACCCTTCAAGATCTAGCTAAAATGAGAAGCTTCTGAGTGATGGTCCAAAGATACCCAAGGTGATTAATATGGTCTGCCGAGCCAGAAAGAGAAGTGGCTCTTTAACTTCCTATGATGTTGAGAGACTCCTCCAAAAAAAGAAAAGAAAAGAAAAACAGACACATTACAGGTTGTCAGACGAAAGCATTGCAATAGCCGTCCCCTTGCCATCGACCCCGCCGGATTATGTGTGCCACTTGCCCCAGCAAGTCTTCGACCGGGGGTTTACCATTCCCGACACAGCAAGGGGCGTAATCCCTACTCATGAAAACCTCCGAATCTCCAAAAGTGCAACCGAGGTGGAGTACACACACACTGATGACGCGTCAACAAGCCAAGAAAGGCTATGGAGACAGGGGAAACCCCGGCCCCTGGAAAAGACGCCTCCGTCACCTAGCTTGCCATCATTGAATTTGGAAATCTGAACCCAATGACACTTCTGGGCGGAGACTGATAGAGGTTGTTCAGGGCTACTGACCCGATTTTGTCGCCATCGGATAACGCGGCATACTGTAGTGTGGCGACTGAGGTGGAGTCGTCGCTTTCTTTCGGAGCTTTGGGGTAGGTCCCCTCTCCCTGTCCCAGGCTGCCGCGGCTGGCATCTCCGATGCTGCAGATACTAAATTGTGGGAAAAGGAAGGGATTTCTACTAAGGGATGCTGAGGCCTACGGGACCCGCTGGGCGGGCCATGGTATCCATTAGATTCTACAATCTGTTTTCATACAATGACCATGAGGACAAGTTATTGTTTTGGTATTGTACCGATATGTGAATTTGCACATTGGTCGTAGATGGGGCTTAGCTACCCATCTTCTTCAACCCTGTTCTTCATCGGTGTTCTTCTACTGATAAGCAGATGGGCCACCCTGCAATTTCACAAGTTCTACAATTATGTGAAGTGACTTACCTCGGCCTTGGATGCCACAAATAGAAATGTGCTATAGCCCTCGCAGAACCTCTGGACAGTGAGCGGCCTCCGGATCGGCGACTACCGCTTTAGCGCAAGTTTGTATTCGCTGCAATATAATCTAGGGTTCAATGCAGGCCATTACACGGACTCCGGGTCGGAGTCCGGAACGGAATCCTTCAAGGGGAGTCCCACCTCGCAGTCGCCGAACCGCTTCTAGGCCCTCCCATTATCTATAAAGAAAACGAGACGCGGGATGCTTGCATACGGGTCAGCCATTATCTGCGGCCCGAGGAGGGCCGCACCACTAACTTAATCGGAAAGTAGTACGGTGGCTGATGCCCCTCTCGGTTACGGGCGGCACAACAAAGCTTATCATAACCAGCAAACTTGGCGTACTTTTGTAGACCCAGCCGTGCTAAAGTCTACGACTCATTCCAGTAGCGCTACAGCTAGCACCAGTATTCGGACTTATCAATTGACCGGCGCTTTATCGGGTACAGTATCGAAATGAGACATATCATCACGTAATTAGCATGTAATCTTGATGTAACCTTTTCTGTTGTTGGAAACGGTGCGATAAGAATTCATATTGAAGTAAAGTACCTTATTTTCTTGATTATATAAAGTATGAACTATAAATAGATATACTATACTACCAAAAATGTATAATCAACAAAGCCAGTAATAATACTTACCAGTAGTAATTACGCCGAAAATCACTCGAGTGAGGACCGAGGCAAACGAATAGAAGGCGTACACGATATAGAGTAAAAGGTAAGTACGCAAACTTCACTAGTCTCTTGTTCACAACCACCAGCATCAAGGACGGTCGTATCACATGGCTCACTACTACTAGTGACACATGGTGTGAAACCAATATTCTCGTAAATAATTAATCTTGTACAAGTTAGTATGCTTGGGAAACAAATCATACTTCTTCATAACCGCGTGCACGCACTCAACGTTTTGATTGATGGATTTTTTTTACCCTTATCCTCTGCTGCAGCACAGCCAGGGGGGTGCTTCTGCTAAAACGCCACGACCAGCACGACCGTCGGACAAGGGAGATTTGTGATCAATGGAACCCTTGTAATACATGCAGTAATTACCGTAATCACCTATGAGTGAAGCGTGCCTACTAGGTAGTAATTTCTCACCGGTGCTATTCGCAAACTCCACCGACCAATCAAATAGCTTGTAGCCAAACCTGAACGCCCTCGAGCGAAATGTTCAGCGAGAACAATGCACTAGAGCAGAAGACGGTGTAAGACACGAGTAACCCGAGAAGGGCAATTGTTCAATTGATGCCGTCATACACTACAGAAACTCAGATACGCATTGAACTTCCTATTCTATTCATATAAACGTACAAGACCCAATTAATAAATGAACTCCTATGGTATTGTCTCTGGTATAGGTTTCAGGAATTGTGGCATGGTCATTTCTCCTTTCATATCGGATGCATCTGAGGGATTTGCACCTAGGAAGCCGCATGAAGCAGGACGGTGTAATCTCAACTATAGCCGAAAGACCTCACGTAGTGCAGCTCCTAGTCCTCGAATAGCCTCCTGCATTGTATCTGGAGGAACGCTTGCATAAGTCATACGGAAGAAAACCTTCTCCATACAACCCACTTTGTTCTCAGGCAGAAAGGCACTACCAGGGATGACCAGCGTACCGTGGTTGATAGCACAGTCATATATCTCCTGTTCAACCGCTCGAGCAGACTTCGACAACGCATCGGGATGCTTTTCCCAATCAACATATATCCAGAGCTAGATTGTATCAAGTTAAAACCAAAGCCTCTTAGTGTAAAGTAAAGGTACTGTATGAGGAGTATTATACTCACAAAGAATCCTGCGCGTGGGGGAGTCCAAGATGTGATCTCGCCTGGCAGATGTCGCTCGCAGAGATCTAACATAATGTTGCGTCTCTTGCTATACTCACTTTGCAACTGGTTGAGCCATCTTTTGAACCCAGAATGGCCCCAATAATCATGCAGAAGCTTGAATATGGCGAGCTGAGAGAAACCGCTCGGATTCTGCACGGAAACTTCATGAGCGCGCACGAACCGTTCGATTATTTGTTCCGGCGCAGTGACCCACCCCATTCTGGCTCCGGGCGCGATAATCTTGGAGAAAGAATCCATCCGGAGCACCCTTCCATCATTATCGATGTTGAGGTAGCTAGGAAGAAGCGTCCTGTCAACAAGTTCTGCGGAGTTTGGTCGAATAGCCGAAAGGTCGGTATCTCGTTTCTCCTCGGATGTTGGGGATGTATACGGTGGGAATTGAATGTAGTAGTAGGGATCATCCTCCAATATGAGAAGGTCGTGCTTTTGTGCGACCTTGTAGATGTCTCGTCTTCTGTCAGTAGGCTGGGTCGCTCCCGACGGATTTTGACCGCAAGGAATAATGTATAGGAGCCGCGGCTTCTTTCCCATTTCCGCGTCTTCGCTCCAGTTGGAGAGAACTTCGTCGAGATGGGCAGGAACCATTCCAAAATCGTCCATTCGAATGCCTGCAAATTTGAGGCCCATTGGTAAAGCTGTTTCGTAGACGGTTGGGTAGGTGTACTCCTCCACTAGAAGATAATCACCTGGCTTTGTAAACATTCGGAGAACGATATCAAAGGCAGAGGTATTCCCAGCTGTCAGGATGCATCTCCAGTGCTTATACGGCGGGTCATGGATGATCTTAAAACGAGATTGATTAATTAGCTCAGGAGACACTGGAAGACGGAGGCCGAATCTGGGTATGTATATACTACCTTGACATGCTCAGAGAGAAACTCCAAGAGCTGTGTAGATCCAGTACCCTGACCATATTGTAATGCAATCGCAATATCGTATATGCTATGTCCATTCTTGCTGTCATGCTTGCCAGCGTGAATTTTCGCAGTTGCCTTTGAAGCCATTTTGCCATCCGCGGTCTTCGGTGGTTCGGACAATGGAACCTCGAAGTCCATACCATAGAAGGGGAAGTAGTCAGTCGACGGTGCGCCAGGGCCAAGTGATCGTATTTCTACCACTAGCAGGCATCAATTCATTTGTTGATCAAGATGAGCGGTATACTACTTACCCGACTTATCGAGAATTTGGTGCATTCCCTGCATAACGGACTTCTACACAGGAGCGTTAGCTTCTCGTGAGTCCAGCGAATAAAGTCTCAAGTAGGTTTACCTTTCTCAGCTGGCTTTCCCGGCTAAAGAGGCCTGAATAATGCGTATATCTGATGTTAACCAAAGTATAAATGCCCTCCGGGCGTGGTAGTTCTCACCCTTCCAGTCTGGCGCCGCTGGGGCGACAGAAGGCTGCCCCAAGGGCGCGGGAGAAGAGGAAGTAGTAACGTTAAGCTCTGCCATATTGAGAGAAGTTGGTATGCCCTTTGACGAGGTTATGTTGCGATACGCTCTTGATTTGAAATTGGCTTGGAAGCAGGAAGGTAGGCAATAGCAACAACAGTGCGTATTATAGCACAATAATTGGTCCGGGTTCACCGTTGACATGTGCTCTTCTTCGAATTTTTGCGAGCCGCTGGGAGTATGAGTAGTGCTAGTGCCCCTTTCCTGCCAGATATCACTAATTACCTTCCAGCTAGCAATAGGCGGTTGAGTTCCTTATCTTTCAATTGAAATACAATCGAGAGGAAATATGTGTCAAGACAAGCATCAGGGTAAAAAGAAAAAACAAGGCTTGCCACCTGATGCTACCATATACGTGGAAAAAATGTGGTAATATAACAAACGCCATTTCAACTTGGTGTAATAGCATGTAATGACACAATATCAAGAAAGTTCCGGTGTTTGCTCCATCCTCATTTCTCCTTCCCCTCCCAGAGGCTTGCATGGTGCATAATGCATGATGCATGCACGCTGCGCCACCCATTAGCTGAGATGTAACATGGCCAAAAATCTCCGAATCTTGATTGTATCCTGAGATAGCTCACGATAGGCCTCTGGAGATGGTTTATAAATTTGGTCCAGGAACAATGTCTCCGACCCAGTATCCCAAGGCATCGTTCAGCTTCAGCGTTCCTGTCGCATCGCTCGATCACATTCATCTTCAAGTTTAGTTTACTTTTGCTTACCTGCCTTCTGAAACTCCCCACTATCTGGGCATCATGCGTTACAACGGCGTAACCGGCGATTCATCCAAAATCCCGGCCAACTTGGCGGTGATTAAAAACATCAATCCAAACTACACCGGGTTTGACTACATCTCCTGGTATCTTGGCAATGCTCGCCAAGCTGCCACCTACTTTGTCGCTCATTTTGGCTTTCGGGTTATTGCATACAGCGGACCAGAAACTGGATCGCACCTGACAACTTCCTATGTTGTTGCCAACGGTAACGCTCGCTTCATGCTGACTGCTCCAGTGACTGGGCCGCAGAATATCCCCTCCGACAAGGATGTTTCCGAGAAGGACCGTAGTCTGATGACCGAGATCCAAGCACACTTGGTCAAGCACGGCGATGGAGTTAAGGACATCGCCTTCCAGGTTGACGATGTCAGGGGCGTGTGGGAGCATGCTGTTCAAAACGGGGCTACATCTATCTAGAAGCCAACTATCCTTACCGATGACAAGGATGGGGAAGTTCTCTGTGCGACCATTAAGACTTACGGCGATACAGCTCACACCTTGATCAATAGATCAAATTACCGAGGAGTTTTCCTTCCCGGCTTCCGCTCAGTTAATGATATGAACGCTCTGAATGAGTTACTGCCAAAGGTGGATCTTATTGAAATCGATCACTGTGTCGGAAACCAACCCTGGAATGGTCTTGACGGAATTGTCAAATAGTAAGCATATGCAGTCGACCACCCCTTCCTCAACGCCTTGTCTCCCGTCTCGTGGCACTCTGATACTTTCAACATGGCCTGCTGATCACCGTATCCGTTCAGTTACGAAGATGCCCTAAACTTCCACCGCTACTGGTCTGTGGATGACAAGGATATGTGTTCCGACTATTCCGCCATGCGATCCGTTGTTGTGGCATCGCCTAACAATGTGATCAAAATGCCGATGAACGAGCCAGCCACTGGTTTGAAGAAATCTCAGATCGAAGAGTGAGTTGCCGTTAAGAGAGAAATTTGAACAGATAGACAGCCCCTTCTTCGTCTATGAAACAAAACATATCCAGGAAATCTGACTAACCATCATAACTATTTCTAGATTCGTGGACTACTACGGTGGCGCAGGCTGCCAGCATATTGCTTTTCGAACCAACAACATCATTGAAGCCGTTGAAAACCTTGCAAGCCGTGGTGTAAGCTTTCTTTCCATGCCCAGCAGCTACTACGTCAACATGCGTGAGCGACTAGCTTTGAAGAATGTCAAACTTGCCGAAGATATCAACCTCCTGGAGAAATACAATATCCTCATCGACTTCGATGAAGGGGGATATCTTCTCCAGATCTTCACGAAGCACGTGGGCGACCGTCCAACTGTCTTCATGGAAATCATTCAGAGAGAGAATTTTGATGGCTTTGGAGCTGGGAACTTCAAGAGTCTGTTCGAAGCTTTTGAGAGGGAACAGGCGTTACGCGGGAATCTATGAGCTTTCTTTGGAGATAGTGCACGAGCTTTTCCAAATGCCTTTGAATACATGTGATTCCTTGCTGTATCGGTTTCCGGCTTTTCTGTTGATGCAAAAATGATATCTGGTTAGAATGATTTATGTATGCTGATGGGAAGTAGAATGGAGGGTAAATGGCGCATTCTATGAATATCCAAGTTCCAAGTCTCCAATGGTTTTTTGTCTCGACCTTGGCGACCTGACAAAGAGTTCAGGACCTGAGCAAGAATAGTGCGGCCGAGGACGAAAAGAATGATATTAAGTACATTCGGTATCTTCACAGCAGTCGATTTGATGCTATCCGACGTAGTATATATTCAATGGTAGTATGAGTCCATAATCACATTTTTTCAGGAGTTTCGCCAGTATTGCCACTATCCCGACCCCTTTAGTACCTTACCTCAACATTGTTATATTACTATGGTCACCTCAGAGAGAACATCTAAATAAATGGAAGATAGCTATTTTGAGCACCCCGTAATTGCGTGTACCGACTTAGAAGTCGTGAAGAATATAATTTTCGTGCATAACCAAACCAAATCGAACAACTAAGATAGCTGCTACATATCAAATTTACGGCAACATCATCGTGAATACCTTCGTCCTCCGTCGATCGATCTCTTGGATAACCTTCTCGCCATTCTCGGCCCACTTTTCAAATACCTGCCCAACCAAATACTCAATCCTGTCCTCTTCCTCTTCGCTCAAACTCTCCTCAAATGTCTCTTTCACCGACGAGGCTCTTTCCCTCCAAACCGTAAGCTGTTCCTTATCCCCTTGAATCTCACACGTCCGAGCGACTGCCTCTATGGCCTCCAGTGCTGGTAAAGAATTTTCTTCTGTCAATGTAGCCCATGTCTCAACAACACGACGTTGCATAGCACTGCCCTTCATTAACTTGGGGCCGCCCTGTGACACAAGTATACTTCCCAGAATAGCGGTTGCGCGGAGTGACTCTGGACTATTCTCGTCTGTACTCTCGGTAATCGTCTTCAACGCCTGCCTTGCAAGTGCTTCTGCCGTCGTGTGGTCCCCCAGTCCCTCGTATGCCCGAGCAAGCCCAATGTCCAATTGAGCCATTATCATTCGTTCGGGCACGGTATCCTGTCGCACTCGCTGCAAGTAGCGGTCTTTACACTCAAGGCTGAGTACCAAAGCATCCATAAAATTCCCCTGTAAGCTAAGCGTATCTCGGAGGCGCAAGGAGGTCCGCAGTGTGCGCATGTCCATCGTCCCTAGCAACTGAGCTAAGATTGAATGCGTCTTTTCGTAAATATGCTGGGATTGTTGCCAACATCCTGCTCTGCTCAATACAGTGGCAACATCTTCAATGATGGATACTATTCCGAGGAGAGAGGAAACAGTGGACTTCTCAACGTCCCAGGCATCCTCATACGCCTTGCTCATAATGTCAACTACAAGCGATCCTGCCGAGCGATATTGCCCCATTTCCATATAGGCCAAAGCAAGATTTGTACGGCAGCGTGCCACGGTTTCTCCAAGAGGCTCTGCCTGCCTCTGAACCTTCCCCAGTGCCTCAGAAGCCATGCTCAAGGCGGGAGAATATCGCCCCTGCTCAAGTAAAACCAAGGAGCACCTGACCATCACGTCTGATTCCAGCCATTCCATCTGACTGCGCCCGTTTACAATGGTCAGCGACTCCAGATATTGTTCTTCTGCCTCAGCAGCCTTCCCAAGCAGCCTGTACACGAAGCCAAGCGTCCGGAAGGCTGATAGAGCTACATACGGCAGTGTCTCGATTCGTGGTCTTACTAGGCGTACCGCATCGCGCGCCATGTGCTCTGCCACGTGAAGATATTCGCACCGATCAATCCCGCAGTCAGCAAGTCTACCTGCGATATTCACCATGCGATCGAGGTTGCCCTTGTGGCTCACATCCTCAGCCTCCAAAGGGTACTCGAGATTAGTGTACAGGCTTGGCCTTGCTTCAGCATGCCGTCCTTGCTGGATGAGGTTCAATCCGAGTTCGAACTGGCTTAGACAAGCGGGTACACTCCCGCGGCCTAGTTGACGTTGATTCATTTGTGCGACCTTTGTCCGAAGAGGCTGCGCCGCCAGGCACATATCCCATTTCTCGTAAAACTCGGCTAGATTCCTCATCGTGGCGACGGTTGACTCTTGGTCACCCACTTGTCGGATGTAAGACTTAACAGACTGAACTAGGAGAGGCTCAGCTTCAGCATGTCGGTTCAGGGCGACCAAGGCTTCTGTCAAACCCGTGATGGTATCAGTCTCTATGGGAGAACCTGTGGTCTGAGATTCTTGCATCCGCTCTAGAGCTTTCTGAAACACAGCAGCGGCGGCGGCTGGCTTGCCCTGATCCTGCAGGAGACCCCCAGAATGTACCATGGTCATGATTTCACCAAACTCGACATTTGTACGCATAGCATCTGTTGCCCAATGCTGTAAAAAGGCCTTTGTGCACGCAGCTGCTGTGGCTGCTGCGTAATCCTGCCAAACCTCATTTCGGTGCGAATCTGCATAATCACAGACTCCCTTAATGACCAAGCTGGGGAAGAAGCTACTAGTATAGGTACCGGCGCCTTCTATTTCCAAACCGATGATGCCTTCGCGCTGAGCAAGTTCGTCACGCTGCTTACCAGACTCCATGGCGGCACGGCCGAAGCCCATGCGACCCACGTGAATAGCTGGCCACGGCCCTGTTTCGGTTCGTTCTGAACCATCTGGTGTTTGCGGACACATAACAGTCCTTTCCCTACGCACCAGGTTATCCTCATCGCATCCCAAGTCACAGCAGGAAGTCTTGAGTGCATCAGCGCATACATTTTCGTCTGAGCACTCGCCACATGTGGATGGTTCACGGTGACGATGAAGATATGATGATTGGAAGAGCTGGTCCGACTCACGACCAGGATACTGGTAATTTGGTCGGTGCTGCAAGGCCTGTAGCCAAATTTTTGCTTCTTCCTCGAGGTGTTGTAGATGGCGGTCGGTCTCCAGTTTTCGCAAGATAGACTGGATGGACAAGGCAGGTACGCCACCTCCAACCTCACCGTCGGTGTGCTTCGGCTCTAAGCCACTCGGATACTGTCGCCCAAAATCGAACTCCAGCACTCCTTGACTGAAGATCACGTCTCCGAGGAAAATATCCCGTTGCTGGTTTGGATCCGATGGAACGCCACCACAGATTCCTACGACCAAGGTGAGATCAATACTGGGAAAGCTAGTGCGCAAACCCCTAACTGCCCCAGTCGCACTGACCTTGCCCGTATGCGGCATATGCGCGACCACAACATTGTGTGTGCCGATAACACCGGTAGTGTAAGCATTGGGATCACCAGGAGCTTTGCTGTAAACCTCTTCGGTATCCTCCCAGTGATGGTCAAGAAGCGCGATCACTGCATCTGCTTCTCGGGGAAGAGCACAGACAATGGCGATCTTAAAACCATGACGATCGCGAGGGGGACGGGTCACCACAGTCATATCCTCAGCATGGGGCAGATAATAAACTTGTCCTATAAAGGGGATGTATCAAAATCATTCAAGTTTGTAGGTCGATAATGTGTGGGGTTCTTGGATGATAGATACAGAGAAGCAGATAGATCCATTGTCGATTGTATCGAGGGGCAGGGGATGCTGAGCGGCGATTTAGCGCACGAGGGTCCCACCTTTAAATGAACTAAGCTGTCAGCCGAACGAGATCGGCGCGGAATCTTCTATAGCACCAATGAGAGAGACAAGATGGATCGGCAGCACCTCAACAAATGTCTCCTCGGGTTATAAGCGAATAGGAGTGAAAGTACCAAGGGAAATAGCGGGTAGCTGACCAAATTTCATCAATTGAAAGGCGGTTCACTTCATTTCTCGCAGTTCAAGACTTGCCATTCCCACTTATCGGCAATTCCGAGTTTGTTGTGCCGCCGTTTCAGGCTTCCGACAATTGGCTGCAACACGAAATGCATCGGACTCGTCTTACCCTGGGCTCACCAACGACAGTTTCAGCTAGGATCATCCATTTAGATGGTTACACGAGGGAGTGCAGAGTCACTCGCGATAATCAGCCTCCAAATCGTGTTGTAGCTTCTCGAGGTGCTTTGATCGTTCTTTGATAGTTCCGTATCGAATTGGAGAGGTATCGTGGGCCCTGGGATTCAAACTCGCCTGATACTGAGATGTGTTACCATAAGGAGATGAGATAGAATGGAAGTATAGGTTCACTCAGTAGACGGGTGATATTGGCGATGCAAACTATCGGACAGACGCACTTTCTGCTTCTCTATCTGTTGACCTTTCTCTTTTTCATGTAAACTGACGGGTAAATCAACTCAGCATAGGAGAGATTGAGTAGGATGGTTGTGAGGAGTTAGCTACAACAAAGGTGTCCCGCCTATAGTCTGTCCTGCAAGTGACCTGCCGTGAAAATAGCCAATCTCGGCAGGTGTGGATGAACATTACATTGGATAGCAAATGTGCCTCCCAGCACTACATCCACCCATACTTGCAACTTCACAACATCATCTCCTCCCAAGCAGCATACTACATCCCCAGCCTCACCACCAACCCCATTTACGCCCCAAATCCCATCAATACATCGCCCACCCCCCGCTCGCAGAAACAACCTGCCCAGTAACCCACGAAGCATCCCTCCCCGCCAACCAAGCCACCACACTACCAATCTCCCCCGTCGTTCCCAACCTCTGCTCCACCGGCGTTCCAGCTTTCTGTGCCTCCACAATTTCTTTCGGAATTCTACTCAGCAAATCACTTGGCACCGGCCCCGGCGCAACAGCATTAACCGTCGTCCCATTCCCACCCAACGCGGCCGCCCAAGCGCGCGTGAACCCCTCAATCGCCGCCTTGGACGCAATATACAGACTTATCCCCTTGAAACCATACCTTGCCCCAACCGAACTCAAGTTGATAATCCGGCCGTGACCCTCGGGTGGGAGATACGGTAGCACGGCCTGGGTCATGAGCATGGTGCCGCGAACGTTGAGGTTGAAGACGTTGTTGTAGTCGTCTATCGTGATTTCGGTGAGGGGATTGACGATTTCGATGCCGGCGTTGTTGACTAGGATGTCTATTTTGAGGGGAGTTGGGGTGGTGGGATAGGATTTGAGTTCGGAGATTAGATTTGAGGCACCAGTGGATGTGGAGAGGTCGGCTTGGATGGTCCATGTTTTGGGGTTGTGGGGGAGTTGGGTGATTTTGGTGCCGAGGTCGGTTATGGATTGGGCGCTGGTGGGGGAGACGTAGGTCATGCAGACCTGGGGTGTTTTAGTTTATCTTGTATGATGTAGGGAAGGGGTTGTGTATTTGTGATGGCTTACATTTGCACCGCGACGTGCAAGTTCCCAGGCGATGCTGGCTCCGATGCCGCGGGATGCGCCGGTCACAATGGCGAGCTTGCCATGAAGTGGGAGAGTGAATTCGAACGACGATGTATCCATAGTTTACGCGGAGAATTAAGAGGTCTCATGAAGTAGTCGATCGTGGGTTGTTCAGTTAATGACCTTGTGTGCTTGGGACATATATAGTAGGACATTCTATCTGGTATGAGACAACGGCTTACGCTGTGCCATGATGTCATTCCTCGGGTATAGGATATAAGTCAGTAACTCCGAAGCCATAATCCTCTAGACACATCCATTACACATTGGTCAAATGGACATTAGCCAAACCGGTGCTGTTAATCAGGGCGTACTGTAATAGTTGGGCAATGGTAAGGTGGATCTGGAGAAAACCGATCAACCTACTATAAGATATTGTCTTACTTATTGCACAGTGGCATTGTTACCCACTACATTGCATTGCACAATAAACTTGTTTTGGACAGGAACTGAAAAGAGCGAACAAGACGAAGTATGAGGAACAAAACGAGCCTAAAGTGTATCAAAAAACAAGTGTCGAATTCATGCGGGCGCTGGAAGATTTCCAGGTCATCACTTGCTAATTACACCAATACGAACAAAACTTTAAGCCAATGCAGAACCAACATATACTGTCGAGCTAATCACATAGAGTCATTGATTCATCGGTGTCCTCTGGTCGTAACGATCCCCAGACCGACATGAGCACGTCATCGTCACAATCATTCCCGTGTCTCAATAGGAAGCTTTTTCTCGTCGTTCACAGAATATCGCAGGTTCCAGATACCTGGGTCTGTGGTGGGCTGACAGGCACAGTCACTTCACCAGCCACCACAGTGCTGCTGCCATCAACTCCCTGGAAAGAGCAGAATCCGCCTCCGACAGAGGAAATCTTGGTAATTGACAGTGGGTTGGCTGTTGATGAAAAATATTAGATACAGGTCTTTCAAGGCCAGGAGGAATAGTAAAAAAGCCAAAGACATACTGATTGCATGAGTCGTATCATCAGCTGGGAAGCTTTGAGAGAACGAGGAACCGTCGGCGCCCCAGAAGGTGATGGCGACTTCGAAGGTTGAGCTATCAGTGGGAGCGGCGCTGGACAGAGCAGCGAAGGTAGAGCAAGCCGCGGTGATGAAAGAGGTCTTCATTTTGATAGAATGCTTTGTTAGAATTGGTATGAGATGTTTTCGAAGAGGCTTCTTGTCAATGTGAAGTTGAGAAGATGCTGGTTAGAGGGTTGTGTTGTTTCTCAAGTGACCTGGAGAGACGAAGGCATTTATATGTTTTCAGTCGCTCCTGCTCGCTCAATAGAATCCCACACCGCTTGATCCATATGATGTCCTCCGTCTAGATGTGTTCGTGGTTTCCGAATTGGGTATACCAAAAATAGGCATCTACAGGTCTGATGCATCGATGTCATAGGACCGGGTGCCACGGAAAGATCGCCGCTGTCAGGCAAGCCACCCGTGACTATTGAACCCACCACGACACTCGTAGCGGGAAGTGACTGGTTCGAGAGCGAGACATGTTCAAGGCATTCATTAGTTGGATAATTTGGGTTCAGATCGTGTCTGACTCAGATCAAGCCCGATCGGCACTATACGAGCCGCGTGGTGCCCCGCAAACTCCGATTAGTGACTCGATCTGTCCATGTCTACAGGACACATGAGACATAACCTCGTACTTGTGCCAAATGAGCCACGTTTTCATAGCTGTAAGAATTACATATCCTACATTGTTCTCAGAAGGGCTTAGCTTGACGATACCGCAACATAGAAAACAAATTAGGCATTACTAAACTGGAATCAGTAATTGTTCAAACGGACATCCTTCGATGACATACACGAACTGTGTATGTCGGCTGAGCTGAGAGTTAGGTAGTAGTGAGGCTGATCGAAAGTATGTTGTGGGCACACATGATATGCTTTGAAAGGCGTCCAAGCAAGGAGGCATAGACTTTGAGGGAAACGATGCGTTACACAGTAGACATCCAAGCCTTCATGCAGTTCAGCGATGCGGTCTCGAAAGCCCTGTAGCTCACCACACGAAATGAATGAGCGGCGAAATTGGGATTCACTCTCTAAGGTATTAAATTAAGCTAGCTTAGGCCCCGACTTTAGTAATGAGGTTATCAGAACTGGTCACGATCACATATGACTTGCAATCTTGAACAAAAAGAAAAAGTCTGTATGTGCTTAGAATTCGGGTGTTGAGTTACTAACCAATAGGCAAGTTAGGACAGGCACACAGTTGCCTCCGCGACGACCTTTGCAGCGGAAGCCTTGTGTGTATCAGACTCGCGATAGGTTTCTCTCAGGCCAGGGTACAAAGTAATTCCGAGACTTTCCTGATCTACTAACTTCTTCCTTCAAGCCCGTTTTCGTCAGACTTTCTCGTCACGGAAAATTGATGCGTGCTATAAGGCTGAGCACCTAAGGCTGTTGCTGCACCGAAGGAGAGCCGGAAATATGATTTCGCAGATCCGGATGTGCTGGCATATGCCGGACAGTTCGACGTGTTATGTTTTCATTCAGCGAGCGTTGCATTTTCCGAAGGGTCCGGCTGGGCAAGGTTTGGACTAAAATCTGCACCAGTGGCTCTTGGATCGGCTTCGAAGTTTCAGCCTTATCCTCTGTTGTCAACACGATATTTCAGCGAATAACAACACAGAAAAGGTGAATATGATGCAAGGTCGTTGCACTTTCAAGACAAGGAGCGCCTGAGGATCTATTATGTGATGGGATGATATAGGATGAGTTGGTTTAACAATTCAAAACGTAGCAGGATGGAGAAAAGCCGGTTCCAATGCGGGGAAACTGGCCGACTCTTTGATCACGAGACCACCCACACCCTCTCTCTGCATGACTTGTCGATTACTATACCCTCATTTACTTGAGGACTTCGCTCTACTCAGTGGTTCAGTACCACGAGTTATCACGGGCTTTTATCCCCTCTATTCCGGCTGAGAGGAGAATAAAGGTCGCAATAGTCAAGGAGACCGGGTATTAAGGTCAGATCAGGCAGAGAAGACATAAACATCGCTTCCAAGAACAGTACTGTCAAGCACTACCAATCAGCAAGTCACTAAGATCCACATATCAACACTTAATCACCAACCATTAATTTCCTACTCCAGCATCACAAGACATATCCACGACTTTTGCCCACAGTTCTTTTCCCATTGGCTTTATTCAACATCGCAGCAAACCTAGCCTCCGCTTCAATGCCATTGATGTTTTCAACAAGCTTAATGTAGCCCTCGTCATCCAATGCGAAGAGGGCCTCTTTCACCCAAACACGACAAGTCATGGCTTCATGAAAGCGCGTCGAGTACTGGATGGGGATCTGCGACAAGCGGGTCTCCAACGGGCCGTGCAGTGCGGGGTGCAGATCTCCCACCTTCAGCGCCAGAAGGTATCGCCTGGAACTGATGACCTTTTGGTCCGACTTGATCTCATAGCTGTAAACGTTTCGATTGGGGAAGTTGATGATATTAAAAATGGTGCCATCGGTCGGGGATTTGGCAAGACAGAGACCCCAGTGGAATGTCGAGCTGGACTCTCGATCTGCTAGGAGGAGGTAGAGACCGTTGGGCTCTAAGTGCAGGGCCATGTGGGTGACAGTGGTGGAAAGTATTCAAAAGAGGTATAAAAGTTTGAACTCGGTGGGTGCGACCCAGGTACAGATGTATACTGGGTAGTGGGCACTGTACCCCTCATGTTCAGGATGTTCTTCGAGCAGCTGAGGCGGAAGCTGCGCCTCATTTGCAAGGATATGTGGCGAGCAAGTGAATAAAAAGTGGATGTGGTAATCGTAAGCGACACTTGTGGGATTATATATTCAAAGCGGGAAAGCCTGCGTTAGTAGTCTTGACTAAAGGTTATCAACTCGGGTCTAAGCTCATAGCGTGTCCGAGGTTACGTTGTCAGTGGTTCAGCTTCGTTCAACGCCCACGCTCTCATTGACAGCTGAGCAGTAAACACCGGTCATCACATGATAACAGTAAGAATGACTTACAATGAAAACGCAGGCACGTCCACTTGGGCGTTTGCCGACGGAGTGCGGTTACTACATCTTGAAGGAAGGTGATGACTGACACCCCTGCGAGGCTAACATCATGCCAAGGCCCTTCAGGCCACGCGGGTCTGATTTCACACTAAGCCAACCTGTGAGCCCCTATTCTCATACCCGCAGAGATATAGCATGACTGAACTTGGGCAAAAGCCAGCGGGACTCGAATGCATTCCCTACTGTTGTTATCACGAAGGTGTGCGACTACGCGATTAATCACAAGAAGTCGTCACAGGGCAATAGTGTAGCAAGCGCTGCACTGTTCCTGCAGGCAGTTCTGGCTGACTGGCTTTGGCACGACGGCCATCTGAGCTGGTATGTCTGGTCCCGGAAACATGATATGAAGAACTTCTTCTCTCCACTATTTGTTCCGACATGAAGTGGTTTGGCTTGACAGCCACCATTTTTTCCCATACGCATATTATGACGAAGTTAAAATCAAGAACTGATATGTTGCTGGTCCCCTGGTTTTGAGCAGGTCTCAACTATGTTGATAAGAAATCCTTGTGACTTCTGTGTATTCTGATTTGTGGCTTGATTCTTGTTTCTGACAGAGTGTGAACATCCATTGCGGGCCAGTAGCGCATTCTAGAATAGCCAGCTAGTGACCAGACCCACTAGATGAGTCCGGGGTGGAGATTTTGATACTCAGTTGGATGGGGTTACGATAGAAGTTACAGACCAACGCAGAGTGAGTTGACATTAAAGGAGGCGATTCAATCCTTTTGTGGCGACGCCCCGAGCCTTCCGAGCTTCCGAGCCTGCGGTGAACCGTGCTCCCCAGTCGAGAAGAATAATTGAGCTAACTATGATGTCTAGTACTATCGGGACATTCTCCTCATTATGATATAAATAGAATAGTGGGATGGGGCCACGTGTGTATCTGTTTGTCAGCTCTTCGAAATACCCGTGATCATCACACTTCCGCATGGGAATGCCGCGAACGATACGGTGACCACGAAACAGGTACCTGCACCTGTCCGACTGTCCAATTCACCCATATTTTTGAGCGTTACGACTTCCATAATGCCTGATATGTGTTGCTCGGACGATGCGCTGTACGCATCGGGTGGGAAGGGCTCCATGCGATATTTATTTCTTCATGGAGGTCATTCCCAACTACCCCCTCCTGACAATTTCTCGGTGGAGGCCAAAGTGCTAGTACAGAATACACACGGAGAGATGTAAGCAAAGCAAAGCAAACCTTATCCCGATAATGCGCCCCTGTCGGCCTATATACTGACTTCTTACTAGCATTTTCGACGACAGCCCAGATCAACCCACCTCACAGTATCAGTTCATTGATCGCACCCTGAAATCCGTCAATGGGAAGGACGATGCGTACATACCAAAGCAGCTCTTTGTAGAAAAGATGTTGATGAATGTTTCTATCCCTACATTACTATTCGCCGAAATTCCACGGTAGGCTTTTTCCCCCCACCTTGACATCTCCGTCGGAACGAGAACAACTGATCAAATACAGTGACCATGCAGATACCCCAAGCAGCGAGAATGTATCTTATGTGTATGTGTACCTAATTCCTTTTCTCCTCTATCTAAGTTCTGCTTGCTGTCAAATATAACCATGGTTTCTCCTCTCTAATGCCCCGCTTCAGCACCCTACTAATCCTCGGCCGAACCGGTGTGGAGCAAGCCTCCTTCCAGGACTATGAGTATCTCAAATCGATGCTTCATCTATTCGTTCCCCGATTTGGACGGGCCATATCGCGCATGAGCGACGTATACCTTCCCGGAGATGCACTGAATCTGTCGCATGAGGTTGCCGGCTATATGATGGTCCCGTCGGGAGATACCAACAATCTTCGCACCTTTCTTGCCATGTATGCGAAGCGCTACATGCTCAAGTCATCTAGCGAAAGAGAGGTATTGGAACGGTGTTTGTTACATATGCTAAAGATGCCATTTGAGTTGAGCTCGGCAATACGGTATGGTCTTATCTTGTATTGAGCTTGTTCTTTCGGGTTGTGGGCGGCGCTGGTCTAGTCTGCCGATGTATCGGCAGAAATTTGAACGCGGATTCTGCATCCATATGTAACGTGTGATACCTTTGGGATCTTGGGTGGTTTTGGCCAATTACGATTCAAGAATGCCAGGCATTGACCCTTTACGTCGGAAACGCTTGTTGAACGCGGACGAAGAAAGGACGATTATTTCTTCTACACCGATTGCTGCCATAGCATACATGTGACAAGTGGATATATATTCCGATGGTTCTGTCCTCTGATATACCTAAATTGAAGCTCAGACGTGCATGCTCGCACCCCGCTCTTGATGAAAATCACTCTCTCAATGCCATGGGAAGCTACAAGTCTCACGTCCTCGGTCTTCTAGCCCAGCCAGTCTTGTACTCTGCCTGATGTAGACGTGGAAACACATGAGCTTCGGTGTTGAACACCACGTCAGTCAATGGGAGAAAATCACTCGGTGAGAAGAGGAGATAGAGGTATTTCAAGGTTTCCGCCTGGAAGGTGTCAGCTTCTGATGCGCATATCGTATACAATCGCCTCAACATACCAGCCAAAAGCTCTCCATATTATCACGTCTCTTCGGAGGAACTATCGTGACATCACTAAGAGATGTATAACCTCCCCCGTCCTTTACCCGCGTGTGCGTTTGGAATGCCTTGAAAATCTCCCATCCCCATTGTCGATATATCGGGTCTTTCGTAACACGATACATTACGAAGAGGCTTTCGACAGTCTCTGGGCGTTGCAAGTTATCGGCATCTATTAGTCGGATGTTGATATCCTTAATCCAGGAGTTCGTGTCGTCTCTGCTTGGGGGCTGAGACGCATTTGAATTGGAAATTGGCTCAAGGTCGGAATCTTCTGTCTCGAACCATACAATTTCCGGTGCTAGTCCTGTGTCTGTGACTGCGTATTGCGCCCAGCATGTCTTCGTTAGCTCCCTTGCGAGACGCATCTGCTTCTCTTTTGGAGCGTTCCAGTGTCTAGTTCTGCGGGCCTCGGCTTCAGTCACCCCTTCCGTAGCCCCGATTGCGATTGATCCTGGTAGAAAGTAGACGAGATGATCCATCTTCGGGGAAAGACGACTACCAATGCCGCCTGGAAGTTCTGCTATGTATTGGAGATTGGAGTGCTTGGTTGATGTAAGAAGATGCTTCTGAATCCCGGTGAGTGCCTCTTCCCACATCTCCCTGTAGATGGATTCGTTGGTTTGCAGGTATTGCTTGACCAAGTATTCTGTGTCTATATGAGCCTGTATTCAACGCGTGAAATGGTCATGCGGACTTACCATAGTACGAATCGCCACGACTTCCGAGCCGGACAGTTTTATGTCGGAACCTCCCAGTATCCGGATGCACAAATATGGGGACAAGACCATCCTTCACACCGTGGCTATCGAGTACCTCCATCACCCTTTCGGCCTTACGCCAATACACATTGTCTCCTCTTAGATGGGATAGGTACTTCATCTCCAACTGCACGGTAGCTGCCTCAGCCGTAGATGAAGCACCGCCATCAGCATGCGAGCGGATTCCTTCTCGTTTTGCTAGGTTGACGCTGGCATAAGGAATGCCCGACCCCGAGTCATATGCTGCGAGCAGTCTGTCTGCTAAGTCGACTGCTTTGGAAAGGTAAACGGAGTCCCGCCCGGAGGAAGCATCTGGAAGCTGAGTGGATAGGTAATGAGCGGACAGCAGCCCCCCGAGCATACGTATTGTGGTTTCGAATGTGTTCACGTCTTGGTCTTGATCATAGGTCAAATCGTTTCTAAGCCATTGTCGAGCGTCCAAAAGACGAGTTGTGAGGTTCATAATCATCAGCGTATCCAGGCTGTCTACGATTATCCATCCCAAGCCATTGGGGCTCATTTGAGAGCCCCTTTTTGACAATGGATGGAAACGATCTTGTCCTGCTCGAAAGTTGGATTTTATATCACTTAGGTTTGATACAATGCCGTTCGTCACTTACCCCAGGCATACTTTGCATATGCATCCCAGCTAGTGGTGAAGGCCGTTCGAACCTCCTCTCTATGGTATTCCCAATAGGTGTCGTTGTGCACTGAAGGAGATGGTCCTAGAGGCGTATCTAGGCTCAAGAAGTGGAAATACCAGCCCACTATTAATGCCAATATTCCAACTAGAGACGCCGAAGCTTTTGAAGGGGATGGGAGCAAATAGCGCCGAGCGCCAGCGTTCGGGGTTGTTGTATACGGTCGGCGCTTATTCCCTCGACTATCAGTGTCGCTATAAGCCATGGAATCCGTTGTTAAGTATTGGAGTCACGATTCGATAACCGATCGGAACCCATGCCAGGTGTGTTGTTTAACAACACTCCCTGAAAAACGAAAGCTTACCCAGAACCCATACACGGATCAGGGGTAATGCGGCGCGCACATGGAGGTGCTGGCGGCTACAGGATGGCTCCAATTTGCGAGCAGCGCCCGCCATCCCCACTCCTAGCATATCTAACAGCTCAGACATGTTCACAGCTCCCCCATTGGCTATGTCATTGGAGTCGGCGGGGGTAAGGCTACTAACCGTTAGCAGCAACGCTAGATTGGCGCCGCTGAATGTGATTGCTACAGGTCACCGTCTCATAGCTCCAACGGCTGAAAAGGTATAGTAGTGCATGCCTTCTTTGTGGCTATGGCGCTTAGCGATTGGCAATCAGTATTGAGTACCCCTCGCAATGTCGATCGGGTTGGTAGCTGCATCGTTAGGCTCATTTGGTGTAAATATGGATCCAAGACGCTCCCGGCAAGGTGGTGGGCGCTTAAAGCACTGCCTATATGAGGATGGTGCCCCGACCTTTGCTACTGGGTCTTCTGCGACGACTTTAGGGGTCTGAAACTTGCGATCGGTATATTACGGCTGCCGTGACATTCCTCCCCTCACAACAGTGCGATCAATTCCAAGCGCGCTCTGGCTGCATGAGCAGGTTGTCTAACGGAGTTTGACAGACCTTCCGACGCGATAATACGAGTACCGGCCCGAAATATCACCATAAATCGCCACGATGAGTGTCAGCATGGACACGACAGAGTCCAACTATCCTCCTGAGACGGATAGTAGTGGTACCGTCACATCATACATGCCACTCACCTCAGTATGGACGGCTTCCTCGGGATGCGAAAGCAAATTTCGTCTTGACGGGCCTAGTCTCATGGCCTGGGACCCTGGATATATGCTTGACATAGATACCAATGCTCGATGTTGTCCACCTCAGATGGTGACTTGGTGGGAACAAGCTCTGCTCGGTGTTGGAGGTCAATATCACACACAGATGGAGATTGGGCCGTTCACTGGCCCGGAATCGTGGCCAACGGTCGCATCATCAATTAAGAATGAATACAGCACGCTATGGATGTGTTGTCCATCGTAAGTGCACTCGCTTTATGAGAGTCTACATCGAATTCTACAAACAACATACTGACCGTACACAAACAGAGGTTACTTTCTATCGCAGGGAACAGTCGGGCAGGTAACTGGAAGGTGCATGTCAAGCGTCTATTCCGGGCAGACTTTGACATACGGATCAACGCCGTTAGATGACCACACAGCATGGTCAATAGCGACAACGACACTGACAACGGATTCGACCGTTGGGGCAATCGATATAGTGGGCTGGGAGATAAAATATCCAGCCACGGCCACAGCAACAGCCACGTCTACGTCAACGGCGACCGCGTCCACCTCCTCATCCACTTTAACTTCGGTTCCATCAACAGCAGAGGACAATACTTCAACTTCTGGGAATACCCTGAGCACTGGCGCCAAAGCCGGAATTGGCATTGGTGTTGGGGTGGGCGCAGTGGGCATAATCGCTTTGATCCTGGCTCTATTCCTTTTCAACCAGCGGAAACGACTCGCCGTAAACAGTCAACAGCCGGTCGCTGCATACGCATACTATCCGCCATTTGCAAGGAATGCGAAGCCCGCTGAGCTACCCGGGTATAGGGGTATGCCTGGTGATGCGTGGGCTTCCTCACCTGTGGAAATGGGTGAGAGGTAAATATAATGAAGTTCTACAGAATTTTCTCACATTCATGTATTTTTCTATCTTTGTACATATTTATCACCTATACTTTCTGGATAGCACGATAATAGAGCCTACGGGGCATATTCATCTCACGGAAGAGTACCATTGTTTATGCGACTACATACAGCTCTCAATCGAGTCTGTGACAAGGGCTGGAAATGACCACTTTCCCCGACCACATGAAGCGTACTAAGAATATCATCTCGAAAAACAAGATAGACCGACCGGATCTTTCCACTGGCTGATCAGCGCACACAGCCCAGAATTAAGATGAAACACAACCCTGTCATGGTTCATTATCACGGAGAAATGAACGTTGGATCCAGGACCGCACTAATGGCTGCATTAGGCCGTCGCAACTATCCAGAAATTAGACTACGCTCATAACAAACTAACAAGCGCCGCCAACTTCAGTACACCACCTACACCCTACACAGTAACAATTATCACACCAGCCATACACCATTTATTTAGCCGTGCACCGTGGTCTATGCGCTTAATGGCCAGGGCAACTGGCCCCGGGGTCAACGGTACCTTGCACGTGCAGCATTAGTCTTTGCTTAGGGACACTCACTAGTCAACTACCTGCCTCATGGAGTTAGTCGGGGAATAACGTGACTTGGACCAGCAACTCAATCAACTGTAATCTCAGTAGATGTGATACTTGCACACGTACAGATTCATCGTTGAGCATTATTCTTAATGAGATTTGAACATGTTCATGTACCTCCGAAAAACAGACGCATCGTAAATCCGCCCGAATCCCGCGTGGATTCCGGCCCGTCCTGAGCTAAGCTAAACCCAAGCGAATCCTTAACAGGAGAATGGAGAGCACTGGCCTATGACCACGGGCCAACGGGCCCCGAGTAGTTCCGGGGAGGAAAGCTATTCCGAGCTGCCAGCTTAGCGCGCGGAAGTCACTTGCTCCTCTTCTTCCTTTGCACTCGGACGGTCGGCTCGACATGATCCTATGATTATATTCAGTTTCTTCATGAAAGTGTCAACTTTTGTCATCTTTCATGCATGTGCATGATCCTGCGAATGGTAAGGCTGACATATCCCCGTTTTGCTTTTCTCTCCTCTAGTCAGGCGCCCTCGGCGATCTTCCGGTTGCATTTCGGTTAGCAAAGGCACGAGGGGTAATCGTTATATTAGGATGGGTCCCTTAGTCTAATTAATGGGTGGCACTAAAAACAACCGGTGCTATCACACTGCCTCCGCGCTACGTCGAACAATCTCATTCGGTGTTACAAGATCCCTACATCAATGGACCCCTGCACGGTCTTCCCAGCTGACTTGATAGGCCTCTACCATTCGTGCACCCCTCAGTTCGGCCAGAACCATTCGGCTCAGCCGCTGTTTAGTGCCTGGCCTAGTCACTATCCGAGCAGGCCGGATCCCCTCCCTAAGCAATCGCTAACCCCAGAAGGGCATCCGTAGCCCATTGTTTTCTGTCAATCAACAGATGGAGGCGAGCGGCGCGCAGCCAGCATCCTGCAGATTCTTACCACATTCGACAATGGCCATAGGTTAGCTGCAGGACCGGCGCCGTCATTCAGTGATCAATCAATGGCCAGGACCCCAAATACCCATGCTATCCGTTGGGGTTGTAGTGACCACCCTGCTACTTGTTCAGGGTAGGCTGTGAATTGGTTTGGTTATATGGGTGCCCTCTCCGCCCTAAACTGCGCACCATGCTCTCACCCATCTATTGCGATCTCGCCCACCAGGAATGGAATCAGAATGAAAGAGCCCACCATGCACCGTGCATACTTCACGATGGGCCGGAGCCAGCGATTCTGGCTCAGGTCGTTATCTAATGTGGTGATGGCTTTCATGGTCGTTATTGGCCTAATGAAGATGTTCTCCCAATTCCGTGAGTCTACTTCATTCCAAGTTACCTTGTAATTCGTAGGCTGACCTTACCAGAAAGCCCTCACGAGGAACAATCATCAGAGCCTCAACCTGTTATCCGCAAGGTCACTATGGTCTATGGTAACCGAACCTCTTATTATCGAGGTTTAAAAACCCATGAGGATCACTCACTCAAATTCGGATATCCTATGACCGTTCTGCGCAAACCCATCCTGGGGGGATACTGGAGTAAACCTGCCATTCTCCTATCAGCTCTCATCGAAGAAATGGAAAAGCCAGAAGAAGATCAAGCAAAATGGTTATTGTGAGTTTGCCAATCCTGCATATGAGGAGACTTGGTTATCACTACCGTAGACTAACCAAAGTTCCCAACAAACAGTTGGTTTGATGGAGACACTATCCTTATGAACCCCAACATTCCCCTCGACATCTTCCTCCCACCTCCTCAATTCGACGATACTCATCTCCTCATGACCAGCGACTGGAACGGCATGAACAACGGAGTTTTCTTTATCCGCGTCAATCAGTGGGCCATCGAATTGCTTTCTGCTACACTTGCCTACCCAACATCATATCCCGAGGTTAGCCTTTTATTTGCAGACCAGTCCGCCATGGATAATGTTATCCTTGAGCACGAATACTTCCGCCGTTCTATTGTATTTTACCCTTTGCGATGGTTCAATGCCTACCCGCGAAACGCCGATGCTGTTGATCTCAACCCCGATCGCCCCGTGGACTCGCAAGTACATCATGGAGATCTCCTGGTTCATTTCCCCGGTGCACCACCAGATCGGTTCGACGAGATCATGGACCCCTACCTCAAGGTAGCCGAGGCGCACACACCGGAATGGGAATTGCCTCTTCAGAAGACGGGATATATGAAAGAGATAACGGACTTTTGGCGGGACAGACACGAGTTGTTATTTGGAGACACACCTGAATCGTCTGACAACCTTGCTTGATCGGGCTGGTCCCAAAGATTCAAGTTTTCTGTATACAAAATAACCCGTTGGCTTTTTGTCGCAAACATCGCTCATCGAATGCCGGCACATTGATGAAAGCGACAATGTTTTGTGACAGCATATACTATGATGTACGACTAGTTCACCATTCCTGAGGGGATTATCGTTGCTTTTGCTCTAACAAACCCCATGATACCAAATCTCAATGCAGCAATTATTAACAATACTACCCACCAACGACCACCCAACTATGTAGACATGACCTCCTCCCACCGCGTGCTCATAGCCACAGTGCGTGGAGCAATATGTACACCTCCCTCCCCACCCAAAAGCGGCTCCTTTCGGCCGGAGCCGCTGATCACAATTGCTTAGTTGGTTGGGCTGGCCGTACCACACACCGCGGCGCTTACACAACATATCCTGTTGGTCATGATATATTAGTTAGCATAACCAGGTATAAGAATATCAATTGAAACTAATTCCATTGGTCAGGTCAAACTGTCTCAATAACGCCCAATCCCTGCTTTTACATGTTTAGATCATTGCAGTAGCCATAACCCGTCCATGCAAGCGTTGCCAGTATCATGGACGTTGATAGTTAGTTGCATTTTAATACCTTGTGTGTGGCTGAGTATGGTTTCATAGCACATGATTATATTATATTGCAGATTCCGACATGGGCTGTGCTTGCATTCATCGTCTTATGTGAGTCTCGCCTAGGAATGCCATGTTTTACTTAGTACCCTAGTAGTATGATTTTTTTTCTCAGCCAAGCTTATACTAGTATAGCCAAAGAGTCCAGACACACACACGCGCACGCACACACACCCCATTATGCTAGACTTACTCACCAACAGTCGGTAACGCAGCCATTAGAGCATAATCACTAAGTAGAAGTGCTTCCCTTCGAAACCCTGCAGAAAATACTACTTACTACTAAGTAAGTAGTATCAGTAAGTATCCCGCTCTTCTTCCTTCCAGTCAAAAAATATTTGGCTCATAATTAACTGCAGGTAATATATGTTTCTTAACAAATAAATGCACTACGGATACAGTTTTCAATATAGTTGTCAAATGCCGAATGGGTGTCGGTACTTGATTGGCTCTCTCCTTACCCCACAGTTCTCAAATTCCGCGAGTGGATGGGTGTATGGGTGGGTGAAAGGATCCTTTGCGGGGATAAGCTTTCTCACGTATATTGCCGGATTGGGGTCGGGGTTTACTTGTCTATACGAGGTTCGGGAGGAGAAGGTTCATGGGATGGTTTGTCGAGGGGTATTGTGTTGCATTTGAGAGGGGTAGATAGTAATACTAGTAGTGATAAGGGATTGTAGATAAAGTTTCTGTGTCTGGCTCAATCGGCTATTTAAGGTCGAGTAAATCCACTATGTTTTTCGGAATAGAAGCATCTTCTCTTGGGTATCTCTATTGAAGACATTTATCTGAAGTTTCATCTATTGGTCACAATGATTGCTCCTGCTACCTCCAACGATGGGAAGGCTTCCTTCGCACGCTTCAATGCTACCGCTACCTCTACTGATGTCCTCGTCGAGGCAATCCGCCGAGACGGAGGCGTGATTGTAGAGAGCCTAATCACACACGATGCAGCCGAACGGATCAAACAAGATCTCAAGCCACACTTCGACAAAGATATACCTGACAAATATGGCTTATTCCCTCCAACCACCCAGCGTGCTACCGGGTTGCTAGGCATCTCAGATGCCTGCGTCGACTTGGCATGCAATCCGACCTATATCAACATCGCCAATGCACTTGTCTCATCCAGCTATTCCTTCTGGAGGGGCGATCATAAGGTGACGGTGTCTGGAAAGCCGATCATCTCTAGCACGGCTGGGTTCCGGGTGACACCGGGAAGCAAGCAGCAGGTGCTTCATCGTGATGATAAGTATGTCTGTAGGGTCTAAGCCAGGCTAGTAGGCTGATAGAATAGCAGTGACTATCATCCACATGACGCTCAACTGCCTGTGATGATTGGTTGTGTTACTGCACTAACGAAGACAACCAAGGCAAATGGAGCGACCGTGGCCATTCCAGGCTCACATCTCTGGGGCCCAGAGCGGCAACCATTAGATGAAGAGACCGTCCCTGCGGAACTGGAACCCGGTGATGCGTTCATATTCTTGGGAAATCTGTATCATGCTGGTGGTGCGAATGTCACTGAGTAGGTTGCGCCTTTCTTCTTTTCCATGTTGCACTTGGTGACCATTCTGGCGCTTAGAAACGATTACCGCGAAACGGTGGGAATCTTCCTCTGCAAGCCGACGCTGCGTCCGGCTGAGAACCAGTTCTTGGTCGTTACTTTGGAACGGGTTAAGAGCATGAAGCCCCAAGCCCAGAGACTTCTAGGGTATGGGGTCTGCGAGCCCGGTGTTGGCTTCATGCACTATCAGGATCCGATGAGGGTGTTGTTCGGCGTTGAGGATGAAGAAACTGTTGATATGTGACGGCGTGACATATGAGCTGCATGGAACCACCCGCAGATGATATTCAATAGTGTTTTAGATACGGAGTTTTCTCCGAGCTCATCCACCTCAGAACACAAGAAGATGACCCAGCTGTTGTTTGGAATCTCGACCATACTGTATCCATTTCCCGGTGCCATGATGCTTTGAGCTGGACCAGAATGCACGCAGAAAGTCCAGTGCCCTATGGTTGCACCACAACCCAGTCGTCACAAGTAGCTTTAGCAGAATCTGTTCAACTATTCGTTGCTTATCCTCATCTCCCCAACACTCTGTGCCAGCAATGAACAGAGGGAAGAAGAGGTCCTGTGAGAATGCATCACCGGAAGCCAAGACAACCCTTTGAATTCTATCAAGCAGTATGGGTACGGTAGAGGAGACGGTTTTCATCATTGCGGTTGGAGATGCAAAAGCCTGATGAAGGTAGATAAGCGACGCGTAATAATGTGTGTCTATGAGAGCTTCAAAGCCTTCTCGCGTAGTCTTCCCCTGGGACAAGAGACATGTGATATCCGACAGACTCATTTGTGTGGAGGCCTGCTCTAGCTTTGCTTGCCAGATGTTGAAGTTGACATCAGGTGGCTGTCGGCCTTCAATGAGATACCCATATTGATGTCTTTCCATAGCAGTAATGTCATTAATCAGGTCTGTAAATGTCCATGGCTGGAACTCGATTGCTGTAGTCGCTACTTTACTGCTGCCTGAGAAGGAGAAGACATTATTGAATACCTCAACGTCCCTGATCTCTTTGATCGCAAATTGTGTCATGGGATCGAGAGTCTCGTTGCGAGCGCACACTCCATACCTGCTTACGATGGCACGACAGGCATGTAGATGAGTAGTCCAGTCAGTCGAATCGCGAGTCACCAATTCCGCATGGCAAAGTGTAATCGCAGCAATGAGAATTCTAGTCAGACATAGCTGGTCAGGGGGCTTCACGGCATGACAGTCTAGTTGGCGCTGGATCTCTTGGTTTAGGCTGCGTAAGGCAATATCTCTTAGGCTAAAATTGACCTGTTTCATACGTAATGCAATGGTACCAGTAGATGTGGCTGCTAAGTGAGCAGCAGCGAGGTTCAGTATAGACAGGCGGACACTTATAGACCCTTGCGCCAGAGGCAGCACGATCTTTCTCCATGGATTCTTGTGACTGTCGATCCACGAGAATATGCTTACAACGTGCCGGCTAAAATGGTTGATCAGTCGTTCACCCAGGACCGTCGATGACTGGCGGCGACCGAGACCATCATCTGTCAGAGGGTGAGGGATCGGCGGACTAGCCTCCACAACAAATGTATGGAGGATAGAAGTACCATGCTTGACGATGTAGCCTTCCGTTTCTCGATCTTGCGGACTGAATCCAGGTCGAGATAAAGACTGGTTCCCTCGACGTGCCATGGCATGGTTCCAATTCAACTGAACTGCGTCGAACCCAGGACAACTGAGCCCCCGAATAGTGCACTTACGGCACTGTGGAATAGTCCGATCACATTTTATGCGTCTTTTCGTGCATAAACGGCAGTCTGGAGTGTCAGCAGGGTTTGCAGTAAGTTGTGATCGATTTCCGTACCTCGGGTTGCAATTTTCCGATCGGCAGGGAGAAAGTCATTCCGTACATTCTTCATGGTGTAAGCCGGTTGGGGAGTATACCCCGGCCTTAACCATATGTAGAACTGATATTAATATTAGCTGGTACTTGGAGGCCTTAGCGACGTGTGTCGTGGCATGGAACTGCAAGATGGATTCCTATCGTTGCCATGTTGGGGGATGGATGAGTGGATAACAAATTGATAGCATCAAACGGATGGTTATCGCTGAGTGGGTCACATGATCTTCCACATTCAGGACAACGGGCATTATTTCCTTCTACGACAGCATTTCCAGAATTCAACGATGTCAAATGTTCGATTTGCGAGTATCCAACATCGGGTTTCAATGTCCGTTATTACAATGATGGGCCAACCTGTGAGGTTCGAAAAATGCATGATATTACTATATTTTGCCTATTCCGGTATGTCCCGGCGAGGCTGCGGCCAAGGCCGCCAACAGCCGTTTACCGTATTAGGCAAGTGTCGGCGGCTGCACATACAATTGTAAGGTGACCAGCTTCTGTATACTGAACACCAAAGCGCATAAATAGAGCTCATGATTCCCAGAATGCATTTTAAATCTCACTGAAAGCATACTAGATCAAAAACTTCTCAAGTATATCAATCATCACCAGAAACGCCACCATGAGTTCCGTCCAGATTGCAGTTGTTGGCCTTGGCCGGATGGTACGCATCTTTTGCATTCTCAGTATGTTCTGCCAGCGCTAACATACATTAGGGCAAACGTCATGTGCATACATTGCTCTACCGGGTCCCACAGGCGAAAGTGGCGGCGGTCTGCAGCACTGATGCTAGCGAGATTGAATGGGCCACGAGCAACCAGGAGTATAAAGACTTTGGCATCACCGTCTACGACAACTACGACAACATGCTGGCTCACCCTGGACTTCAAGCAGTCTGGATCTCGAGTAGTACCGACGTGCATGCAAGCCAATCTCTGGCCGCTATCAACAAGGATCTGCATGTCCTTTGTGAAAAGCCCCTGAGTACGGACTTGGCTGAGGTATGCTATTACTGGCGTAACTGATGAACCCACGCTGACTTTTCGACACTAGGCCCAGTCAGTGGTCGACGCAGCAAGAGCTAAGCCTTCACTCAAAGTGATGGCTGGATTCTCGCGCAGGTTCGATGCCTCCTACCGGGACGCGAGCCAGAAGATCTTCGATAAAAAGGCCATTGGATCACCGTTCTTGGTGCGGTCCAATACCTGCGACCTGAAGGATGAGACGGGCTTCTTTGTCCGGTATGCATCCCGCAACGGTGGTATCTTTGTTGATTGTGCTATCCACGATATTGACTTGTCGCTCTGGTTCTTGGATAACCCGACACCCAAAGCTTGTTGGGCAGCTGGCACGCTTCAGCATCACCCTGAGCTGAAGGAACTGGCGGATGTAGACAATGCAGTCGGTGTTGTTGAGTTCTGGGGCGGCAAGATTGCATACTTCTACTGCTCGCGGACCCAGGCACATGGACATGATGTCTGCACCGAGATCACTGGAACTGAGGGCAAGGTGATGGTCAACGTGATTCCGCGACAGAACAACGTTGTCCTCGCCGATAAACTTGGTATGCGACACGAAGTGCAGCCGGAATACTGGGAGCGATTCGAGAACGCATTTGCCGTGGAAGCCAACGAGTTTGTGAATGCAGTGCTCAAGGATACCGAAGTTCCGCTGCCGCTAGAGCGAGGAATCATGGTGATGAAAATTGGACAAGCTCTGCAACGGGCTCTGCTATCTGGGGAGGTAGTCCGGTTTAACGAGAGTGGCGAGCGAGTAAACTGCAATGACTTGCACTGATCCTGTATAGCCCCGAAGCTCATAGGATTGTTAGTGAAATGAAACGCTTATCTTGATGAAATTATGTCTCGTGGGAGAATGCAAGGAATGCGGGGATGTGGGGAACTTCCCCTCAAGGCGGCTTTGGCCCGAAAGAGTAGGCCGCGCCGTCGAATTGCCGTTACCGCCAATTGCTTCACATCCAACAATGCCACCATCCTCGCAGTCTGCACTGGCACGGACTCCTTGCTCTAACTGCCGCGGTAGGAATTAGAAGCATTACTCATCTATTTCATGTACATTAATGCTATTTGACCAGAGAAACACGTGAGATGTAGGTCTGCTTCGGAACAACATGCTCAATGTCTGCTCAACTTGAGTACAGGTGATAAACAGCAACCGACATGCACCCGATGTAAGGAGAAGGACTTGGTCTGTAGGCCAGTTCAGCGAAAGTCTGTTTTCCGTCAAGGGTCGACGGCCCGGCTTGATGGGAACTTCTCGAAAGACCAATCTTGGATGAGCAGCCAGCCAAGGAAATGGAAGCTGTTCTCCGGAGACTCTTCACTCCCACAGTCCATGGATGTGGTTCAGAGCCAATCACCATACCAGGAGTCAACAGTGCAATGCGACACACCAACATCCGGCGAAACAGATGATCATGTCTTGACTCGGGATAATTGCAGTCATCGTGGCACTCACTTTGAGATTCAAAGCCCACCACCTTATGATCCGTCCCGGAATGGCTTTCACCCCGTCATATCTGGTGATACGGCCAACGTCAACGGACGGTCTTATATTGCACACGAGTGGGATACTTTGAACAACCCTAGTAGGAAATCCTCGATCAATGGGATGCAACCATCATCAACAGCAATTGAAACACAGAGCCCTTTCCCCACTCCCAAGCCCGCGCAGACCACCGTACAAGAGGCCTGCCTCCTACGCCATTTCATCGAGGAAATATCACCCTGGGTAAGCCAACCAATGCCTTACTATACCTACTCATCTGAAACACCACAGTTCGACCACTGCGACGACCGTCGACACTTCCAACTCGTCGTACCGCGGCGAGCCCAACACTGCTCCATCATCCGCAACGCTCTCTTCGCAGTTTCAGCACGCCACCTATCTCGCCTCCCACAGTATGCAACACCCAATGGGATTTGCTATCGCGGACAGCTTCTCCTCAATCTACAGAAATGTACAGCCGTGGAATACACCCTCAAATGCATCCCCGAACTCCTCAAGTTCCCCGAAATAACCGATCCCACGGAACAAGAAAACATAATGGTCGCCACGGTTATTCTCCGCCAATACGAAGAAATGGAAGAGGATTTCGAGGACCACGACATGTCCACGCAAGACAGAGTGAACTTCTTAGCCATCACGCAGAGAATCATCGACGCTATGATATCCCACCGGTTGGAACAGTCTCTCGCTACGGCGGCGTATTGGATCGTTATCCGACAGGAGGTATACTACGCGTTGACAAGGCAGCGTGCACCCAAGATGCGATTCAGTCCGGAAGACTGGCGAAAGGCTTCTGTTGCAAACACGTTAGTAATGCTCGCTAGTGAAGTGACAAAGTGGCGCTGGGGTGACGGTACGCGTGAGGAATGGAGTTCGTGGTCCCTTTATCCAAACTTAGTCTTTTTTCTCGTACCGTCAACTATCATGCTAAGCATCTCTGACTGCCTTCAGATCGCCTCATGCTCCGCCACCGCAAACTCCAACACGACTACCGTCACGACCTCGCACCCCTCTTCGAAAAGAAAGCAGACCGATCCCGCGGCGAACTCTTCCCGACAATCTGGTACAGCTCCGACGAGCAAGTGACTGCAGTGCAGCACCTCGAGATAGCTAATATGATCCTGACGGCCCAGAATCCATACCTATCGTACGTTCCACAACCCTTATCCATAACCCAAAATCCAAATCCTAATCCAAATTCCAAATTCCAAAGTCCTAACTAAAGTATCAGAAACTCCACCCGTGCCGCGCATCGCAAAGCAGAAGCAGAAGTCCGATCCATCGTGCTCAGAATATGCGGCATTGCGGTGCACCACGCGCACTGTCATCCGGCGTTAGTCACTGCCGTGATAGCCATTACTCTCTATGGGGAGTATTTTACTGAGTGGGAGGAGCGTGAAGCGCTGGTTGGGATTATTGATCGGACGCGTGATTTGCATTCGTGGCCGATGCAGAAGTGCTATGCGCGGTTGAGGCAGGGGTGGGAGGAGATGGATCATTGTGGTTCTTGAGTGGTGATCATTAGCAATGTGTGTCACTTTTCTAAGATACTATATTTAGTATATTGTAGATAGGGTGGGCACAGTATGATGTATTCAGTTAAGCATGCGCCCCCCTCTTCGGCGCAATCGCCTTCACACACGACCACGAAGTCAAATAATCCGCGCTCTGCAGGGCATCCTGAAAGACAAAGTCCTGGCCACTCATGATCTGCTGCTGAATGCGCTCAATGTGTCCCACAGTAGACATGTACTGATCCACCGTAGCGGATGGCGAGCTCGCAGTGGAACTTGACCCAGTATCCGACTTCTCATCCATCGTTCCTGCTGGCACATTCTCCGCGTCCTTCTTGATATCTGCTTTCACAAATTCGAGTAGGAGGAACGATGTCCACTTCGACTCGAACAGTCCTTCGCGATGCGGCCATTGCTGCAGCACTTCGATGGCGCGTAGTCGTACCCGGATATCGTAGCATCCGAATGAGATCAGGTATAAACTGGGTAGGATGACCACGTCGAGTGTGAATGCTGGGCGTTCCGGGTAGCGCTGTAAGAGTGCCTCGACGAGGTATAATACTTCTTGGTACTCTGGTGTGTAGAGGTCGAGTACGGCGGGGTTCTTGGCTAGGAGGCAGGTTTTCACGGATAATGTGAGGGTCCGGTGGAGGATGTAGATGATGTCGGAGCCGCGTTGCTCTTTTCGTGTGAGGGTGGGGTATGTGTGGCTGTAGAATGGGGTGAATAGTTCGGCGTAGTGGGTTAGTTGAGAGAGGAGTTGGTATTGACGTGGAAGCAGGGAGTTGTAATCTCTCGCCACGTCGGCGGGAGATAGTGGCCAGGATTGCGATGTGAAACGAAACACGCCACTGACTAGGGGCTCGATGGCTTGACGGGCCTCGATCAGGCTTGTGAAGGAGTCGGATTCCTTCAGTTGCCATTGGTACTTGCCTAGTTCGTTGTCCACGCATAGAACTGGCCCGTCGACGCCGTAATATGTCGACTGGATATCGAGCTGTACGAAGGCTGCTACTAGGCATTTCTCCACCGGTGATTCGGTCTCGTCTACTAGAGGCTCCTGGACCTTGAGCTCTCGGAGGATGCGTAGGCCGCCTTGGAGATGGTGGCATGCTCGCTCGTATTGACCTTGTAAGAGCTCTAGGAGCGAGTACAGGAGGCAACAGAGCAGCATGACTTCTCGCAAGTGGGGATCACTCGCATGCCGTCGACTCAGAATCCCGAACGAGCGTGCGGACTGTTCGAGTGCAAACTTCTGCCAGATATTCTGCCGAGTCTGACCTGGCAATGGCATCCCCGATACCTCCACGTCCTGATGTACGGCGCTCAAGGCTACCGCAGCGTGGTAGACCGCTGGCTCGGAGTAACTGATCTGAAGGACGAGCTGTTTCCATAGTTCCGAGTCGAAGAGTTCCAGTAGTCCTGGGATTGTGAAGTGTTGAAAGTGCGAGAAGCAGCGCCGCTCGTCGGATGTTATCGCCCAGCGAAAGCCATCCGTTACTTGAGTGAGTAGGTTTGGGGGATGACGGTGCGTGTTATTTTCTGCGCGCGGGAGTCGGTGGATGTCATAGGTGCAGGAGCGCCCGGTTGATGTGCAATTTTTACATTGGTTTGGAGTTTCGTCGCACTTAATACGGCGGGCGCTGTTGCATGCGATAAAGGAATAAGCGGCCGCGGCAGTCGAGTGAGGACTGAATGGTAGTGACTTACCGACAGGTGCGACACCCATTCCGCGACCTTGTGCCGCCTGCTCTCCTCCGCTTCGTCGGTTCTGATGTAGTGGGCTTTCGAGACATGGCTGCGCGATACAATATTGGAGTTTCTCAAGTCAGGAAATGGAAAAAGGGTTTTTGAAGAGAACCTGAGACATGTGCAATGCGTGAGGGGGGTCTTGGGGTTGTAGCGGCGGGACACAAGGCTGACGAACCCCAAGTTCTGGCTTGACCAATAGTGGATTTGAGACTGCAGCCATGGCTGGTTGGTGGTTGCTAGTGAGTCTTCCGGTCCTGTTAGCCTTGCAATAGGTGGGACGGAGCAGCAGAGCAGCACTGCCATCGCGTCGACGGCCCACAGAGGAAGACCATCGGGCAAAGCGGAAGGATTCGATCCACTGATGAGCCCCCAATAGGCAAACCGGACATCCAATTAATATGAGCTAAGTATGTGACAGGCAGGCAGACTCGCCTAGTCAGATTGTATCAACCGGAGATGCAGTGAGCGGAGGCTGCTCCATGCTCCGCTCCGGGCCGGAGCCCCAGAGTGGCGCCAGGCACCATTTGCGCTCCCAAGATCATGCTGTGAAACTAGATTGAACATCTGTATTACTTCTGCACTTCCTTAGCAATCGTACCGTGCTTATTTGGTGCACAAGGCATTGCTTGTGGCTACAATTGCTATACTTGAAATTTGGCGAAGTGCATCATCAGCGCCTTTCTTGAATGCTTCAGCCAAGCAACAGTGAGCGAGGATACTCACATATGCGTTGGACACTCTTCTCCGCATGACCTCCATTGGGCCTAAAAAAATGACCTGAATCAGACTCATCGTCTGAAATTAGTTCCCAAGAAGAAGGGCGAACAACGCGATGACAACTCTATCGCAATTTCTCGTCAGTCGAACTATTATATTCGATCCGCTCGATCCGCAATTCAATAGCTGCCGTACAGGGCACGCAATAACGAGGCTTAGTCTTCATCACCCCTACCACATTGGGTAGAAGCTCATCGTGGGCCAGCCTGACTGATACGCGTCACCTTCCAGGACAGCCTGTTCAAATATGTCCGAATATCCTCCAAACCCGGAAGCTGCGCTGCCAAATCCTTCCATGCCGGATAGCAGATTAGGAATACCATGCTCCGTGGGTATAGAGAGTGAAGGGGCGACCTCCGGGTCATTCGGCTGCTCTGCGCTGCAACTTCCCGTGTCGTTATACGGATAGTTGAAATTTGTTCTAGCACTCTGCACAATCCATGGGGGCGATACCGTTTCTCCAAGTTCCCCTAATGCTGCTTGATACGCCTCCCAGGCCTGGAGAATATCTCGCGACACAATCTCAGAAAGCGGATGGAATCTATGCATGTCTTCGAAGCGTATTTCGGCGTTTTCGCTCATGGCCTTCCACATCTCATGGGCGTGCTCTTGCGTAGGCCGCTTCTTCAGATCATGAATCAAATGTAGATGTGCAGGAAACGGAAAGTACATATGAATATGCCAGCGGTACCGTTTAGTAAGGGGAGATTTCATCAATTTGGTATCGGACTCTAGAATCCGCATTGCACAGGAGCTGGCGCTGTTGCGCTGCGCTTCTGAGTGCTGCGCGGGCGAGAAGTTCGAGTATTCTTCAAGCAGATGGTGTTTTGCAAGGAAGCCACGTATCATCCAGATGGTCAGATAGTGAAGCGGGTTGTCTGGATTGCAAAGTCGGAGATACTGGTCCTCTATCCTCCTTTCTAGATCAGTCATGCCATCACCCTTTGTGTCTCTGGCGACTGCCTTCAAGGATGGATTGACAAATTCTAGGTGAAAGGCGCTATGTCGCAGAAAGTCCCCTAGTTCACTGCGCGCAGTTATGAACAACGCTTCGGTCGGACCTGCTTGAGCAGCTGGTAAGTCTTTCATCTCCGGTTGCAAATCATTGTCGGCCAAATTGCGAGGCTTGCTGCAATCCCAGGTTGGTATCAACATTGAAGTTTTGTGATCTGACATCTCGCCAATGCGATTGTCGAACATGATCAAGGACCACCATAATCTCCGGCGCATCTCGCCCTCCAACGCACCACACCTAGTATTTGCCTTTTCGTCATGGATACTCATGCGTTGAGCAATTCGAATAGCAACTCCAAGCATCGAGGACGAAGACCTCGGATCCGTCTCATACCTCACAGACACCTGCCATGGTTAGAGATACAAACGACAGAGTCACTCGACGGACTAACCAGATACAGAAACAACGCAGTTAAGCACTCGCGATCCCCGGTGCGTAACACGTTACAATTGAGCAAGGCTTGTTGACATCCAAATTGATATCCTCGCAAAAGCTCTTTCCTCGGAGACCCGAACGACGTTCGGCACTCTTCATCGTCGAGACTCATGATAGCGACGCTATACACACTGAACAAGAGTGCTTCTAGTTCCGAGCTTATACGAGTCAGATCACTAAGAGCACCAATAATACGTGCTTGCAGAGTCGGAGTATGCGTGACTTTGAGCAGCGGGTCAACATTGTCCAGGTAAATTTGCCAGAGCTTGAATATCCGGACTTGATCAGGGTGCAATGTCGACAGATCCACATTGTCTTTGCGTGATCCAAATATGAACCCCTCGTCGTTGTTCTTGTATGCCTCATCAAACATCTTGTTTATGGCATTTCCTCCCAGAGTGAACTGAAAGTGAGTGAGATCATTGCCATCCTCCTCACTGTCATCATCGGAATCAACCTCCCCAGTATCTTGAGACTGACGTCCACTGTAAGCGTAGTTCAGCCCAAGTCAAGAAAAGGTACATACCACTGAATTGAGAACCTTCCAGTAATTCCTACCCAATAATTAGCGCGACTCCAATAAACCTTACTGCGGAAGCACAACTTAGCCGCGTATACTGGCTCAGCCTTGACAGCCACGTCCCTCTCTTCCCCCACATTAGGCTCTTCAGAACGAGCATTATCTCCAGACTCCACGACCCTACTATCTTCCGCTACAGGAGCATGCAAAGGCTCAAAAGGTATATTATTTTGGCGCAGCAAGTCTTCATACCTCCGAACGCGATCCAACAGCTCTCGTTCGGGGAACCTGCGACGCCGCGGGCGCGGGCCAAGAGTGGGCACACACTGCGCGCCGGCCCGGACGCAGTTGGCGCAGGGGAACTTGCGGTCGCATTTGACTTTGCGCTGCTGGCACAGCACGCATGCGAGCACCCGTGGTGATCTTCCAGCTGCTCGTGAAGAGGTGGGCGTGGAAGCCCTTTGCTCTGGTGGTGGCATTTCGTTGATGTGTCTCATTCATTGAAAGAGCTTGAGGCGATCATCGGCTTCCCGGCCGCGTGGAGAATCGCTTCCGGTTTACTTCTTATGTCAGGTGACCGTAGCCGGACATTATCTACTTCTTGTTCTTTGATCTCAGCATCATTGGAGGGTCTTTGTTACACTGCCTTTAAAGTGCATCAACTAGTGGAACTTATATATGTATGTGGGTAGATGTCCGGGGTTGTCCACCGACAACTTGAACTTAGCAATATACTTCCTTGAATTTGTTCACAACTTTGCCCTCACTTGCGCTTCACGCGTCTTCCCCTTCATAAAGTATTTGTCCATCTGCGCGAGCCACTCGTTGGGGATTGACGACCTCTGTTTAGCGGTTAGTTCCAGCCAGCCCTTCTTGATCCGTTCTTCTTCCTCATGCCATCTGTCCGTCTCTTGTTTGATCCATTCAGCAGCAGGTCCAGCAACTCCTGCCACATCCTCGAACGGAACGAAGTGTCCACCATTCGGTATCACTATCTCCTTGACGCGGCCATTCTTGTGTCCACCGCTACCCCCCACCCCTGTTCCAGTTCGCTGTATCTTCTCTGCACGTTGTTCTGGTCCTGCCATGATACTCTTTCCGCCGTAGATCCATAGTACAGATGGCCGGACGTATTTGAGTAGTCTCCATAACACGATCGGTTCATAGCGGTAGAACGGAAGAGTTTCCGAATGGCCGGTCACATCGGTCCAGAATGTAGGATCGTGTAAGTAATCCGATTGGTTGCTGCCGGGTTGCAGGTCGACGAAGTTGGGGCGTAAGCTCTGTGCAACTTCTTGATCCTTTGTGGTGGCTAGACAGACAGCGGACTCGGGGTTCTCGGTTTCAGCGGTGTTGTCTCGAAGGCCATATTTGAGCCAGAGATCAAGACATCGTGGATCCCATCCTTTGAGTGCCTTCCGAAAATAGGCTTCTGCTTCAGCGCGGGACTTCCATGTATCCTTCTTGATCATGGCTGATTTCCCAAAGGCTGGGCCTCTTCCAGAAGCAAAATCCTTTGCTATCACTGGTTCTATAAGAATAAGGGAAGTAAAAAGCCGGGGGTGCATCAGGGTTAGGCCCAATCTGGTGGATGGCGTTGGTGTATTAGTATCCGTATTCATGTGATACAGAAGTACAGAAGACCTACAGTTGCCCAACACCGATGCTATGTCCGACACCAATAATAGGTTTCGGCATATCGCCCTTGAATTTATTGATCATGTAGAGCAGGTCTCGGCTGTGGTCGAACCATGATGCTATGATAGGGTTAATTTGGGGCGAATGGGCTGGTAGACATGTCGAAACGCACGCTCAAACCCTAGATTTTCCGCATTGATGGCCGCGCTCTTAGCCTGTGGGGCTGAATCTGCAATCCAGATAGAGCGAATGCGGAGTCCCTGGCGGCTTAACCTTTGATACACCTCCTCCCACAGCGGCTCTTTCAGTTCCTGTGCCATTGCATTAATTTTGATTTGCATTTTCTGGCGTCACATTTCTAACTGCACTGTATTGTGCAAATATACGTCCCGACTTACCTTAGGGGATCCAACAGAGGTAGCTCCAATGATGGTCACATCACCAGGTTGGGGATCTGGATTCGACTTTGGTGTGTATTGCTTGACCGCAATCCTTAGTACATCGTTGGTTTCTCGAGTCGCTCGGGCATACTCTCGGATATGCTGGCAATCAACAACATGTTCTGTGATGTTGAACGGGGAAGGCTCCATCTTTAGCTCGGAGAATTTAGTAGAAGTCCTGCTGAATCGCCACTGTCCGGAAACGTGCCATTTATATACCCCTCACGTCTGATATGTCCGATTAGTTCAAGCCCACCTACCATCAGATCGGCTAGTTCACCGCAGGTTGCTCGGCCACGCGAGCTGGAGCGAACGATTAATGCCCAGAGCGTCGTCGCCTCGCGCAATACGGAGTTATTGATCGAGTCCTGACCCGCTCTCGTCTCCACTTTGTTGTCATGATCTTCCCTCAGCTGGCACCACGACGCCATTAATCTCCGTAGGCCGCATGCGGTTATCTCGGCCCTTATCGATGTTGTCCCCAGTATGAGGAGTCGGCGTAGACCGAGGATATGGAAGCACTGACTCGACACGTCTGCGCTTTGAAGCAGGCGAGCTATGCGTTGTGCGACAACTACTGTAGAGCAGATCTCTTCAACAGGATCCCAGCCAGAATCTCAGCCAGCCACATAAACAAGCCCACCTCAATGACTCGTTTGTGTTGTGATTCAGGCTGCGAAAGTTTAGCTAGCGGCAGATACGTGACGAAGGCCCCACTGTTCACTGATTTCTTGGATCAGCGGCTGAATACGTGTTGGCAGTCGCTAGTGGAAGGGCCGCGATAGGTGCCGAAGCACCACTAGAGCGGATGTGGCTGCTCCAGATAACAAGGGAAGCAATGATATCCGAGCCACCCTACGAGTACAGTGCCAGAAAATATTCGTGTTGGCCGAGATTCATGTAGCGGTGCCTGACACTCCTGTTCTTGTTCACAGCCGCATTACCCGAGGATCCATCAAATAGCTTGCGACGGACAATTTACAGTGGCCTGGGGTAGGGAATTCACATATGCCGGGCATCAATAGACACTTTTTGGTCTTGTTTCCTAGGAATGTGGGGGTTCTAAGGAATTGGCAGGGAAGATGAGAGGCAGTTGGGGTTAGACAAGAATGCCTCTCTAACGGACAAGGAATCCGAGAAATAGTCTTGGAATTTCTATTGAAAATTCTGGTAATGGAAAGTCTGGTGTGAAGCAGATACTGCGCTGGGCTCAGCTTCCACGAGAAATAGTTGTCGAAGGGGACGAAGTTCTTCATCAGCCGGATAAGGTATCATAGTGAGTCCGGAACTAGAGGTCGCATTAGTGATTTTGGGAGTGTGAAGAACACTCCTATTGGACAAAAGGATGAACTAGTATCGTGCATCGCAGACAAAGTCCGATCGTCAATGCCGGCTGGTACCAGGGTAATGCTGCAGGTTCATCACACCCTCGTACAAGAAGTCTTCCGTCTGCAACCACTGCCGGCTAATTGGGCCGTGTCACACAAGATTCATTCAGGGCTGACGGTGAAAGGTTCGTAGATCTCAGCCATTGAAGATTGTCCACAGAGTTAAGTGATGGACAATGTGTAGGCTAGGATGTGCTAAATTCGCATTAACGAACCAGAGAAATAGGGAAAGAGAAGATAATAACCGAGAATTACCGATCAACAGGTCAATTGATTGGCTCGGGTAACACTCCCCAAAAAGCAAGCATACGAAAGACATAGCAAAAGTAAGTAGTGTTGCAGAAGCACGATTTCAGTACTCGGAATGTGCAGAAGTGACTTCTGCTGTTTGTCAAATACCGATGTAGCCCACATGTCACTTGCTGCTCAGCATCATGCTGTAGCTTATGCTAGTATTAGTGCGACACATCGGGGATCTCTGCTCGATCATTATAGGAGTAAGTACTAGTATGTGGCAAATGGCCCATCAGATTTAAAAAAAAAATAATACTAATAATAAAAATAAAAGAAGCAGAAGAAGAAGAAGAAGAAGAAGAAGAAGAAGAAGAAGAAGAACAGAAAAAGGTTCTTTCCAGGCTAATAAACAAGCAAGCATTGAGGCTTCGTCCATGAACCCTTTGGTTGCCTTGAGCTAGTTGTACCATTTCCCAAGGAACCAACCCATCCCCGTTATCGATAAGCCGAAAACCTCAGCACACCTAACATTGAACCTCCCATCATCGTCACCACCAGCTTCCCTCCATCCACACCACACACCGCAAACAACCATACGCCCACAACTTACAACAATTGAATCTACCATATCACACCTACCATACTACACGAAACCAACTACCTACCCACCTACTCAAAATCCAACCCCACAATGTCAACCCCAACGCCAGACGACCCAACACCACCACCACCAACAACCACAACCACAACTTCCACCACATCGCAACAACAACAACAACAACAACCCCGCCTCCCCGTCCAAACCCACCACTGCCGCTTCTGCAACCACCTCCTCCTCGCAACGACCCGATCAATCCCATCCCTACCGAGACGCAAAGACCCCGCAAAAGACGGGGCGTTAATCCTCCCTCTTCCGCGCGATCACAGCACCACCGACGACGACGAAGAATCCAATTCCACTTCACAACCTTCCAAGAAACAAAAACACTACACGATTCTTCTCTCCACCACTATTCCCGATCGGAAACATACCCTCGTGCGCAGGGAAGATGGGTTCGAGAAGAGGTTGTTCCTACGGTGTGGACGGTGTAGAGTTGTCATGGGGTATTTCTTGGATGAGGTGCATTTTGGGGGGGTGAGTTCTGCTGCTGCTGAAGAGGATGGGGAGGGGGAGGGGGAGAAGGCGAGAGAGGTGGTGTATCTGCTGCCTGGGGCTTTGGTGGAGACGGGGGTGATGATGCGGGATGAGGAGTTGGAGAAGGTGGTTAAGGGGTTGGATAGGGAGTGGGTGGGGTGGTTGGAGGGTTAAATCAATATAATTTATTTATGTTTTGATGCTGTGCGCATAGCATAGTCTTTGGTTGTGGCGATGTGTTTTGGGAGGGAAGTGATATAAGTCGGAGTTGTTTGTGCTAGCTATATTTGTACCTGTACTTTACTTCATATACCATGTATCATTTTACCATATTTATTCATGTTTATCCGATGCTGAATCGCGCAATATCCCATATACAATGCACTATAACTAAACTATGCTCAAGCCTTCAACTCCGGCACGGCTGGTAGGAGGTTCGCGTCGTAACAGAAATCATCAGGAACGTCAGGAGGGTATCGGTGTCGTGTGTCGTTTAGTTGGCCAGGATGGTGCGGACGAGGTCTGCTGCTGTTAGTTCAACCCGAAACAGAGGCGTGGTGAACAAAGACTTGGTGACCTACCGGTGTAGTTGATCTCGCCGGAGCTGGTGTCGACGGCCTTGAGCAGCTCGTCGACCTCCTCATCCGACATCTTCTCTCCGAGATTCGTCAGGACTGTAGTCATCGTCAGTATCACTCTAGTCATCCTATCCGGCTTCACATACTGTAACGAAGCTGTCCCACACCGATAAACCCAGTCAGGTCCTTGTCAAACACCTGGAATCCGCGGCAGTATTCTTCGGGCTCGCCGGGGTCACGGAAACCTCCAGGGCGGTTGAGGACCTTCAAGAACGACTCGAAGTCAACTGCGCAAAGCATGTTAGATCCGTATCAGCCATCTCAAATCAGGGCATACGTACAATCTCCACCGACGGACTTCTCCAGATCTGCGATCTCCGCCAAAGTGGGATTCTGACCGCATGCGCGCAGGAGGTCGCCCAGCGACTCGAGCGCGACCTTGCCGGTACCGCGCTTATCGAAGAGAGAGAAGGCTTCCTTGTAGTTGGTCGAGGCCTGGTCATGGTGCATATCTGGTGAGCGGGACATCTTGAAAATGGAGTCACAGGGGCAGAAATCCGAGATGAAGAGTAGGGATCAGAGATGAAATGAGGATGGAAAGAAGACAGGGAGTTGAAGAGTGCCGATGACGAACAAGCAGCCACGACTACTAGTGAACCATGGAAACGAGCAAAGGGATTGGATGGGCCGACGAGGGGCCGGAATTCAATGGATCCAACCACACGAGCGATCTCCGAGGTTCACCACGACAGTCAACAAACAAGGGATACAGAGCACTGCTCGTTCCTGATGCCATCCGGACAATTCTTCTCCCGCCAGCGAGGGATGATGCTTTTAATTGACATTGCGAAATTGCGAGACGGCCACGTACCATGACTGTTTATTGTGTTGATTGCGCTAATAGCGTGAGTATGCGGCAGCGGGCTGCGAGGGATAGCGACAGGGGGATGTAGATGACGATCTAAACAAACGGAACGGCAATGGCAGGAGTACCACGTATGGTTTGGAATGAAGGAGGAGGGCAGAATGAGGGAACAGGGAAAGGAGAAGGGCTGGCGGGATGGAGGAGAGTCCGGCGGCACTGTTTGCCCGGTTGTTGTTGTGGTAACCGGACACCTCAGGCACGACAACCCCCCTATCGATCTGCGCTTTGTCTGATACGATGACAACATCAGCCTACACTAGTTTGGACTAGCATTGATCATGGACCATGACTGGCGTCTGTGAAGATACACACAGTAGATACTAATATTGCAATAATACAAACATGCAACGCTATCCAGCCCAATGGTATCCAAGTCATAACACATGCGCAAAGTATTCAGACAGCCAACAACATAAGCCACGCAGAAGAAGACAGCAAACAAGGCAGCAGGTGCTTATCGAAACACAAGTGCAACCATGTACAGAATAACAAAAACCCCCCTCAAACGCTATATACACAGAAAAGATGTAGAAGAATTAACAAAGGAATCATAATTTTGAAGAAATCATGTGAAATCAAAAAGCTGCTCCGTTCAACTTGCCGATACAACTGGTGAGCAGGTTGGCAGCTTCGGCCAATAACTCCCAGCGCGTGTTGGTGAACCCGTCACGGAGGACCAACAACAAGCCCAGACAGCGGTTGCGTCCTTGCATGCCTTCCAAGTCGCTGGGCTCGCGAACACTGCCCATCCGGCGCAGGAATTCCTGCATGTCCTGCCGCTGCGCAGCAGGAGTGCTCAACTTGACAGGAGACTTAAAGGGCCCTTCAAGTGCAAACCCATAGCACCAGACCACGAGAGCCGCAACATACAGCACCCACGGCCGGTTCAAGAGGTAGTCGTCCCGACCTGAATACAGTTCCCCATCCTCATTCAGTGCTCGTCTCTCATCCAGAAGACACTCCGATAAGAACTTTAGAGCATAGAACGTGGCGTCGCGGGCTGTTGCCTTGGTGGCCCAGACAACCATCTTTTCGCGCGCCGCCTTGTAGTCTCTGGGGGTGATAGACCGTCCCATGAGCCGATTAGCCCCAGCAAAGATCTGGCAGTCGACGATATCAACGTGAGAAGCCATGTGCGCCAGTCCATGGAGCACGTCGCGCGACTCGAAGACGTTGTCGTCGTCCAGAGGGTGTCGGGTACGGTAACCACTATGAAAAGGCCCTGATGGTGACTGACCCAACGCTTCATCAAAGTCTCGTCGCCAATTGTCAAAGGCTCGCAACAGTGCTGACCGCCATTTGTCCCGGCCTCCCAATGCCGGTGGCCCACCCAGCGAGCTCACCTGGAGATCTCGTTGGTTCATGTGCCAGCTGACGCTAAGCAACCCAGCCATGAGGATAGTTCGTCCAAAAGCATTCGTCCGGACCCGCTGTCCGTTGAGCGTCTTCTTAAGGCCGTCCAAGAACATGACAGGCTTGACTCCATTAGCGTGCAGGCTCGATTGCACGCGGGCTACCTCAGAGGCGCTAGTCGCAGACCACAGCGCCTCATCGCAGGGCAATGGTAACCGAAGCTCGTGAGCCACCATCTTAGCCGAGTGCCCGAACATAGTGGCGTGGGTAGAGTCCAGAACAAAAGCCGCAAAAGCCACTCGTCTCGTGGCCTCCGCCTTGATCCAGTGAGTCCATGACTCTTCAGCCACAAAGTCTGGCGCCATTGTCGAGCCAGAAGCTGACCGGGCCTGCCGGTCGTCTCGAAAGCTTGCAGGAGAGTCTAATGCAGAGCGGCCAATCAATGAGCTACCTCGCCGCATCAGTGTGAGTGTGGTGTCGTGGTGGATATGCGCCCGCTCATGGAGCGCACGCGTGGAGTACATCTTTTCGTAGACCTCCAGTAGCAGGAGTGCTTGGAAGATCCACAGCTTAGCTGGCGGGCGAAAGTCTGCATCCATGAAAAGCTCCGTCCGCAGATGCCAGGCGATAAAGTTCGCCAGCTCAGCTGCTGCCTCGGTTACTTCCGACCCGTGGATGCCATCCAGCGTGGATGCGCCAATGGCCATCACTGCGAGCAGAAGAAGATTAGGCGCTTTGTCTGCCTCGAAGGTTGGACGATGTAGAATGGGCAACTGAGAGTGGAAGTGGTACCAATACGAGCCGATGTACATCTGCATCATGCGTAGACTCAGCACATGGTCGTCGTCGTCAATGTCGCCGTCCATTAGAGCATCCTTGCGCTTAGCAGACACTGCGTAAAAGGCTTCATTGAACCTCGAGCTCATGAGGGCCAGGAGTTCTTGTCTCTTCTCCTCTGACATGATGGCGCGCGGCGATCCCGGATCCAGAATGCTTGTAACACTCATAGGATGGTGCGGAATCACACCACTGAGAAAGCTGCCATAGGCAGGATCACTCATGAAGAACTGGTTCTGTAGTTGGACGGCATCCAAGTAATTTGGCACCACGTTGGTTGGGGCAGGATACCCCATGGACGGAGAGCCTGTCACGGGATCGTTGAACAGCCACGCTGTGAAATCATCTGCCATGGCGAAGGGTGAACGGTTATGGGCTTCGCCACCAAACACCGGGTAGACACAAGAAGCCAGCGCGTCGAAGCCGGCATCTCCCACTGATGGACCGGATGTCATCATCTCTGACATCGACTCTAGTGTTCCGTTGTCCAGAGCCGTCGAAGCCGACGTCGCTGGAGCCATCGATATATCTGGGTATCCCCCGGGAGGGAGTTGTAGGCCTGAATAGGTGGTGGGATGAGCCAACGAAGGGCCGTCGATATCGTGTGTGATAGAGGTTGTTTCGGCTACGGAGTGATGAGACCGAACCTCGTGGCTCAAGTCGCCCGAATTGGGCGAAGCTTTGCCGGCAGAGTGACTGCCGAGCGCAGTATGAGGCACCGCCTGGATCTCCGGAGGACTAAACGTTGTTGTGCTTGACGGTCCCGGGGGAGAGCTGAGGGTATGATTACTGGAACTGTTCGATCGGGAAAACGTAGGGTCAGACAGGTCTACCGCATGATGGGAGACCAGAGTCTGATAATTGAACCCCTGGCCCATGCCCACAGATCCCGAGGGCGACGGCATTTGTACGTGCTGATTCGATGCACTCATCGCAGGCACTGTCATTGTAGGACCCTCCGAGGGGGCTTGTACGGGCGAGTAATTGGAGGGTAGCGGAATGAGTGTAGGCGCGTGGTTCGCGTTCACCTGTGACATGACTTGAGAGACTTGCGGCTTTTTCAGGTTGTTGCCGGTGGCTGCCGTCTGCGCAAAGTGATCACGCTTCTGTAGCTGCGATCCCTGGGTGGTGTGGCGTTCTCTATGACGGATACATAGGTCTTGTCGCACGAAGGAGCGGTAGCAATCGGGAAAGTCGCATCGATAAATCTGCTTGGGGGTATCTAGAACGACAGCCAGTTAGTACTTGCTCGCAAGCTCGTGGAAGGACTGCATGCGTACGGTTCAGTTGGTGGCGGTACAAATGCTCCGCTCGCGAGTAACTCTTGCCGCACCCCTCAAATGTGCATTCAAACTTGCGATCCGTCTGAACCTTTCGGGTTCTTTTCCTCTTGCGTGGGGGTCCATTAAGAGCCGCATGGAGTGCATCAGCTTCCGTCATCATGCCGATCTCTGTGCTCGAAGTATGATCGCGTTTCGGCCCCGAACCCAGCGGGGTTATTGCAGCGAGAGCCATGGTCATCTTGGCCGGAAGATGCAGGCAATAATCAATCAATTGTTTCGAAACCTTGTGTTTTTCTTTCCTTGATACCACGAGTGGATTGTTGCCCCTTAGCCGACACCCCGAAGATCACCCGCAAAGATGTTGCTTGGAAGAGAAACGTTCATCAGACCTGAGAGGACTGCTTCTCATCGGCAGACGGATGCCGGTTCGGAGGGCTCAGAATGAAACGTGAGCCCGATTGTATACTGGCATAAGGCAAAAGAGAAGCGGGCAGGATGTTGTCTCGTAAACGGTGGACGGTCGCCGCTTTCTGGGCCGATTTGTGACGCACGGGGAACCCCGTGGGGAAAACTCGGCGGGCGGGAAGAGTCAGCGATTCCCGATGGGTTGGGGGGACTCCGATAGCAAAGGAACAATTCCTGGGATAAATTCAAGGAAGGTTTGGATGGAAAGACAAATTCCCTGTATGCCAGAGATTGATTTGGTGAAGGTATGAAGGAGATAGCAGGTCGGAGGAGAAAGGTCGTACGATGACTGGTGATGGGGGGAAAACGATGGAAGAGGGGAAAAAGGGCCGAGTGAGCAAGGGCCCCCCGACACAAACCCCAACTGCCAGACTTGCAAGCACACGAGGGTTGCACAATGGATGCTGAATGCTGAATGGTGGAACCAAGAGACGAAGAGTCTGAGATCCAAGGGAAAAAGAAAGAAGAGAAGAAGTCACCGCCAAAGTCCAAGAGAGGAAGACCGGGGAGGAGCCAGAGGAACCAGAGACACCGGGAATGGAGGTCCCTTAATATTCTGGTTGCTCGTTCGGAGGTGGGGCAGCCGATGCTTTTTAGAGCTTCAAGTCAAAACTGATTATGGATGTACCACTTGATTGTCAATTTCCCTGCACCTTTCCCAACTTGTATAGGGAATTTCTTTTATTTATTCTTTTTTTTATTCTCCTCTCTTCCATCTCTCTCTCCTCCCCTCAGCTCCTGCTCCTTCATCTCCTTTTTGTATGGTCACTCCACCCGGTGAGAGTAACTAATCGCCACAGAATCCGCTCCACTCACAGCCGCGCAAGTGGTTCCCGGATTTGAGACGAAAAAGAAACGCGAAAAACGAAAATACGACCTCTCGGGAAAAGAAGCAAATTGAAGGCTAACTGGGTCTTGGTCATCTTTTGCTGAGAAGAGAATGGCCGGAAGGGTAAGGTAGGGTAAGGGAGGGGAGGCGGGCGGGACAGCGATGGAAAACCCAGCCAGAATCCATCTTCATTGGCTCCCAAGAACTTAAGGTACTGGATTCGATATCATTGGTTCTGCACCGAACACTCGCCGAAGCCACCTAGAACCAGAAACTGACCATGGTCTGTCTGTCTTTCCCCTCTCTGCCTGCATCCTGGGCGTCCCCGTGCCATCCTGCACTCCTTTGAGCATGTTCCGTCTATACTACTAGTAGTACCTACTATCAAGATTCATCCCGTTATACCACTCGTCCGAGAAGCCCAGTTCCTAGGCGTTCTCATCGTGATCATCACAGGTGATATTGATGTGGAAAATCACCCTACGGATTACATAGTCCCTGACACTAGTGGTCCCAAGAAAAAATGAATTGATCAGCTACTAGAAAATAATGCCAACCCGGAGAAATAAAATCAAAAGCGAAATGAAAGGACCAGACGAACACACTCCACCCCCTTCCCCAGTTGATGCAGCCCAGGCCAAAACGGTGCAGGCGATTATGCATTGCGGCAGCAGCGGTTACTTCCCCCCGGAAGATGAATGGTGAGCATCATACTGGATGGCCTTGTTCGCGGCAGAGGCAATCGGGCGATCCTCCATGCCTCTAATTCCCGATTCGTAAGGGATTGTCCCCGGCCAATCATCATGGTTCATGTGTCAGTGTCGCTGTCAACTGAAACCTTGCAGTGCGGAGGAAAAATAAAGGGATTTGCAGGCTCTGGGTGGGCACGATCGAGTTCGTAGCGTCATCAACGCATAGACATACATGATACAACCGTGCAGTTGCGACAGTCAATCAGGAGCAGCTGTGACGCACGACCTGCTGCTCCTTCTCGTCTACCCTTTGGTAACATTAGCCTCACTTGGTACCTTGATTGGCAGGTTTGATCTCCGTTTCCCTTTTCCTGACCCATCTTTTCAGCCCAACCAGCTTCGTTTGGCTTTGGAACTACGGGTCCAAAAAGGCAGCCTAGTGGCAGTGTCTACCTAATTAAGCGTGGTTTCAGTGTCTCGGAAAGAGGCAGCTTACAGACTCTATTCCGCCTAGGGTATTCCCGTAGACGCATCATGCGCCGCCTGCAGAAAAAGAAAACATCGAGTTCTCGAACGGCCGCCGTCCAAGTGTCGTCAGACGAGAGTCTCCTGACACTCGGCGGATGGCGTGCTCCGTACCTTCTCCCCGGATCAATGACCGCGGAGAAGGATCGTTGGTCCAGGAACGTAAACTTAAGATACTGATATGATAAGAATATCGACTGATTTGATTCTATGACATGACAGATGCCTTATGCCATATCGGTGCCCCCTACGCATTCCGCCAACGCGGAAGTCTCCGATGCGGTACCAGCGCACCGGTACCCTCCCGGCCATAGCATGGAATGAGTAAAACCACACCCTAAACAAACCACACAGCCACATTTGCCACAATAATAGCAACCGTGCTAATTTCGCACTGGAATATAACGATCACCAGAGTGCATTGTGGCCCGTATAGCTATGGTGATCGGCTCCTCCAAGTGGCTGAGCCGCCATCTGGCTACGAAGTCTTGACTCAGACCTGTTCCTGCGCCAAAGATGCCAAGGGATCTACCTGAGCCGAAACCGAGAGAGTCCTAGTGGAGTGATCCCCAATATAGAATTGCACTACAGCAGCGATACCGGTGCTGCTGTTTCCGCACCACCTCACCATCCCGAAGAAGCAAGTATCGCTGACAACCCGAGAGGAACAACAAAAAAAGCAATTATCCCCAACAGAAATCCTTGTTCTCGTCCGAACATCGGATCTAGATCCCCGAGCACGCGTCTAACACGACCCTGGCTTATGTCTGTAAATAATTCCAGGTGGGTACACATTCCACAAAGTGCTTAGTACTAGCAGGATCCACCGGCCGAGAAATATATCTTTGACATCATGGGTTCAGCCCCCAAAAGCTTCATGAGCTTACGGCCCAATGACCTCGAGTATAATAATCGAATGCCTCTCCTTCCATTGGATCAATAAAATCCCTCTCTCGCCATTGCCGCGCGCATTTTCTTTTCCTCACACACCACTACCCCTGTCCTATGCCAGTATACCGCTAACTAGGCGCAGGTTGCCTGTCTGCCCTACGGAGTACACCGCGCATGATACTACTCCTATTACTACTATTACTACTACTACTACTACTACTACTACCACCAATAAGCGGCCATCCATTACAGCAGCAACAGAGGAAGAAGGCATCCCCGAATGTAAGCAAGCAAAACTCAACCCATGGCGTGATCATGTCCACCACCGGAACTCTCACATAGCGGGATACCTGCCATCCTACATCGGAACCCTCTCTCCAAACAACAAACCCAATAGTAACAACCACAACGACCAGCCATTTCTCGGACATGGAGTAAACAGTCCAAGATCGACAACGTCAACTATGGTCCCCTACCTTGCCTAACCAAACTAAGTAAATATGACCTACAGTGTACCAAGAAACAACCACCTGATCAACACACCGGGACCACACACACACGCACACACTCACTCACACCCATCTATGATCTAAACCAACCAAACCAAGTAACTGAGTAGTAGGAGTAGGAGTAGGAGTAGTAGTATCCATGTAGTAGCTGACCGCTCCTTCCCCATCTCCCATCCACCAACCACCAATCCACGATTTTCCCCCCTGCCTACCCAAATAGTACATAACAAGCGAGCCCCAACATCATAAGCTAGCTAAGTAGTAGGCTACTGTACGTATGAACATCACTGACCCTCCCCCCGAACACCGTCCTCCTAAATTGTTACCTAAGTGCGATGGTACCTTAGTCCAGTCCCCACCCCTACCCTGAAACCAAGTTCCGTAACTCTAGATAATCAATTAATCAATCAATCAAGGACCCATATTCAGATCAACACCGAACGAACCCCGCCATCTCAAATCTCATGGGAACCGGGTGGATACCGCAATATAACTGGCCACCCAAACCCCTAAACATGGGGCCAAAAAACAAACCCGATAAAAAAAAAAAAAAATCTTCTTTTTTTTTATCTCTTCGCCCGAGATGATCAGCTGAAATTTTATCTCCGGGTGTTTAGTTCAGTCGTGGATTGTGGATTGATTGTGGATATCCATTGGCTGATTGATAACAGTTCTGAAACAATGGGCTCGGATAGAGTAGATGGCGATCATCTCCCTCTCGGCTAGTATTCATGCTTCTTTCTTTCTTTCAGTTTTTTTCATGTGTGTTTTGGACTACTTGTTTGTTTGTGCTGAACATAAGGATCTACGGTATGGGTCTCCCTTCTCTACTACCCAACTAGTATATATTTGTTTAGTGCTGGTGTATATCAGTTGCTTGTTATGTGCTGGGTGGAGTTGCCCGGTACTACTACTAAACATTGTAGCGCGGCAGCGCGCGTGTATGTCCCTGTGTGTGCGTATGTGTGTGAGTGAGTGAGTGTGTGTGTGGGGGTATCCTATTTTAGTACTATCCCGGGGCTTCTCGTGAAGGAAACTTCGGCTCTCAGGATGAAAATCTCTGCATGTCATATGATATGATGATGATGATGATTGTAATATTGGTAGCATGCTGGAGACATGATAGTAGGTTATTGGCTCCTGAGGGTTTGTTATCTCACAGGCTACTCCACATGCATACCGGTTTACAGGTTCGGGATCCTACTGTACATGACTTCCGAGACATGATATACGGAGATACGCACTGGAATACTCATAGGGCCGCGGTTGCCGGGAAGCATTGGTCTAAATTGCTACACTTAAAAAAGTACTTTCGATTTACAGGGCGGGTGTTCAGGGGTAGTAAAGGTAGTGGCAAGCGAGAAATCATGCGAGCGGGCTTGAATCTCCACCCTCCGATGCGCAGGAGGGACCCCGCTGGTCTCATGCGCGGGATCGCCCTCCCTCAGGCAAGAGTGCCTCGGATTCTGAAACAACCGCATCATGTCGTATACGGGTGATGCTGGGGGATAATGGGTGGGCGCGGCAGGGAGGGGAAAGGGAACGGAGGGCATAAAGGAATACATGATTGGGCAAATACTTTTAACTTGATTCTCAACGCGTGCGAGCGCTTGATGATCTTCGGCCGGGTCGCATGACGTGCGCTAATCTTCCAAGGACTATTGCCGCCTTCCAAGGGCTGAGCGTCGTCGGCAGCTGATGAGAATCTTTCTCCCAGCATCCTTTGCGCTGAGCGGTTCCTGACTTGCTCAGTCCTGGCCTTCATTCTCCCATGGTACAATCTATCCGCTAAACCGGAACCGGGTCGCCTCCAGCCGGCCCAGCCCTTCTCTAGGTGCCACGTTGCGTCGCCGGTATGAGTTGGTGAAGTCTATACGTGCTTGTCAGCCAATGTGAAGCTTGCGAGAAAAATGCTAGTTTCACCATACCTTGAAGAAGGACCCGGATCTTCCGCACCTCACCCGAGTGGACCTTGTCGAAGATGCCCTTCAGCAACCTCTCCGCCTCACCCGGCTTCATGGTGCCGGCGGGAAGCATCTGCAGCGTGGCCTGAAGCCAGGTTCCTGCCTCTTCGGGCATAAGTTCGAACAGCATCATCATTACGCTGGATGCGTCGGGGAAGCACTCTCCCGGGAACGAGAACATCATACCCGTCAGGATATGCTGCGTAAGTAGCTGGCCTTGCGACGCAATCAGCTGTTTGACGGCCTCGCGGATTTCGGGCGGGTTGGTGTAGGAGCTCCCATCTGAAGTGGTGAATTCGGATACCGTCGGCTTATCGAAAGCGAAGCTAAAGAGGTCGTGGTAATAATGAAGGGTGGCCATGAGTGGGTCAATCTGCTGGAGGGTGAGAGCGCTGAGTGCGGCGGAGAAGATCGGCACGGACAGCGAGGAAGTGACACACTCCTTGGGGTAATACCGGACGGCATCGGAAGACAAACGATAGAAATCCTCGATAACTGGTTGTACCTGATTAGCTTGAGGCGCAACGAGCAGCCAATGTCCAGCTGGGGGAGCACCTACCATCTGGGAGATTCTCGGGGGGCAGATCATTCAAGGTCCGCAGGAATGCGACCGCTTGCTGCTCGTAAAACTGGAAGACAGCATGGCTGGTGGAGGGATCGACGAATTCAGCACCCTCGGAGAACTCGCGCACGACAGCGTCAGTGGCCCACAGGAAGCATCCTTCTCGTGATGCCTCGAATCCGCTTGCAAGACTCTGCGCTAGCGTGGGTAGGAGCGGAGTCATAGCCGTGCGGTAGGAGATAATCATGTTTCTCCAGCAACGGCAGACGCGCTCTAAAATCGGCGTGGACGAGGTAAAGTTCATCACGATTGTCGTCATGATTGGCAAGATTTCGCCGCAATACTTGACTGCGGGGTTCTCTTCCCGGGGTGAGACATATGGGTTCACGACCAGGATGAAGATCGTAATCAACTGAAGGTGATCTACCATGCAGTTAGTATGCAGAGTGCCTTTTAATTTTGAAGTATACCTACCAGCAACAGCCCGCTGGCCCTCTTCATCTTTAGCGTTGTTCGCTAAGTTCATGATGCGTGCCATAATGGGGTCACAGAACAACTTCATCGTCTCGTAGATCTTCTCCAGTGGCTGCACTGCAACCACAGCCGCGACACCCTCGGTTATCTCTTCTTGACTGGCCGGTTTCAGCTTGTCAAGGACCGACTCGTAAAACGAGTGTAGTTGGGCAATGTGACCTCCAAGCAACTTCTGGCAGTCCGTGCCCAAGAACTTGAAGGCCAAGGCTGCAGCCTGAACCACCTCCGGAGAGCTGTGCTGGAAGCCGGAAATGACATAGTTTAGTTGCGCCTCCAATGTCTCGGGATGCTGTGCAGTCCACTCGGTGTAACGCGCTAACGCCATGATAGCCTGGAACCGCACTTTTTCTTGGTTTGGAATCTGCACGATGAGGGGAATGACCTGTGTCAGGACAACATTCTCCTCAGGATCGACCATACGGCCCATGGCGCGCAAACTAAACAGGGGCGCTTCAAGCTCTTGCCAGTTGGGAACATGGTCGTCGCTGGACTGGGAGGCATATTTGGAGACCCATTGTTGGATCAGCTGATAAGCCTTGGTCAAACACTCATTGACCCCAATGACCGCACAGCAATCCTTGAGCACATCTCCCATAGCGTGCCGGAAATGCCGGAATTTCTCTTCCTGCTCCCGATCGCCACCGAAAAGGTCCGTCTCACCCTCCTCCGGCCGCGGGTACTCGAGGTGCTTGACCATGATGTCCACGAGGCTAGAGAAGATATCACTAAAGCCAGTCCGTGCATCCGCATATCGCTCCAAAGTAACATATTGCTTCAACTCGTACCAGAAGACGAAAGTAAGGGAAATTGCGTCCCGCTCCCAGTCGCGAGCGCAACATTCTAGGACCGCTTCAACCAGCCCGCGGAAGTCAGTCGGCAGGCGTGCCATCAGAACCACCCAGGCCTCGCCAGCTTCGGCAAACAGCCTCGTGATACCCCTGTAAGCATCTGTGTCTTCCGCTTCGGCGAATTCGGCAATCTTCGGGCGCAGGGACATTAATCGCGGATACAGGGCTTGGATGATGGGCAGTGAATCATCGACCTCCCGAGTGTCTCTATACAAGGTGCACATGCTGTCTACCGCGGACTCGAATGATCGGTCGTCATCAAGGGCCTTGAGAATCACATCCATCAAGGGTGAGTCAACAATCTTCGACGCCGGGATCTCGCGCATCCATGAGGTGATACAGTCGAGGAGACGGGGGTTAGTAGACGCGGTAGCTAAGCCAGAGATATAATCAGCATATCAATATATTATGAAGCTGGCTCGAAGGCTGGGCACATACGGGATGACTGAGCATATTGAATCAGAAGGTGCATGACCTGTTCGGCGTTGTCTTCCAACAGTTCTTTCGTCCTGGAATCAAGGTCCTCTTCCTAAGTCAAGCCAGCAGGTTAGAGTCTCGTTTGTCGCGGTATAAAAGGTCGTCGCATATCGCGTAGGAACGGATTGTAAACAGGTGAGGTGTTGATGCCGCCGAACATACACTGAGATTGATTTTACGACCCTCGGTCACTTCTTCCGGGAGAATCTTGAGAAACTCCAACACACAATCCCCCGCGCTGCTACCCAGAGCCGCGCCAACTGTGGGTAGGACGTCCTTCCAGTCCAGCATTTGGATGGCCAGGCTCGCCAGACAGACGCAAAGCTGTGTCTGGATTGGCCGAGGGCCTGCAGCATAAGCCACAAGCAGGTTCAGAACGGAGTCTCGGAGGGCGAGTATCGATTCCGCAGGTAGCTGGTCGAGGTCGAAGATAATCTGGGACTGTCAGTACGGGATGCCAGTACCGCGTCATGTAGGCGATGGGATCGCTTCACCTTTCCTTTCAACGTGGTCGCCGCGAACAACTTGGCCTCGACAGGGACATCGGGGGACTGTAGCATTTCGTGGGTAATAGTCCATGCTTCAACCTAGATAGAAGCCGAATCATGATTAGCATGCAATGTTATGGGCGGCGTGGAACAATCGGTCCTGAGGAGGAAGAATGAGGGGTAGGGATGAACGGACTGATTTCTGGAACTTCTCCAGGAACTCATGGGCGTGTTCTTTCTCCGATCGCGAGACATTTCCTGACATAGTCGTGACTGCCGCGAGGACAGCACTAAAGGACTGCCCTGCGGTCCCCTCCTTGCTGGCCATCTTGGACGAGGAGTGGGGATGTTTTGGGATTGTTCGAGTTGGAAATGGGAGAAGAGGGGTTCAGCCAGGCCGGGAGGCTCAACACCTATGCAGTGCGATCATGAACAGTCATTAAACAAACATTAAAGAACAAGCCACCTCGATGGAATCAGCGCTAAACCTTCAGCACAGTGGCGGAGAGAGGAATCGGGGGGTTAAGTGACTGGTTAGTGGAGGTGGGATGTGGTGACGATCGACCCAAAGGGAAAAGTTGGTGAGCCGCAATCGTCCCCGAGGCGGCAAGAACGATGGAAGCTTGCTTCACCACCTTCCCGATCTTTCTCGACCTTCTCTCTCAGCACCACCCGCCCTAACAACCACCACCACGCGTCGTTTTCTCGATCAACCGAACGGCATTTCCGTCTGTTGTCTCCTGTCGCTGCCTTCGCCTCCTGATACCCTGCACATTCCTTCCATCCACCCATCACAATGACCGGTCGTGGAGGCGGTGGAGCCGCTCGCAAGACCCTGCTTGCGCCGATTCATTTCATCTTCAAGCTTCTTCAGCAACGGTCTACAGTCTCTATCTGGCTTTACGAGCAGCTTGCTTTCCGCATAGAGGGAAAGATCAGGGTAAATAGGTTCTGGCGACATGTTTGCGTGGCTTTTGACTAATCGACTCGTGTAGGGTTTTGACGAGTTCATGAACCTCGTCATTGACGATGCAGTGGAGGTTCGCATGGCTACAAAGTCCGAGGAAGAGAAGCGGAGACCTCTAGGTATGCGGCAGTTTAGCTCTTATGATCTCCCCGTTGGTGCTGCCATGCTGATAACAATTTTGAACAACCTAGGCCAAATACTGCTCAAGGGCGATAACGTGTCTCTTATTCAGGCCGTGCAGTGAATTTAAAGGGGCGTTTAAGGATTTCGGAAGCCAGGAAAGGGAAAATTAATCATTCATCTCCGACTTCGTGCCGTGATACGATATCGTTTGCATTTTCTAAACACTTTTTTACGGGTTCTCGCTGGAGTACAATTATCTGCACATTATTGTCGCATTAGATGAAAACATGGACATGAAAGGGCTCGCTTCTTTTCTGGATATTCTATCAGCGTTGGCGCACGAGGCACCGGTCATCGCCGACCATGAGGACGTCTACTAGCCAGTCGTGATCCGCAACCGGGATCTTTTCGGTCGGAGCGAGGACTTGTTCTTTCAGAGCCAGCGCGACTATACGAGGGGTTAGTGACGGAATATGCTCGGGTTGACTGCTGTCATCTGGAACAACTATGCCTTACCTAGTAGAGGCAGCTTCGGTGCCGTTGTTGTGCTCTCGGGACCTTTGGAGTACCTTGTCAAGAAATGATCATAGTAACCTTTGCCATGGCCTAATCTTCTGAATCCCTCATCAAACGCCATTCCGGGCATGACAATCAAATCCAACCCGTACGGTCCTTGCGTAGAATCTTCGGGCCGGGGTGAGACTCCCTTGCCCCCGAAGCAGTTTCTCTTGTTAAGCACACTTGCTTGCGAAAGCGATGGAATTCTCCACTTGTCCGGCTCGAGCGATCTGAACTCATCCATCGACTCAAGCAGCAACATATCCATGACTGATGTCTTTGGCTGTGACGACAACTCGAGATTGTGTATGTAAGGTACAAAGACTTCTTTGCCATTGGCCAGGGCATCCTGCACTATCGCAGTTGTAGAGAGTTCACCGGCTGGCATGGACAGATAGACCCCGATCCTCTTCGCATCCCGATATTCCTGGAGAGCGAGTAACTGATTCGTAGCGATTCTGGCTGTGGGAGGTCAGCACATGCCGCGACCATATTGGGCAGAAGCGAATCGAGATCCCTGACATTGATGGGCAATGGAGTCGGCGGGGATCTGCTGGAGAGCATCCCGCATCCTCCGGCGAAGGTCCCTCTTTGCGACTTGCAACCCAGCCATAATCTTGGTCCTTGCTTGCACGATGAGAACGCGGTGTACGCAGACCAGCGACCAATGTTTTGTCTACGCGGTCTGCCTCAAGGTGCTTCACCTAGTTAGTCTGGTAGCCGAAGCGGGCGTGGCTTGGCAGGCGAACATGTTTTGGCGGATGATTTGCATGGCGGTTCATTTGTTTGATCGGCAGGGCCAGTGGCACGTACCGGGGGCAGCTCTTGTGTGCTCCACACCCTTACAAGGGCCGCCTGCGTTGCGCCTTTCGACGCATTCCTCTCGCTCTCTCTCAGCTTACAATCTGCCTCTCCCTTTCTTCTGTATTGAATCTCTTCTCGTGGGTATGATCACAACATGATGGCAACGTGCTTCTTATTTGGCCTTCTATTAACCGCTGTTGGGGCCAGCAGCCACAGCGCATCGGATCTCGAAGGAACATGGACAACCAAGTCCCGCCAAGTTGTGACAGGTCCGGTATGTTTTGCGCCGTGTTGATTGTTTACCAATTTCGATAGGCCAGTTCTCAGTTCTACCTGTTCGCTAACCATTAAATGTTCGATATTTACAGGGCTTTTACGATCCTATCAATGATAAATTCCTCGAACCCAATCTCACTGGTATCTCGTACTCGTTCAACGCCGATGGACATTATGAAGAAGCCTACTATCGTGCCATTGCCAATCGTTAGTCCCAGAATCCTCAGAACTATGATATCGCGTGCATTTCCCCGATTCTGACATGTCATGATCAATAAACAGCCCAGGATCCTTCCTGCCCAAAGGGGATCATGCAATGGCAGCACGGTACCTATACCGTAAACAGTGATGGATCGGTGGACCTGACTCCGATCGCTGTTGATGGACGCCAGCTCTTATCAGATCCTTGTCAGTCCTCTACGGGGACTTATACCAGATACAACCAAACCGAGCACTTTGAGGTACTTGAGTCCTTATTGACTATATGATAGCTACTGACAGATATAGTCGTTTTCTGTTTCGGTAGACTCATACCATGGTGTCCAACGCCTTGATGTCAAGAACTTCGACGGATCGCCGATGCATCCAATGTATCTTATATACAAACCGCCACAGATGTTACCTACGCAGACGCTCAATCCAATCTCCTCCAGCAAGAGTAAACGCCAGGTCGAGGGAGATACTGGACCTCGCTTCAGCATAAAGAACATGGTCAGCAGGGAGAGAATTGGTGACCCGAATAACTGGTTGTGGCTCGGTATATTCATGACCACACTCGGAGGGATCACTTTACTACGCTCTTAGGTGACCGCGAAACTTGCGCGTTACCGCCGAGCAAGTACGATGGACGGCTGGATATGAATGGATATGGAGTTCGGAACATTACTGGAAGGGCAAACGGGAATGGATAAATAAGGTCGGTAATTCTTGGGATGGCATACAACCTGGCGCTGGGAACTTTTCGTCTTTCTGTTTTGGCACAGCACGCCTACATGACCTAAGGCATGAAGGCACGCGAGTTCTGCTTGTTTTTACTATGCAACATTATGGCGACCCGAAATCCCGCCTAATGAACAATTCTTAACTTTTCATCCGTCGTATGCATTTCATTTGAGGGGGGAACCAGGCAATTGGTCTAGGTATGCGTATTATACAGGTAGTTATTATACATTTTCTCGTGTCAGCCATTACGCGGAAGAAATCGCTTCTTTGGCAATTCTTGCAACTTCGGATCTCTCGGCGGGCTTGCCATCCAGGGCCCCTCCAGGGGAAAAGAGGGACTTGAGCAGGAATCCAACCTCGACCTTCTTGCCCGTCTCCTTCAACTTGGCAAGTTCCTCAGCAACGATGGTCTTGATATCGTCCACGCTCATGGTCTTCACCTGGGCGCCATATTCTTCCAAAATCGCAATGTGTCGATCCTCAGTCTCCTTCAAGTCCGGGCGGTTCTCAGACTCGAATTCTTTAGCAGCATCCTTCGAAGCAGAAATGCGCTTGCGGATCAGAGACAAGAGTTGGAGGTCAGTCTGGATGGGCGAGTTTGTTTTGGCGGCGTTGTTGGTTTCGGAGATGAGAGCGCGAAGGACATTCAACCTGATAATTGGGAAGTAATTCGTCAGCATTGATGCGCAAGTAGCACTCAGAGCCTTAGGTAAAAAATTAGAAGTACCTGGGCGTATCCTTAGCACGCATGGCAGTCTTGAGATCGGTTCTCAATGCGGTCATCAATGGCGGCAGAGTCGGACCAGCAGTGGAGTTCCAGCGCACCAGGCGCAGACCCAGACGGGATGTGAGACGCATTGAGGGAAGCATGGTGAAAAATAGAATAGCAGTAACACTCTTCAATGGCACAATGGATGCTGAATGGGCGTTGCGGTGTTTGTTGCGGGCATGAAATCATGGGCGGAGGAAAAGCAACGCAAAGGCGGAGAGAGCTTGGGCAGGACCTCACCTCCGGGCCCGTGCACAATTTTGTTTCTCTTCCTGCTCGTTTTACGGCTCAGGCCTGTCATTATTCGGTCTGATCAACAACTCGCCCTCAACCACTCCGGCTGCTCCCGCCTCTGTTCATTGATGTTGCTTTCTCAAACCTTCCCGTCCTCCGTCTCTTCCCTCCGCCCTCTCGATACCATCGTGAATTGATCGTCCTCTTCGCGCCCTTGCGCCGACCGAATCTTCACCTCGCCGGGGAGCGCGACGAATCGCCAAAGCTTCCCACGGGCTTCTCAACCGGCATCATGTCTTATCCAGACCTCACGCCGACTCTCACCCCTCAAAAGCCCTTACCCGGTGCTTACTTTCAGACTCCTGCACCCACCGTGGCTGCGGCCGCGCCTAATTTCTCGCCAAAGCCTGTCGCGGCCCCCGCGGAGCAACATGCAGCTTCACCGGTTGCGCTTCCCAGACTCCCCCCAGCCACGTTCAAGCCCAAGACTCAGGCGTTGAGCACAGAGGAACGTGCTGCAGGAACAGTTAACGACACTCTCGCTCAAGAAGCCCGTTATCCCGACTTGGATAGCTATCTCTCCCGTGAGTATGCCCCCGTCCGTCTTGACGAGAGGGATCAGGTCTAACACTCATCTGTAGAAGGTATCTCGTCTGACTACGATATACCCGCGTCACCATCATGGGCTCCCTTTCAGAAAGTGAAGATGTACAACATCCCAGATCAGATCTTCGACCAATACAATCGAGCGCAGGTGTCGACAAGCATGGGACTCTTCGCCGAGTTGAACCACGCCTGGGTTGCCATCGACAATGCACTCTACATCTGGGATTATACGCATCCTAACCCTCAGTTAGTTGGTTTTGAAGACCAACCGAACAGCATCAACACGGTCAAGCTGGCGAAACCCCGAGCCGGTGTGTTCTTGCCTTCAATCACGCACATCCTCGTAGTATCGACAACGGCAGACGTCATTTTGCTTGGTATGGGTTGTGAGACTACGGCTGGAGGCGCACGGCAAGTCACATTATACCAGACGGGCATGTCAACTTCCATTCGTGGCTTGGATATCCATGTCATCGCCTCCTCGGACTCGACCGGTCGCGTCTTCTTCGGTGGCACTTCGGACAATGACGTTTACGAACTCATCTATCAGCAGGAGGAGAAATGGTTCCAAGGTCGTTGCTCGAAGGTCAATCACACTAGCTCTCGTCTTTCTGCATTCACGCCGAGCCTTAGCTTTACGCAAAAGTCATTCGAAAATGTGGAGCAGATGGAAATCGACGACACCAGAAAGCTACTGTACACGCTATCATCTTCCTCCACCATTCGCGTCTTCCACATGAAGCCAGACGGCAGTCTTGCTTTGGTGATCACGAAGCCAGCCCTTGACATCTATGCCAATATCGGGCACATTATCGCGTCTAATGAGACCCTTAACCCCCAAGTTCCCATTGTTTCCATCAGTCCCATCCCAGCCGCCGAGGCCTCCAGGTATCATCTGATGGCCACAACTGCAACAGGCTATCGCATTTATCTTAGCGCCACCGGTTCCTTCACCTGGTCTTCTGCACCGAACGGCACCAATGCACCTACAAGTATGCAGGCCCATCATGTCAAGACGCCGCCGTATGACGGTGCTTCCGCTGCTCAACTCCCCCCGAGCCTTCAAAATCAACCGCGTTTCCAAACTACAATTACGGCCAGAGTGCCGATTAACACCCTGCAGCCTACCAGGTTCACGGTTCGATACCCTCCAGGTTATTTCCTCTGCTTCACATGTAAGGACTCCACAAACAAGTC